AAAAGCTGCAAGTAAACATTCTGCTAATGTTCTGTAATTTTCATGGCAATCCAATATGGCGGCAGATCACTCGTGGACAAGTATGGTGTACGACATTTGTATCGTTGGGGCCGGATTATGGGGTTCGTCAGCGGCCAGACACGCCTCGTTGCCTGGTCGCAAGGTGTGTCTCATAGGACCCAGCGAACCACTGGAAAAGGTAGGACATGAACCGAACCCTTAATAAGGGAATAAATATGTAGTGTTGTAGTACTCATACTCGGTACTCGTACCCGAGTACTACTCGAGTACTTTTTTTGGAGTACTTGTACTTGTACTCGTACTCAAATGTCAAAGTACTCGTACTCGAAATGACGGTACTCGTACTCGGGCAGCAAAGTACTCGTACTCGACTTGTCGAAATTGTACTCGATCATTAAGCAGTAGCAGTACTCGGGGGGGGGATGTTATAGCTTCACTTACCATGGCCTTATTTTATCGATACTTTCAGTTTGAAATGATGGTTGATTGGGTTGTGGAGAAACCGAGATTTCCTGATTTTTCTCTGTGCAAGTCCGGACAAACACATTTAACAGCTAGCCATGAGTGTGTCTGTATAATGGTCTGACTGGTCCTTGGCCAATTACGCACAATGAACCATTTGCCGTATGGCCGTATGCGGAAATTCGAATACTCGTACTCGTACTCGGCAGTACAGGTACTCGTACTCGTACTCGTACTCGGAAGTACAAATACTCGGACTCGGAGACCCGTTCTTGTACTCAGAAGAACCAGTATTTGTACTCGTACTCGGCAACCTGAGAACTCGGCAGTACTCGGTACTCGGAAAAAAAGTACTCGACTACAACACTGTAAATATGTTGTTAGCCGTTATTAATCACTGTGCTTAAGACCAGGGTTCAGTCATATCAGTCATGGACGCTGATATAGGTCATTATCAGCGCCTCCAACCCGGTCTTATAGTGCTTGATAACCACATATTTATTCCCACTGCATAAATACCTTTTGGTAAATAAAAGTAGAAGAATTGACAGAACGTTTCAAAAGGTAGAGACATTGACAAATTTCCGACCATGTTTTGTTCGCGAATTTCAGGTTAGTTGCTATTCATGTTCTGGGGGCCATTTTTATGCGGAGCGTGGGATTCTATTCTCCCTCCAAATAAACAACCCAAGATAACACCCTGAGAGCTACTTTGAGGGTTTTTAAATATCAAACTGACCCATTTTTCTAACACTGTTTTTTAGGCATGCTTTTGCCATGAAACGGGGGAGAGAAATAAGACAGCCTAAGCAAATAGTTGGCACTTTTGTGTTACGCTAAGCTACCGGGCCGAGTCTTAACTATATGACTTTGTGAGCAAATTTTTTGAAACCGAAAACTGTGTCGTAAAAAACGTTTCAAATTTTCAAGCTCACATACCAATGGCCTGCATGTTCTATATTTGTTGTTGGTTTGCAATCGGGCGAATCCGTGAATGGGTGGCACACCGGCTGAATGAGAATCATGTCCCAAATGCTGATTTCAGGATTAGTGTCACGAGGGCAGAATTATTAAAAAATTATGACTCGGCAACATTGGAATTGAGATTCAGGGTATTGTGTTTGTGTTTGTTCTGTTTTCTCGAAATAAACATCATTCACAGACTGAGCTAAAACCTCATTTGGTTTGTTATAAGGCATCCGTGTTAAGATTTTAAACACTTTTGTTGGTTCAAACGAAACACGAATGAATGATCTACATTTACTCTGAACTCGCAGCAAAAGCTATATTTACGAAATTCCCGTTAGGGAAAAGTCTTTGGAAATTATCGGTATTCTTATTGGAAGTTTTGCAGGGCAGATTGTTTTACCTGTTTGACCTGTTTTCCAGGATCGCCCATCGCGGGACATTTTCGCCTCTTATTATGACGTCGCACGAACAGTGCGCAAATGTCAGGGAAGCAATCACTTTCGGAGTTTGATGACAATGAGAGCTTTTAAAGGTCTTCAAGAATTGGAAGGAACCACAGGTACCGTGATGAATAAGTCTTGCTCTTGAACGAGTAAAGGCGCTCTATTAACGACCGCATTATTATTGACGTGTTTACATACTGCTACAGCTCAAGTACCCATCATTCTATGATATGTGGCAAGTGTTCCTTTTCCCCTAACAAACTATGTGTAACACTGAAAGCGACATTTTTAAAACTGATTATCTACTCGTTCAAATTTGTGTTGAAGACTGCTTCTGCTTCTTTGGAGACCTCCTCCACTTATTGTTCAATCAAAGTCTTATAATTACATGTACATGTACTGTTATTTCCTATGAAGTGAGTAAGTGGAAATAAAATGAATTGAACTGAACTGAACTGAAGATCAGACCGTCATACGACGATGTAGTCTGTATTTATGAACAATTTCCTAACAATTTTTATTCTGAATAATCTTTGAGCGTGAAAACCAATTAAGGAGCTACAAGCATTTAATGGCCCTAAAGTTGGTCTCATTATGAACAGTTAGAAGTGTGAGTATGTGGTGTGTGTTTACATGCATGGGCCAGATAGGAGGTGTTCTCTTTGGCACATAACAGGCAGTTGTAAACGTAAACAATACCCTTTTGTGGCGATGATATCAGGATGACTTATAATTTAGAATCATTAAAACATTATTATGAGCTACAATCTGGCTCTTTGGTCTTAGGCATACAACTCAACGCAACAGCGGGTCACATCTTCTATGGAAAGGATATCGAAAGCAAAATGGCGCCAATAGCCAAGGAAGAAGGGGTTCTCTTGACGGCAGAGGACGTCCATAAAAGGTATCCATTCTTGGACACAAGCCGATATGGCGACACCGCCATGTTGTTCCCAATTAACGGCGGCCACGCAAACCCTCGTATGATCGTCCATGCGGAACAAAAGGCAGCCACACTGCAAGGTTGTGATATCTTCGATGACGTGGTTGAGTCGGTGGGGGAGTCGGGGAGCCACACTCACGGCGAGCCAGTAATGAGGGTTTTGACTAAAAATGGGCGCCATCTCTTGGCCAAGAAGGTGTTGCTGTGCACGGGCGCGTTCACACAGCTCAAGGATCTTCTACCGCCCTCTACGGAACTGGATTTTGGAATTGACGGGACGTTCACAGTTCGACTGGAGGTTGGGGAAGACGATTTGGAGAAGATTTCCAGCATGCCTACTATGACATCGTTCACAGACCCTGAATGGAACTGTTACATGCTTCCGCCGATAAAGTACCCGGATGGTAAGGTCAAAGGTCATATTTACAGAAACAGGAATCTTCTATGCACATTTGAATACAACTAAATTATTAAAATTACTTCGAAAATGTTCCCATACGAAACAGCCGTTTTCCATAGAAAATACGGATACCCAATTTTGAAATGATTTTGTACCATCCTAAATGCCAACAAATTTCCGTTCCAATTGCACACATGGGTAAGGGAATTCCAAAGTTCCATTAGCGCCCCGAATAAATCGGTATTGAAACAGTGTCATCCCAAATAAATTAATCCGACGATTGAAAGATACGATAAAAAATAGCCGTTTTCCATATACGAATACCCAATTTTGAAATGATTTTGTACCATCCTAAATACCTGAACAATGTTGCCATTGCGTAAACATGTGAGACCACAATATCCGGACAAAGTTGACGGATGTTGATTGAAAGGTTTGGCAATTTCATATTCCTGATCTTAAGTCTTTTTCAAAATGATACAGGATTTCTTAGTAACTGAAACAATATCATCTTCATTCTGCCAGGGAAATACTACGTCAAGATAGGACCATTAAACCAGGACCAGCGGAGATTGACCAGCCTCAAGGAAGTCAAAGACTGGTTTCTGTCTAAGCCCGATCCGAAGTTGGTGGAAAAGTACAGAGATTTGCTTTTGAGTATCGTTAAAGGTAAGAACCTGGTGCTTTTAAAGGGGTTGTCGGCAAAATTCAGTATTAAACTTGATATTCTTACATAGATTACTGGACTATCAAAATACAAGATTACTGCTCCTGAAATTCCTTTGGTTTGCAATATAAAGCAATCACCCGGTGCCTTAAATGACTTTCCTTAAAAACAACTAATAAACAGCATTCATTTCTGTTGTCCATTTCCTAGGTTTCAATCCAGTCTCTGTCAAAGCCGATATGTGCGTATGTTCACGCACGCCGACTGGACTCCCCTACTGTGATATGGTATCGCCCAGACTAGGCCTTGCGGTTGGTGGAAACGGCTGTGGGGCATTGCTATCTGATGAGGTGGGGAGGATGGCCGCTGAGATGATCGCTGGAGGGGAGAATTGGAATCGAGACATACCGAGGGAGATGCTGAAGGCTCAGTTCATCACACCACCTTCAAACTTGTGATTTAATTGATGGGCTAGCTCATTCTTCTTTAGAGTTTCGTTATTTTGAAGTGAACCATCGTGCACGATCATTTATGCTTTGGGCATTGCTTTCTGTCAAAGCAACACAATTGCAAGAAATCTTGCATACTATCTCTGTTCGGTTGCTACCATACATTTTCAGGAAAAAACAAATCAAATTTGGGGGGTCAGATATAGGCCAATGCTGCAACGCATGTATTGCCAACGCATAAGGTGTGCCCGCCGACACACAGTTTTAAAGCTAATTCAATGATTGTTTTATGTGAACCTTTTGATGCAATAATTTTATAGGGTACTTAGGATCAGTTTAATCTTCACTTTGAGTGAGTATTTCACATATAAATTGGTTGTTACTTGTCCGCGTTATTGCCAGTGTTCCTAATTGCCTTCAATACGGCACTGTCAGGCAGTGTCAAAGTATTGTGCGTCATCTCACAATTTGACTTCTGTTAAGTCTCTGTGTACAAAATGTTAGACTTTGTTCCAGTTTGTTGACTCTTACCTTATCTTACCTTCAATGATTGTAATCAAACTGCATTCAATAAATGTTCATTGGCATAGAGTGGCCAAATGACGATATTGGCTCATGCGTAATGTGCATGTTACATAATCAGTGTCTGTCGCTCCATTATTTGTACATCGGATTTTATCACAATTATACTGCTCAGTGCCACAATCTGAGGTGAAAGGTAGCGACAAATACAGAATGCCTATAGCTTCGCATGACCAAAGTTCACAATCCGCAAAAGCTGCAAGCAAATGAGCTCTGTAATGTTGACGATAAACCATGCAGGCGGCAGATCTCTCGTGGACAGGTATGGTGTACGACATTTGCATCGTTGGGGCCGGATTATGGGGTTCGTCAGCGGCCAGACACGCCTCGTTGCCTGGTCGCAAGGTGTGTCTTATAGGACCCAGTGAACCACAGGAAAAGGTAGGACATGAACCGAACCCTTAATTAATAAGGGAATAAATATCAAGTGCTTTATCATGCTGGTTTCAAGCAAGTCCGATTCAGACCAACGTGGGGAATGGACGCTGCCATAACCAGAGCCGAATTCGTGAGGAACATTATTGGCGACCACGCCCACGCCGGTCTTAAACGGACTTGTTTAATACCAGACAAGCACAGATTGTTTTACCTATTGCGGTGTTGTTTTCAGGATCGCCCTTCGCGGGACATTTTCGCCTCTCATTATGACGTCTCACGTACTGTGCGCAAATATCAGGGAAGTGATCACATTCGGAGTTTGATGACAATGAGAGCTTATAAAGGTCTTCAAGAATTGGAAAGAACCACAGGTAATGATGAATAAGCCTTGTTCTTGAACAATGAGGGCGCCCTAACGACTCTAATTAACAGACGTGAATCGAAGGTTATTGTCGTATTTACACTGTACATACTGCTTATCAACTTTCTGAACTGCTTTAATAAACAGGTGTGTCCCCCTATCTTTGTACATAAAATGTTACAGCGCACCAATTCGATCAAAAGAATGGACTACAGGGTTCGCTTGTATGATCGTACCCGTACCCACCGCCTCATATTAGACGTCGTACATTTGGGAAGGGCAAATCTCCTGCACAATATTTTTTTTTTTTTATAAAGGAAGCACTAGGCGCGAGAAGCAGGGCAGCTTACTGCCTCATCCAATGTACGTATGTTCTGTGCGCACATGCCATGTACAGGCGGAAATGTTGACCCGCGTTACTGTTCAAACAAATTCTATCCAAAGAGGGCTCGAGAGAATTACGTCATGCATCTAGAAAAAGTAGCCCTTCCCAGCGCCCTGTGTCAGGGCAGTGGGTACGAGCGAACCTATTACTTTTCCTCCAAAGCATTGAAAGCGAAATGTGACCTGATTATTATCTACTCGATCAAAATTCGTTTCTGATTAACACACTCACAAGTCATTTGCAACGATGTGGAAGGCTATTTATGAAAATCATGATTTTTTTTTAAGCGGAGGAGGGGGTTCCTTGGTACAAGTACAAATCGATTAGATTTTAGAAGTGATCCGGATCTTCGTCTCGATGCGCGATTTTTTGTAGAGCTTCTTCACCATTTTGTTTGTGCAAATATGCTGTGTACAACAGAGCAGCTTTGTGCGCGTGCCCCCGGCCGGTGACCCTATGCTTCACCTACCCAACCTATAACCACGCAGGTCAATGGACTAGACCACTTTATACATGGAGGGATTGGAGAGGTAGACACAGGCGTATACATGTTAACTACACTGTTTGAGTTTAAGGATTTGTCTTATTGAATGAATAACAGTGTCTTACACGACATAAAGTGGACAACATTGTTTTTGTTTTTTTTATAAATTAAGAATAATGATCAATCCTGTTGACATTTTAAATGTGCAATAAAATATGGAAGTCCAGTGCATATGCCAGCATTTCTTTTGGATGTACTGACAATATGGCGGGGAAGGGGACGTCTCTACAGTCCGACGTTCCATTAGTCCGGATCCGACGTCCCAATGGTCCAACGTTCCATTGGTCCAACGATCCATGGGATAAGGGTTAGGGTTAGGGTTAAGGTCAGTCAACCTGAACCAGTGCAACTATAATGTTTCATCGGACCAACCGGGACATTGGACCAATGGGACGTCGGGCCAATGGGACGTAACCGCGAGGAAATGTTCTGCCTTGGGGGAGGTTTGCGCTCTCTGAGAGCTTTGTAGTCGTGATCTACGATCTGGCTCTTTGGTCTTATAGGCATACAACTCAACGCAGCAGTGGGTCACATCATGTATGGAAAAGATATCGAAAGCATAACGGTGCCAATAGCCAAGGAAGAAGGTGTTCTCTTGACGGCAGAGGGCGTCCGTGAAAGGTATCCATACTTGGACACCAGTCGATATGGCGACACCGCCATGTTGTTACCAGTTGACGCCGGCCACGCCAACCCTCGAATGATCGTCCGTGCGCAGCAAGAGGCAGCCGCCCTCCGAGGCTGTGATATTATTGATGACGTGGTGCAGTCCGTGGAGGAGTCGGGGAACCACACTCACGGCGAGCCATTGATGAGGGTTGTGATTGAGAAAGGGCGTCCCCTCCTTGCAAAGAAGGTGTTACTGTGCACAGGCGCGTTCACACAGTTAAAGAATCTTCTACCGCCCTCTACAAAACTGGATTTTGGAATTGACGGGACGTTCACAGTTCGACTGGAGGTTGGGGAAGACGATTTGGAGAAGATTTCCAGCATGCCTACTATGACATCGTTCACAGACCCTGAATCGAACTGTTACATGCTTCCGCCGATAAAGTACCCGGATGGTAAGGCCAAATGTCATATTTACAGTAACAAGAATCACAAATGTATATCTCCTCCCAAGAAAGTTTGAGTTCCTAATATCAAACAGAAGTGTTGCCCGCACTGCGTAAGCATGTGAGACCACACGATCCGAACAAAGTTGGCGGATGTCGTTTTTTAGGTTTTGGCAATTTCGTTTTCCTGTTGCTTTCCGTTTCAAAAATGATTGAGATTTCATTCTTACTGAAACCCTATCACCACCACGAGAAGGGATTAAGTGATAAAACCCTGACAACCAAATTATGAGATAAGCACTGACATTGAAATGCTTTTGTATACATTTCTGTACAGCTTTATGGATTGTGTTCGTATTTAAGGGGGTTGTAAATTATTAACAGTTACTAATTCAGAAAATCTTAAAACTTCAAAATGGTCAGTTAGTTCCACACAAAATGACCTCATATGCCCACTGTGCGTAAAAAAAACCCCAGAATTTATTTTAGATTTCGACGTGTGTTCATCTTCATTCTGCCAGGGAAATACTACGTGAAGCTAGGACCAGGCTACCAGGACCAGCGAAGACTGACCAGCCTCAAGGAAGTCAAAGACTGGTTTCTGTCTAAGCCCGATCCGAAGTTGGTGGAAAAATACAGAGATTTGCTTTTGAGTATCGTTAAAGGTAAGTACCAGGTTATTAACACAAAGTGCTGCTGTGCTATAATTGGTGCTTTTTGTCGCATAATTCAGTATTAAACTTGATATTCTTATATAGATTACTGGACCAGGATACTGCTTCTGAAGTTTCTTTGGATTGAAATCTAAAGCAATCACCCATTGCCTTAGATTATATAAATGACTTTCCTTAAGACATATAAAAAGCATCCATTTCTGTTGCCTGTTTCGTAGGTTTCAATCCAATGTCCGTCAAAACCGATATGTGTGTATGCTCACGCACGCCGACCGGACTCCCCTACTGTGATATGGTATCGTCCAAGGTCGGCCTTGCGATTGGTGGAAACGGCTTTGGGGCGATGCTATCTGATGAGGTGGGGAGGATGGCCGCTGAGATGATCGCTGGAGGGGAGAATTGGAATCGAGACATACCGAGGGAGATGCTGAAGGCTCAGTTCATCACACCGCCTTCAAACTTGTGATTTAATAATGCAATAGCTCACCGATAATTCTCTTCTTTGGGGTTTGGTAAAAACCATCGTGCATGATCATTTAGCCTTTTGGCATTTCTTTTTCTTCGAAGCAACAAAATTGCCAGAAATCTGGCATAGAACCTTCTCTGTTCGGTTGATGCCACACATTTAAAAGAAATAAACCCCAAAATTAAACAAATTCACAATTTTGAGGTTTCGTAGGCCCATGTCAACGCATGTATTGCCAACGCATAAAGTGTGCCCGCTAACACACTGTTTTAGAGCTACCTTAAATGATTGTTTTCTTTGAAACCATTTGGTGCAATAATTTAAAAGATACTTGGGATCAGTTTAATCTTCACTTTGAGTGAGTATTTCACATATAAATTGCTTGGTACTTGTCTGTGTGATTACCAATGTTCCTAACTGCCTTCAATACGGCACTGTCAGGCAGATAAAAGTGTCAAAGTACTGTGCGCCGTCTCAGAAGTTGACTTCTCAGTTTAAGCCTCTGTTTACAAATGCTAGACTTTGTTCCAGTTTGTTGACTCAAATATTGGCTTGCCTTCAATGATTGTTATCATTTGTTTTAACTTCAACGTTTTTTTTTTTATAGGAAATTTCGTAAGAGATGAAAATAATACACGGTCGGCATGTGACATCGTGGCATCCAATGCCGAGTTAATGTATAGGCTATAAATATAACAACTGTTCCTTTGAACTGTGATTCTGATGTAATATGCATATTCATGTAAACTCTGACCCAAACTGCAATAAATGTACATTATGATATAGTGTGGCCAAATGACAATAACGGCTCATGCGTAATGTGCATGCAACTAACCCAAGAAATGAAACTGTTGTGCAGGCTGCCCTGGTAATGGTCTGTTAGGTCAGGGTATTGCTCGACCTTATAAGTGCCATCTGACACGTACAGATTGCCGACAGAGAACATCAAATTTCATTTCCTTATTTGCGGTTCAGTCAGTGAAACTGCATTAATTATTATGTGATACTAACCACTGAGCTTTAGGTTTTTTTTCTCAAAGTAACAGTCTGGCAAACCTACAGAATGGTAAATTTTTGATAACCAGAACATTTATTATTTTAATTATGACAAAAGATAAAAAATACAAAGAGCGAAGAACTTTGCACTTTGCGAACTCATGTCTGTGTATTTTGATAATAATGATTTCCCTATACTCTTCCGTATTAAGCAGTCGCGATTGCGCACGTCGTGTTTACAAAGCCACATGAATACACTTCCCAATCTTCCTTTATCGTTAGAAGTTGCTTTGGTTTTTTTGTTTGTAAAGATGACATGAACTCAGGGAAACCCGAGGCCAGCCTTTCCACCGGATGTGTAGGGACTGCAAAGTAGACTGTTGTCACAATTCTGCCACATGCTGCAAGTTGAAGCATCTGGTGGAGCATCTGAACTTCTGAAACATCTTTCAAAAAAGTTGTGCCTGAAATTAAAAAAAAAAGTAATCAAAATTTGATGCAGCCTCAAAATATATGTAATACCAAAACCGTTTTGCAGTTAATGCCGTCTTTATTTCATGAGTCATTTTGTTTTAATAAAAGGGTACTCAACAATAAAATCAATCAATAAAAGAACATGTATGAGAACTTGAGATGTCATTTTTGAGTGGTTTGTAATAAGACGCTTCAACTTATCTGACACATGTATAGAATCCCTTTTTAAGATTATACGTCACTGCTATTGAAAAGGGGGGAAAGTCTGTTTAAAACAAACTCCATTTATGGCCATTTTTCTTTTCAACAAATCTCCCCCCCCCTAAAAAAATGTGGGAGCAGAACTGAAAGATGTTAGCCTGAGATTCTCATGTGGGGTACGGTTTACCAATCAATTTTTTTATGTAGCTGATACATAACATTCGATCTTAAAACTTGATTATTTGAAGTTGGACAAACTAATAAAAAGGGTTTGGCATCCTGATGAGAAATAATCTAGAATCTAGAAAACTCTAGAATATGCATGTAATATGAAACTTGAAAGAAGTATTATCTGGCAAGCACTCATTGCGTGCGAAAAGGTTTCAGACTGTGTCAATAGAGGGTGGCGTTTTTATCCCAGATTGTCTCATTGCAAAACAAACTGTGTATCGGGGAACAAAGTTTTTTAGATATGGTACATCATAATCGACAAGTCTGAAAAGTTTTATAAAATTCGGCAGACCGGATGGCGTATCTATGTGTTTGGGACAGAGCCAAGATCTACAATGTACAATGCCACTCAGAGCTCAGATCACCAATCTACGTGTGCATGCCAGAAGCGCTGTCGGGGTTAGAGCCCCGATCACCAATGACCACGTATGCTATTTCTACGCGGTTTATATAGACTTTTGGGTGCGCGTCTTAGCCAATGAGAGCATTGGATTCTGGTAGTCATGAATAATGCATACTGTACACAGCCATGGGGAAAGTTCTCTATCAATCATGTCTAAGGGAGATTTGTACACCGGCTGACTTGGACATTCTACTGGAAGAAAGTCTGAAAGCAGTGGTTAGCGGGCGAAGTAGAGTAGGATCACTCGTGGGTGCGTTAGGGGGAACTGATCCTCAAGAAAAAGGGAAAGGGAATAACTTTCTCGGTACATTATGGTTGTGTACAAGACTTGGTCTCTAGACTAAATGAGAATCTACACACTAATGCTATGGAGTAAAACTATGAGATGAAGGACGTAACCTGACCTCTAGCTAGCTACCGTCGGTCTCGGCCAGTGGGTTAGCGGGACGCGAATTTTTTTTCTCCCAAACGACACCCACCCATGGGTGTACGCTATGGCGTTTTGGACTTAAGTTTTATAAAAACATGAGAAGAAAATATAGAATTAGAAGGGAAAAAACATTTTAACGTTATGAAGTTCGGACTTTATTTCCCTTAAAAAAATCCTCCAAAGCCTCAGGTTAGAAAAGGAAAAAAAATCGGGTGCAAAACCGAAATTTGCACCCGCAACCTCGCGGAAAAAAATACTTCCTTCTCTCGACTGAGCTGTCGCACTACTCGCCAAAACGTTGAGAAACACCGTAATTAGGGAGGTTTCGCAAGCGAACGGATACGCTTACACTTACGTTTAGCTATCCGTATCCGTTTTTTACTTATGTGTAGCGAGCGAGATATGCGTGTCGTCTGTACGTATGACGTCATACGCCACTCACTATCCCCTAAACGTACAGACGACACGCATATCTTGCTCGCTACACGTAAGTAAAAAACGGATACGTATAGCTAAACGTAAGTGTAAGCGATATCCGTTCGCTTGCGAAACCTATATACCTGTGTGCGTATCAAAAAAAGTATCGTAGAGGTTGCTAAACCACCATGTATGCGGATGCCATTTCGGAAAAGAAAATTTGCTAGCGGGACACACTCGCTGGGGTGTTCGGGGTCAATGAGGGGTGAATACACGGGTAGGTTTTAGCGAGCCGCATTCGCTAATGCTCGGGGTCAATGTGGGTCGGATGCAGGGGTAGGGTGTGTGAGGGGAATTCGCGTCGACTTCGGGGAAGGGAGGACGGAAAATGGCTAAGTCCTCAGTACAGTCCCATGGCGGTACATATTCAATAGCAGTGAGCGCTACATGCATTGCGCGCTATACAATATAGCGTACTGTACAATGTGCTACCATGGAGCTATACGGTGCTACACACTTAGGCGTGTGTCTAAGACTTCGTGGTAAGCTTGGCGCTGTGTGAGGGTACACAGGATCGCTGCAAGCATTACGCTCAGTGCATAGATAGGAAGGGATTGGTTGGGAAAGAAGTAAACTGCGCAAATTCGTGGGAACGCAACGCTATCAGTGTCTGTCTCTAATTCATTATTTTTTACATCGGACTTTATCACAATTATACTGCTCAGTGCCACAATCTGAGGTGAGAGGTAGAGACCAATACTGATGGCGTAGCGTCGCATGACCAAAGTTCACAATCCGCAAAAGCTGCAAGCAAATGAGCTCTGTAATGTTGACGATAAACCATAATGGCGGCAGATCTCTCGTGGACAGGTATGGTGTACGACATTTGCATCGTTGGGGCCGGATTATGGGGTTCGTCAGCGGCCAGACACGCCTCGTTGCCTGGTCGCAAGGTGTGTCTTATAGGACCCAGTGAACCACAGGAAAAGGTAGGACATGAACCGAACCCTTAATTAATAAGGGAATAAATATCAAGTGCTTTGCTGGTTTTAAGCAAGTCCGTTTGAGACCGGCGTGGGGAATGGACGCTGATAATGGCCGGAGCCGAAGGCGAGGGACATTATTGGCGATCAGGCCCACGCCGGTCTTAAAAACGGACTTTTTAAATACCAGCCAAGCACATATTTATTCCCATTCATGAATTCCTTTTCGGTCAAAAAGTCAAAACAAGTCAAAAACTATATATTTCTTACGAATTTGTTCAACAGTTTTACTTCAATCATCTTTTTTTGAAACACTCCTCTAGCTATGTTATGTCTCTCTCGCGAGAAGTTGTAAACACAATCGTGCTCATGTAACATGCACTGTAACGTGCTCAATTATCCGCCGAATCCACCCGGAGAATTCGAAGCTAGCACGCCGGAGAAGTGAGACCGTGACACCGGTGTTGTGTGAACTTGGGACTCTCTAAATGCGGACTCATGGGTAGTATTGTGTATGCCAATAAGTGAAGATTGTGAACGCTCAACCAATTAAAGGGTAAAAGGGACCCGACTTCAAAGGAGTCCAAATTTCATGTAACACCACCGGAAAAGTGTTTAAGACCAGCCAGCCGGTGTTTAATCAGCCGTTTAAGACCGTCCACGTGACGGGCGCACGACCAATAGGAATGGGTAAACTGTCTTAGGTACATGTATTCATGAAAGTTGTTTAAGTTATAACCTAATAGCGAAAACTTTTTACAAACTTACATTTTGGGAAGGTCCTGTGAGAACATCCATAGTCTCATTGGAAGTTTGACAGGACATATTGTTTTACCTGTTGCGATGTTGTTTTCAGGATCGCCCTTCGCGGGACATTTTCGCCTCTCATTATGACGTCTCACGTACTGTGCGCAAATATCAGGGAAGTGATCACATTCGGAGTTTGATGACAATGAGAGCTTATAAAGGTCTTCAAGAATTGGAAGGAACCACAGGTACCGTGATGAATAAGCCTTATTCTTGAAAGAATGGGGGCGCTCTAACGACTCCATTGAGAATACTTATTAACAGACGTGAATCGAAGGCTTTTGAAGTATATATACATACTGCTTAATCAACTTTCTGAACTGCTTTAATAAACAGGTGTTTCCCCCTAGTCTTTGTACCTAAAAATGTTGTTACAGCGCACCAATTCGATCAAAAGTATGGCCTGTAGGGTTCGCTCGTACCCACCGCCCTCATATTGGGCGTTGTGCCTATGGAAAGGGCTAATCTCCTGCACAATATTTTGTGTGAAGGAAGCACTAGGCGCGAGAAGCAGGGCAGCTAACTGCCTCATCCAATGCACGTATGTTCTGTGCGCACATGCCATGTACAGGCGGAAATGTTGACCCGCGTTACTGTTCAAACAAATTCTATCCAATGAGGGCTCGAGAGAATTACGTCATGCATCTAGAAAAAGTAGCCCTTCCCAGCGCCCTGTGTCAGGGCAGTGCGTACGAGCGAACCTATTGCTTTTCCTCCAAAGCATTGAAAGCGAAATTGGACCTGATTATCGTTTTTGTTGAACACACTCACATACAAGTCATTTGCAACGTTGGGGTAGGCTATGACATTGTATCGTGACAAATTTATGAAAATCATGATTTTTCTTAAGTGGGGGGGGGGGGGGGGGGGGGTTCTCGGTACAAGTACAAATCGATTAGATTTTGGAAGTGATCCGGATCTGGGTCTTGATGCGCGATTTTTTTGTAGAGATTCTTCACCATTTTGTTTGTGCAAATATAATGTGTACAACTGAGCAGCTTTAAGCTTTGTGCGCGTGCCCCCGGCCTGTGACCCTGTGCTTTATCACCGACCTAATCTATAACCACACAGGTCAATGGACTAGACCACTTTATACATGGAGGGAGTGGATAGGTAGACACAGGCGTATACACGTTAACTACAAAATGTTTCAGTTTAAGGATTTGTCTTATTGAATAAATAACACTGTCTTACACGACATAAAGTGGCCAACATTGCTACTTTTCGATAAATTAAGAATAATGATCAATGCTGTTGACATTTTAAATGTGCAATAAAATATGGAAGTCCAGTGCACATGCCAGCATTTCTTTTGGGTGTACTGACAATATGGCGGGGAAGGGGACGTCTCTATAGTCCGACGTCCCATTGGTCCGACGTCCCATTGGTCCGACGTTCTATTGGTCCAACGCCCCGTAGGATGGCTTAGGGTCAGGGTAAGGGTCAGTCAACCTGAACCAGTGCAACTGTCGGACCAATGGGACGTCGGACCATTGGGTAGTCGGACCACTTGAATTGTTCTGCCTTGGGGGAGGTTTGCGCTCTCTGAGAGCTTTGTAATCGTGATCTACGATCTGGCCCTCTGGTCTTATAGGCATACAACTCAACGCAGCAGTGGGTCACATCATGTATGGAAAAGATATCGAAAGCATAACGGTGCCAATAGCCAAGGAAGAAGGTGTTCTCTTGACGGCAGAAGGCGTCCGTGAAAGGTATCCATTCTTGGACACCAGTCGATATGGCGACACCGCCATGTTGTTACCAGTTGACGCCGGCCACGCCAACCCTCGAATGATCGTCCGTGCGCAGCAAGAGGCAGCCGCCCTCCAAGGCTGTGATATTATTGATGACGTAGTTCAGTCGGTGGAGGAGTCGGGGGACCACACTCACGGCGAGCCATTGATGAGGGTTGTGATTGAGAAAGAGCGCCCCCTCCTTGCAAAGAAGGTGTTACTGTGCACAGGCGCGTTCACACAGTTCAAGGATCTTCTACCGCCCTCTACAAAACTGGATTTGGGAATTGATGGGTCGTTCACAGTTCGGCTGGAGGTTGGGGAAGGCGATTTGGAGAAGCTTCGCAGCATGCCTACTATGACATCTTTCACCGACGAGGATTGGAAGTGTTACATTCTCCCGCCGATAAAGTACCCAGATGGTAAGGACAAAATAATGTCATTTTTCAAACTATTCCCATTCAAATTTCACTAAACGTATTTCTTGATAATATAAAAGTTGGAAAACAAACCTAAAAACTGCAAAGTTCAAACAAAATTTAATATCTCATGAAAACAGTAGGGTTACTCGATAACCTTTCGTTAAAAAACAAACACATTTAATAGGTGTTGGCTTAGCGTTGGTACGGTATTTGTGTTTGATGTTCAGACAAATTACCAATTTCCACACAAGAATTGACACTAGATTTCGACGTGTGTTCATCTTCATTCTGCCAGGGAAATACTACGTGAAGCTAGGACCAGGCTATCAGGACCAGCGAAGACTGACCAGCCTCAAGGAAGTCAAAGACTGGTTTCTGTCTAAGCCCGATCCGAAGTTGGTGGAAAAGTACAGAGATTTGCTTTTGAGTATCGTTAAAGGTAAGTACCAGGTTATTACACATAGTGCTGCTGTGTTTTAAATGGTGATTTTAAGGGGTTGGCAGCAAAATTCAGTACCGTAATGATATTCTTATATAGATAATAGGACTGTAAATACAAGGACACTACTACTGAAATTCCCTTCTTCTGAGTAATATCTAAAGGTGGACAAAACAGTCCATACAACTAATTGTTTCGACGAACACATTTTGTGCAACTTTTCACTCCTATTAAATGTATGGAAAATATCTGCATTTTTGTTTATTTGTTTGGAAAAGAGTTTTAAACATAAAAAAGTCCGTGCTTTTCCGAAAAACTGAGGGCGCTGTTGGTATGATGTCATTTCAGGAAGACACTGTTCAAGGTTTTCTGTACAAATTTGAAACCCAAAATTTGCTCATTGAAAACATTTGCGAGAAAGGTTGCTCAATGACTTTTGCCATGTACGTACACAACAACGAATCACTAAAGAAAAGAAACTTGAGGACAGCAAAATATACACAATTCTAGCAACGTTTTGTGCTAAAATAGCTGTAACATTGAGGTATCTGCCTGGAATGACATCACAGTTTTGCTCATGAATATGGAAATTGCATTACCATAATATACAAACCAAAAGGCACCAAAATACCCTTCAAAATGGTAAAACAAGAATTGAAAGTGAGGTTAAATTGTGACACAAAACATGCATTTTCAAGGGTAGCATGGAAAATTACGTTATAAGAGCCCTTCAAATCAGGTAATAAATAGTAGTCGTTTTCGTTGTCTATTTCGCAGGCTTCCATCCAGTCTCTGTCAAAACCGATATGTGCGTAATTTCACATACGCCGACCGAACTCCCCTACTGTGACATGTTGTCGCCCAGACTCGGCCTTGCGATTGGAGGAAACGGTTTTGGGGCGATGATATCTGATGAGGTGGGGAGGATGGCCGCTGAGATGATCGCTGGAGGGGAGAATTGGAGCCGAGACATACCGAGGGAGATGTTCAAGGCTCGTGTCCTCACACCGACTGCCAACTTGTAAAAAAACCCTTACATTGCGGATAGCTCCCGCAAGCTTCTTATACATGTGAACCTAGCTGGTCGGGGTCAATCATTGGGAAGAAGACACGGCAACTCTGTTCTGAAGGTTTATTTCTGGAAATGAAAAAGGAAAGACGGAAAAGGAATTGGAGGTGTCTTCCCTGGTTTCCAGTCAGAATTTGAATTTACACCACAGAAAGTATTAAAGGAAAACATAAAAAGACATAAAAGATAATAACTAGCTGAGTGATGATTTAAGCTGAGTGATGTTAATATAGGAGCTTATCAGCTACATCAATCAAGATCAAGAACTAGGACTAGTTAATCAAACAAACATATACATCGTCACATTATATGTTAAATCTCAAATAGAATCTCAAAGGACAAAGAAAGCGTGAGTATTAAGTGTCAACTTTGTGACGGAGTTAGTAAAGGATGGCCTGGTCCTAAAAATAACTATCGTATTAAATTATAAAAATACATATACCGACTGGAATGAACAATATAATCAATCACGTAAACGGATAAAGGATGGCTACGTTAACGATGTTTGGTTCCCGCCAAAGCTCAAATGTCAGTCGCCATCTTGAAAATGAGACAAAACAATTAAAGAAAATACGAAAAGCTTAAACCGTGTTGTAAAAGGATATAAAATTATGTTACTAAATAAATATTTACAAATGCAATCAAGACAGATGAGGAATAGTATCAGCAAAGGATAATAGATGAGATTTTGGAAATATCTCAAGACTGACACCTCAAGTAATTCTTTATAATAAACTACACCAAAATACTTACACAAATCTACAAAATGCCTAGCAAATACTTAAGTTAAGACGAATGCACTTTCTCCTAGGAATGTGTTAATATGAAAATGTAGAAATTATGACAAAAAGTGGAAATCATTACCTGGAAATGGAAAAGGAAAGACGGATAAGGAATTGGATTGTCTTCCATGGTCTCCAGTCGGAATTTGAATGACCTGGGGACCGATGCCCGTTGCCAGCAGCGTTTGTAATTGGCAGACGTAATATGAATATTAATGAAGTGAATTAGCATAGCAAAGGATAAGTTAGCTACGCGTAAAGGAATAAACCAATTTTTAGGGGAGGGGAATCTTTCATACCTGTGACACACATTTCAAAGAAAAATCAAAAGAAAACCTGTGTTCAAATTCAAAAAATAAAGTCCAAATTGCCACCATTTCAGTCATGTTCCCTGTATCCAAAAGCAGTACTGAATGATAATGTTTTTTTGTGCAAAAAGGAATCAGACTATTTTTTCCTTCCAGCCTCGCTTTGGTTACGTTGATTTGAATGGGGGAAATGATTATGGCCGCAACATGATAATGGTCTTTATCCAAATGTTTGACACTTCAGTTTTTGTTATGAATACGAAGGAAAAAGTCGCGTATCGGTCAACATCTCAATCCCATCCCCTCCTCTTTCATAGACTTAAAAATCACATTATTTTTTTTTAATGAGCTATTAAGGTAAGTTTAATGTCCTCTTCGCTGGGTGATTGGTGTTAGTTAACAAACAGGAACCAGATTATTCAATATTTATAAATGTTGCCGTGATAATAAAGTAAATTGAGATACAATTGTAATTACAGCTAAAATGTGACAAACCATACAGCTTGCCACCAAGCGGTAACATAATATGACTGATCTCTTGACGCTTGCCGCGCCTGCAGTTTTTTTAAATGTGTACACAGACTGATCAACTGGCGAAATTCCACCGCATGAGGGCCGTTTTGTGCACAGTGATATTTCACACACATGTTTTTTTCATGCGGTCAAGTGGTTTCCGCTCTGCGTATACCCTCTGCGTTTCCTGCACGCAGCTAGCCTTTAATAAAGTTCGCAGAGCGACTCTTTCATATTGCATAATGGACTTTGATTCTGAAAGGAAAGCTCCTTCTCTGACGATCCACAAATTGTGTTTACGTTGACCGTATTATTAGATTATTTGAATCTTCCTCGATCAATTCGATCACCATCGCAAAAATGGCTACCACTATGGCACCCTTGAACACGACAAACGACGTGGGGGATGAACTGAACCCCGGTTGGGGGATCAGTGAAATCGAAAACAGCATGGTGGTGCGAGCAATCTACGGTATTATAGCAGTGCTGGGTATCACAGGTAACTTTGTAGTCTGCCTGGTGCTGCTTCGAGTCCCCAGTCTCCGCTCACACACCAGTAATTTCCTCGTGCACCTGTCACTGGTGGATCTGATACTATGCATCTGGGCGGTGCCGTTTCACCTGTTCCCCCACGTGCCCGACCCCAGCCCGGGGGTAGGGGGCGACATCAAGTGTCGCTTGTACTCCTCCAAGTTTCCCCTGTGGACCTGTGCCTTGGTCTCCATCTGTAGCCTGGTCACTGTTAACCTAGAGCGCTACATCGCAATCGTCTATCCCATCAAATACAAGAACATCTACACACCTAGAAACACAGCCCTAATGATCGCTGCCTGCTGGGCCATAGGAATCATCTCCAACTCCTACACGTTCTACGTCTACGGCAACAACGAAGACGGTCACTGTGTCTTCTTCGGCTGGCCTACCAAAGGGTTTCAGGTGGTGTTGGGTCTCTGGAACTTCATTTCCTATTACCTAGCACCCTTCATCTTCATGGTTATAACTCAATGGAGAGTTATCAAGACGCTCAGGGACCAGGCTAAGATGCTAAAGGAGAAACGAGAACGAACAGGTAAGAATGCTTCATCAACCCGAGGTCTCATTCTGCTAGTTTTGAATAAAAAAATGTATACTGGCCTTTCACTTGTGCCCACGAAACGATTGAGGACATGTGTTGTGCTCGGCGGTGGTGTATTTCATTACGACACATAGAGGAGTACAGTGCATGTACTACTAAATTGCCCATCTTGGCTGTTTTGGCAATTGTCTCGAAATTGAATGTTTTACCCAAGTCTTCAAAGAAGATTCTGTATGAAATGTATTATTTTTGTATTAATTGCATTTCATGTTCACAGACACAAATTGAGCTACAAAACGTATATACATCTTCATTTGTGCATTAAACGTTGTATGCAAAACCATGACCATCCCTAAAACAATAATTATTTAACACTGAATTTATGTAATCGTGATGAAGTTTGGTGTCGGAAAGTCGAGTTCACTAACCCAAGAAATGAAACTGCACGCTGCCCTGGTAAATGGTCGGTTAGGTCAGGGTATTGCTCGACCTTATGAGTGCCATCTGACACGTACAGATTGCCGACAGAGAATATCAAATTTCATTTCCTTATTTGCGGTTCAGTCAATGAAACCTCATTAATTATGATGTGATACTAACCACTGAGCTTTAAGTTTTTTTTCTTAAAGTAACAGTCTGGCAAACCTACAGAATGGTAAATTTTTGATAACCAGAACATTTATTATTTTAATTATGACAAAAGATAAAAAATACAAAGAGCGAAGAACTTTGCACTTTGCGAACTCATGTCTGTGTATTATGATAATAATGATTTCCCTATACTCTTCCGTATTAAGCAGTCGCGATTGCGCACGTCGTGTTTACAAAGCCACACGGATACACTTCCCAATCTTCCTTTATCGTTAGAAGTTGCTTTGGTTTTTTGGTTTGTAAAGATGACATGAACTCAGGGAAACCCGAGGCCAGCCTTTCCACCGGATGTGTAGGGACTGCAAAGTAGACTGTTGTCACAATTCTGCCACATGCTGCAAGTTGAAAGGCCCGACACAAATTTCCTGACCTAAACAAAAGTATTTTCTTTACGACATTTACACCTCATCTGCAGCCAAAACAGTAATGTGTGCCCTGATCAAATGCACACGATACGTCCATATAATGACATTAATGTTGAGTTGACATCTTTGCCAAGTAGTAGCCAGTCAACAATTAGCAACGATGTATTTGTTTGCAGAGTATATCATTGAAACTAAATAAAGGGTTATTTAGTGGTTCTAGTTTCGATAACGTTGAAGAAATGCCTAGCAACACGGCGCGGCGTCGAGGTATCATAGAACGGGGTCTACTCGATGTTCCCCAATACCTATGTTCCCCAATTAACATATCGCGGTAGAATCGCGTCAACAAAGCTTGAGAAAAATTATCCAATTACACCATATATTATGGACGCGAACGCGCAAAATCTGAGACAAACAAAAGTCATCGTACACAATTCCACAGGGTTGTCTGAGGGGCGTGGCTAACTCGCAAACGGCGATAGGTCAATATGAGTTCCCCGGGCGTAATATTCCCCCACACACACTTTTAGACCAGGGGTGGGCTTTGAATCATCCCCCACTTTTTCGTGATGAGAAAAAAATTAATGCGGATTTCGAGGTATTTTTCGAACATCCCAACAATCCAAATGTATTCAATAGCACTGAAAAGTGGAAAGATAATGACAAAAGCTTTTAAAATGCGCCGTGTTGATGTACGCCATAGGATATAATTATTGTCACCTAGTGCAATGTGGTGTCCATTCCCCCCCCCCCCCCCCCAGCGTGAACAATACCTGCGTGGCATTATGATTATAAGTACGTCATAGCATTCATAGCGATCATTCAGCCTTTGTTACGTTCCAAAGCCGTTTCCGCAATATGAGTTACCTACGCCAGTCCTATCCTGTTTGGATACTGTAACATCAAACTTTGTAGTTATGTCAGCTGTGGTTCAGGTGTGTGTGTATGGTGAACTGATTGCGGACGACCGAGGGAAGTGAATTATTTTCCCAGGCGGAGTACTTCGGGAAGATTAATGGTCGGTGAAAAATACGTGATGCATGACACTGGTATCCTCCCATGAACAATCCGGCTAAATTCTGGTCTATGTTTCAATCAGAATCGAATGTGAAATGGAAGTGACGTCACCATACATTTGCGGAAAAAAATGACAAAAAGGTTTGCAACTTTTGCGAATTTGCAGCTTAACTCTGAGTATATTTAAATACTTGCTGGGACGTCATACATTCGCATCTTAATTTTAAACTTACCTTTAAAATTCATGTTTAGAGCAATCATTAATTTACCTCGAGGGTACTTCAAACGTAAAACTTTTAAAAGTTGAACATGGCTTCTGACTAACGCCACTTGAACATAGACATTGACTACACGGGGAGCCACCGACATAGGGCTGGATAGCTCAGTTGGTAAGAGCACCGGGACGGTAATCCGGAGGTGGCAGGTTCAAGCCTCGATCCTGTCAATTTCTTTGTTCAGTTTTTGAAAGTTATTGCATAATGCACTTATAGTCAGTTTCCTCTTTGTGGTTTATTTTCAAAACATCAAATATTTGATTTTTTCATTTTACATTTTTTGCTGCCTCAGAGGCTCACCAAAGGGAAAGTCCAAATCTCGGTTTATTGCTTAAGGCAGTCTCTGTGTTGACACTAACATCTCAGCGTCTTAATCGAGTCCTTTGAAAACTTCCGGTTCCATCTCTCAAGGTGAGGTCTCTTGTAGAAGATCCTTTGGAATTTCACGCTAACCACTTTTATTCATCTACTTTCTCGCCACTTTTATAGTGTCGACGGTCCGGAAGTCACAATACCGTAAGATGTGGCAGGTCCACGCGGCTCAAGAGTTGGAGAAGACACTCCTGATTGTCAGCATCACGTATGCCATCTGCTGGGCGCCTAACCAGTTCCTCTTCATCGTCTTCAACCTGAGCCCGGACCCTGAGATCGTTGACTTCGGGGCTGCCTACTACCATTTCACCGTGATCCTAGCCGTGGCTAACTCCTGTCTCAACCCCATCATCTATACCATGAAGAACAGGCCCTTTCGTCGCGGTATCCGTAAGGTGTTTGGCTGTCCGCGGGGGATTCACCCCAAGAAGCAGAAGCCTGTCGCGGCAGAGGTCGCTACTGTTAATAGCTCTGATATCATCAGGCTTGGCCACGGGCCTGGTGTGATCGTACAAGAGAGTACTAACGAAACATCGCAGCAGGTATGACCGCCTAGGAATTAGGATGGTGAGATTCAAGAACCATCTTTTAAAAGCAGATATTCTGCTTGCCAGGCCCTTGCCAATGTTCAGCCAATGTTATGCCGCTATATGCCATTGTTACCAATATAGGACCCACTTTTTTTGGCCAATGAGGCAAACGTACGTGGAACATTATTGGGTAAGATTGGGCCAATATTGGCCACATTCTGCCAAGGATTGGCTTCCCCGATTGGCCTGTTTTTGCCTAGATGAGCCCAATATTGGCCAGATGTTTCTATGCTGGCTGGATTGCTTGTCCAAAATGAGGACAAGAGAAGAATGTATTAATATAGACTACTTGCAGTTAAATTGTATTGCTGTAAATTCCAAAATGTACACTTTTCTTTTAGTATGGGTGACGATATCATCCAGGCCTACATTATTTTCTAGCAACATAATTTGTGAGTTTATTTTTAGTCAATTAGAATGCACCATTGGCACCCAAAACATGTATAAATAAAAAAATTAGCATTTTCCCTTAGTTTTGGAAAATATTCTCGGAATGCTGTAATAATATAAACAAGGCTTCTTCCTTCACTGGCATAATGTTATCAAAACTGTACGGCTACATTTTCCTTAGAACTAGTGAGTATTGTTGAATACGTTTTAGTCATCAGGTTTCGAAGAGATCCTATAATAAGGGCTCCCTGAAAACACTTATTAATTTTCTCTCCAGAAATGGAACAATAAATACTACAAATTTCGTATACATCGAATATTTTATATAGGGTTATTACCTATATAATGGAAAAGTGTACAAAAGCTGAAAGGCCTTGGAAATAAATGAAGGCAATTAAGACGACGACAAGTAAAAACACAAGTCTTGTCACAGTGAATGGGAATAAGCACTGGTGGGAAAGTGCCTTCGTCTAATTCGTTTAAATTCATAAGTGTACCGTGATGACTAGATTACGGTTGTGGTCGCTAAGAAAGAAAAAGAGAAGCAATTTCCTACTTTCTCTGTTTTGTTCATAAATAAGAACCCTGGATAAAGTACGTCTACTCAACGAAACACGAGTGTCCACTGATATTAAACTGCGCCTTATTTCAATGCACGAGGACTTCATTCTGTTCAAGTCAACCCTTGATAGTTGAAGTTATAAATGGCTCCGTTGTTCGTACCTTTGGACGACGAGTCATGAGTAATATCAACCGTCGGACACAGTGAGGTTCAATATTGACAGACTAGTTCAGCTGCAACGGGGCCTTACAAAAACAAAGGATACCGCGTATTGCGCAATAGACTTGTGATAGGTTCAAACTGACGATGACTCGACTTTCCTGGCCAAAACAAATAGCTGCGAAATAACGATTGTCTCACAACCGCTACTCTTTCTAAACTATGACTATAAACTGGTACAGCAAATAAGAACAAGCGAAGTTGAGCGGATTATGTTCAGGCCTATATGATTATCAATATATAAACTACAGTTTTTGTACATAATGTATTCTAATTATTACTTGAACAATACTTCCTTGTTTCAAAAGCAGGCAGTTTGCTGATAACGTGGTGATTAAGGATTCATAACAGTGTCAATTAATGCTCCTCCACGCCTTATCTGTTTTGATATTGTGGTTGAGATGGCATTATGTGACCATGCAGTTTTCCATCTTTAATGCGCAGATATACGTTGAGAAAAGTCTGAGTGTTCCGCATTGACTGCAATTTTGAATTATTTGTAAAAGTTCTCAATCTCCAAAAGAAGCTGGAAGATTTGTTACTAAAATAATTTACCAAAGAAATGTAAACCATGCATGAAATGAAACTGTGAATAATATTTAAGGAATATCTTGAAACCGCAACGCATCGCTCTATTGCATACTGAGTAATTTTATTGCTTCATATTGTATAAGTGCAAACATTGTTATGATACCAGGAAGATAGACAATAAAATAATTATTCTGGTTTTTACAAACGTGAATTTTGTTTTATAAATAGACAAAGGAAGCAGGTATATACAAAACTGTGGCAGTAACATTAACAATTGTCTGCTATACTAGTTATAATATTGGTTTCGATTTCAAGGATAAGCAAAATTATAAAATTAACCAAATCTTTTCATCTTAGACCATCATGCTCAGCATATATGAGTACACCAACTTATATATTGCTGACACAAATATAGGGACAGAACAAGAGAAGAGTTTATAATTAGAAATGACACCAAGTTTTGACTGTGTTATGCAAATTCGAATCTCTTTACCAACTCTGTTTACGGAAACGAATTGCGCAATGTATAGTTGATTGTTTTGTGTTGTAGCACATGTTTTTTCGCTACGTTTGATTGTTTAAACTGTGTCATAATCATGTGATGCTGTAAAGTCATGTTCCCTGCCGACCCTTGCACACCCAAATAATGTCTGTTGACCACTTTTTTTTTAATGACGAGTCATGTACTGTGTTGTTGGTGACACACAGTATCATGGGGGTTTGCTTCACGTATCCCGTGGGTGGGCCTAATTCTTTCGAGATGTTGTCTATTAATTTTGAAATAGTATTATATTTGCAATCTATAGCGGAACATCGTAATGTAAACAATGTTTGCTACATTTTAATAATGATACAATAATAAAACGAAAATTGCAACATTGAGAAAATCACGTATCCCGAATAATTTTTATCATTTTCAGACGAAGAGATGTAAAATATCCACCTACCTAAATTTCAGCAGTTTTTTTTAAATATTTTGAATTGGAGTTAGTTTGCTGCTGTTTAACAAGGAATCATACGTGACGATGTGTAGTTATTGAGCGGAAGTCCGTCCTTTATTTACCCAGTGTAGTTCATGATGAGTCCTTTGTTTACCCAGTGTAGTTCATGATGAGTTATTGCCACATGATCTACCTTGTTACAGGATAGGCTTGTTGTTGCTTCGTTCTTTTGTTTTTTGGACAGGAAGGCACGTTTGCTGTCATGAACGTTATAGTGTCAACTCAAGGACAACAACATAAATGGTGGCGCCTTTTTGTCTAGCAGGCCTACTGCAAATATAGTATGAACAATTGTCAAGGATAAGTTGAGTAATATCATGGCAATATCGGATGCATAGATATGGCAGACTTGTGCTTAACGGAAATAATGCTAGCAACCTGTTGTGAAGTACATGATACACACTGCTGTTGATTGCATGAATATTGCACACGGTTGTGTCTCCAGCCTTGACACAAGTCTGTTACTCTTTTTATCTGTGATCGATAATCGATGAATCTCAATCGAATTAGGCCCTTTTTATAGACGCCGTGTTACTGCTGAGCCGAACGTAATTGAATTGAGTTCGGTAACAGCTCGTCTACAGCACGGCAGTTGCCCAAAATGCCGAACTTTATAGTCGAACCTTGATGCATCTGCCCCCCGTATAGCTATACGCTGCTGCCATAAAGCCAGTATCGAACAAATCTAAAAGAAGCAGAAACATGGGTTTGATTTTTGCTCATATTGTTCTTGAGACAGTTCAAAACTGTCGGAAAACTCCCGGGTGTCGATTCCTGTCGGGTGCGATCCAGCTCGTCTGCCGTCCTTGATCAGCACGACAGGTGTGGGCTTCCATCGAGCAAGGATTTCGTCGACCAGAAACCTGAAACGACAATGTTCTTTTTTCTCAGGCTACATCAAGCTTGCGTGCTTGTGACAATTAGAAACATGCAGATAAATTGTCAGATGACCACTCTCTGACAATAGAGAGCGCTGTTAATGGTGTAGTTAATGACCATAATAATTAATGCATGCGTCAGTCGACGTTTTTTGGACTTATACTTCCATTTAAACATTTCATCCGGCGCCATGAATCAGATAAAATGTGAAATTTATTTCACTGATCAGTAGGACTTGATTAATTTAATGAAAGAAAATTCACTTTGGGGGGAAAATAGTGTAGCAGGACACAGTTGTGCTGCATGGCCCTGTGAAGGCAAAAGGGTGTATCTTGAAAAAGCTCAATTCGAGAAAATCAGTTTCAAATTTCAAGGTCAATTTACTACCACAGGTTGTGATTAACTTGTAAATAGGCCTACACAGTAGAAATTTCAGTTTCTTGTCTTTACTGAGTTTTGGATAGAGGCAATTTGAAACCAGTTACACCCTTATTACCATGAAATATCACAAACATAGAAGAATTATTTTGGTAAAAGAGTGTATCGTGAGAAAACCATATCAAAATGCACTATTATTGCTAGGTGAATCTTTTTATTTTGTAGTTACGCCTTTTTGCCTTGTCAAACCTGGTCACATCTAACACAAAACAGAGTGTATCTCAATATACACCTTGTCGTCAAAGAAACTTAGTCAAACATGCAAGCACATTTTTTGCACACGATACGCCCTGCTGCTATCTTTGAAACGGAAGGCTGCGTGCGGACTTGAGGGTCCGTTAAATGTAAACAGCGCCCCCAATCATCCCAAAAAATGACTTTATCTCAAAAAGATCGAAATCGAAGTTACACCCTTTTGCTGTAACGTTTTCCACCGCTTTTCACGTGATATATTTCACACATACGTGACTGTAATAGCCTGCAGAAGTAAAACAATTGAGGACGGCTTTACACAATCTAGCACAAGGTGGCGCTTTGATTCGTTTGTTGACCAGATTTTGCACCCCAATTTTTTTTCAAAAAAAATTTCATTTGATCAATTGAAACGATATCAGGATGTGTATGTGGACGTCAAACATCTAGATAGGCCTACATCCCCTTTGAAGCAAGGGGTTAAGAGACATTATCCTACCTCTCTTCTCGGGAATGTTTGAGCTTCTTGTATATACTCACAGCATAGGCTCTTCGATGTTCAAGTAGTCTTTGACTGATATCTTACTCCAGCCAACAAAGTTCTGGTTCCGGGTCATCCATGTGATTTCTTCGTCATCAACAACGCATTGCTGTAAATCTGACTGCAGAGGTCAATGCAAAACAGTACAGTTGTATCCTGTTTTTACAACCTACCTTTTTACAAAATGTACGTTGTTTGCATGCAGCGTAAAGCTATCGCAGGGATGCAAAGTGGATCTAATTTGGCGCTCTTCTATTTTCATAGAATATGCACTGGAAAAGAGGATGAGTAGGCCTATATAGACTACGGCATCGATTTGAAACAGACGTCTCGTTCTCTGGTTAATAAGACATTTTTTGAGGGGGGGGGGGGGTGGGTTGCACCAATTGCCCCTTCCGGATCCGTCTGTGAACCCGGTCCAGCAAACTGATAAACGACTCGTATCTTAAGGCGCAACGAATGGTATCGTGAACCTTCGTACCTTGTTGCCCAGGAGTAATGAGGGAATAGGACTGCCGTCTGCCAGGGTCACCTTAGAGTCCAAATCCTTCTTCCATTTCTCCACGAGGTCAAACGAGGCTCGTGAGGTGAGATCAAACATGACAACGGCGGCTGAGGCACAGCGATAAAACACTCGAGTAAGATGGCGGTGGGTATCCTGACCTGCAGAACAATAGAACCATATTTTGAATAAATGGGGGCGCTGTTACGACGCCATGTTAGGGGCACACACATACGAGATGCTCAGGTAATTGATGTTCGAAAGCATGTTGCTAAAATCTATAATTAAAATAAAATACGCATTTACAATCATTTATTTTGATATTTTAGTCAAATTGCTATTTTACTTCTTTAACCCTATCAGGACCGGGCTTTTTTGGACCGATTTTTTTTAAACCTTGGTAGAAATTAACCTTCGACCAAATCCTACAGGTTGCCATTTTTTTTTCAAAATATCGTCCATAGAGGGCGTTTTTTGGGGACATTTTTCCCCTTTTTGGTCAAAAATAGTTTTTTTCCCGGTTTTTCCGTTTTCTTTGGCCAAATGTCATAAAATTTGGGAAACAAGTTTGTCGTGACACAATGACAACAATTACAATATGTTTTTGTTAGTGGAGTCACCGTTGGGGGCGCTATAATTATAATTATTGATTTTTAGGAGAAATATTATTTTGAAATTTGCACAAATCAGTTTTGTCACAACCGACGTTTTTGGAACTTACTAAACATGTTTTTTAGAGCAATATTTATGTTTTCACTTTTGTAAAACACTTTTTAAATACAACTACAGGTTTTTTTCACAAATATTTTGCTAATTTTTTGTTGTTGCTATTTTCTATATATTTTTTTTGCCAAATTTGATAAAATTGTGAAACGTGTTCTCAGACGTGAGATAAAATAAAAAGATTGTAGTACTAAAAAAACACAATTTTTTGTTTTCAGTTTTAATTTTTTTTTCAAAACTCAGCAAGTTTATCAGTTTTACACCTTTAGATAAGATACATTTCCCCTTGCATTTTGCTTAGTTTTTCAAGTTTTTTTTATTGTTTGCATTTCGTATTTGAAGGTGCAGCAGATGATCGCGTGACTTTATCATTTATTGACATGACAAATACAAAGATAGCATGTTGAAACTAGGGCCAATGCAAAAAAAATCTCAATACACAGTTGAATTTCACCAAGTTCCATTATTTGAAAAAACAAAACAAAATGGCCACCGGCTTTGGCGGCCATTTTGAATTCCCATAATGCATTGTAGATTTCAATCACTCTGCATTCTCAATCACCTATCTGATAAGTAAATTAATAACAATATAACAATTAGTTTTACAGTGTAGAAATTAATATTTAAACATTTAGTTTATTAAAATTACGAGATAATATTTAGGAAAAGTCACCAAATTTGGTGGCGATCGGCTGCACCGTTAAAAAGTTATGAGCAAAAATATGGGAGGGGGGCATATTGTGCCCCCCCCCCCGGTCCTGATAGGGACGTGCTATTTCAACTGTATACAAATGGCGTCGATACACCACTCTCATTCGCTAAACAATGACTTAATAACAAAAGCTGTTAATGATAATGTTAAAGACAATTAAGCCTTAAATAATCTCTAATTTGTTCAATTGGGCCACTTTTTTTCCACAGAAAAATAACCCATCTTTCATCGGATCTAAACCTTGTATACGCTTCTGAGAGAGGGGTAAGCTTTATTTGCGTGCTAAACCGAAGAAGAGTTTGTTCCCCATGAAACTGTCGACATCATGAAAATGAATACTTTATTTTCTGCTGCATATTATTATGATTTTCGATAAAGTAAACCCTAAAACGATATTTTTCTAGTATTGCGAATTATTATTATTTAATTGCATCATGCAATACTTTTTATTTTTAAACTGCATTGAATTTGTGGACTTGGATCTTAACAACCGTAAATTAGGTTGCGCAAACTCGACTTGACCAAAGTTCGACGACAAGAGGTTTTCCAAGAAAACTCGTCTTTGTGACTGATATTCAGCCTGATTACATTTGTTTGAACAAGAGTCATAAATTATAAAATATTAAATATATTCATGAAAAAGTAATATGTATTAATAGCAGAACGGCCGGAGGATTTTGTGAGTTATGAATTGCATTTGTTGACGTAACCCTGGCCTTTTGTTGATCTTGTCTTCGATCTGGGACGTATTTACGATGTTTATATGAAAAGCTATGGATTTGTCTCGGGAGCCTTTTGAGTTGGGAAGGGGCGTGGTCGAGGGGTCCTTTCCCCCTCTTCTTTGCACATTTCCCCCCGCCGCATTGCATTTTCCGCATACACACCGTGTGCAATCTTAACAGCAACCTTATGCTTCCGATAATTAGGTCCATTTGAACTATTCAAAGAATTGTATACTTCCCGGACAGTGGAAAGTCAGACTCTCTCCCCTTTCAAAAAATCCTGGTTCCGCTCCTGATCTTTTCCAACTGCTACACACGCAAGAAACAGTGCTAATATGTGCTCGCACTATTTTGTATAGCCAGAGTTTACTGAAAAACGAAACCACGTCAGCACATACATATTCAGCAAGGTACAAGTTTACACATTTTTGTATACAATCAAAAAGCAAACGGTAATAGAGGATAGTATGGAGAAACCAGGTAAGAATTATGAGAAAATAGCGCAAAAGAAAGCACAGGATCTCAGGGTATGGAAGGACGAGGTGTGATTATGGTGTGAACGAGGAGACTGGGGGATTCCTTGTGAACAAAAGACTTCCATTGGCTTGTGTTAGGACATCTACAAATGATACAACGGAAAAAGGTAAAGCCACAATGTCTCTCCATTACATAAAATACTGGCATCATTAAAAGCACGCTATCCTACCTGCGATATCCCACATTTGAAGTCGCACTAATTCCGCCTTAGATCTTCGTATCTTTTTCAGACCGAAGTCACCTGGAATAAAAATAATCAGTCCAAGCCATAAAGCCGTTATAAGGCTTTCCAAGTCACAATCATTTTCTATTTTAACCCTAGTAGGGCCGGGCTATTTTGACCATCTCACAGCCGGGGGGGGGGGGGGGGATTCCGCCCCACTCAGATCTCGGCCATCAAGTGACGAAAAATTATGAAACTCGGTACATGCATAGTACAACTTAATATAAACATACCCAAGAAATGTCATGACTACAGGTTAAAGGGTTTTGGAAATATGGCTTATTAATTATTCATATGCACCAATGGTAATGCTGCTTTGCGTACACAACATAATTTATATGGGGAAATGCAGTTTTGACGGCGCGCAGCGTGGCAACCCATTTTCGGAACTTTATGTTTTTGGTATCAAAATATGCGCAAGACTCGAGGCTGAAAAGTCAGGCAAGCTCGAGTTTTTGCTAGGGTATCGCGGAAAACGTTCAGGGAGCGGGCGGATTCCGCCCTGGCCCTTTTAGGGGCCATTCAGAATGTTCAATGTTTTAAAATTTCGACTTTTTTTCCAAATTATTTTGACCCACCCACCCACCCCTAATTTCGATTAATAAAAAACTGATTTGTTACGCAGTATTAAAGAACAAAACACGTACATGCACTTGCATGTACATCATTACATCCCACTGGCGGGCCTGTGCAGGTTGCATGTCCTTTTGAAAAAAAATCCATTGCTGCTGAGTGCTGGGCGGAGGCAAAGACTGTCTCTTTGCAACTTTTTGACAACAAACATAAGTCAAGTGATCTATTTTTTTTTTGGGGGGGGCTCTTTTTTCCCATGAGAAGTGAATTTCGATTTTCAGTTATTTAGCTATACCCACCCACCCACAATTTGGAAAAATAGTCGAAATTTTAAAACATTGAAAATTTTGAATGGCCCCTTAGGGTTAAGCATTGGCCGAAGAACTGAAATGTAAATAACGTTCAGTTCTTACGTTTAAATCCCAAACATAGCAATTGTACTACCGTTCGGGACAATTCATGACACTGCCCAATACTCACATCCCCTCGTAGGCTGGTAAGCATCGCTGAATAGATGACCAACGTAACGTCTCATGAAACTTGTCTTGCCTGAGCGCGGCTCGCCGATGATAAGAACTTTAAAATATCTCTCAGTCATTTCAGCTATACCACGTCACAACGGCACCATGGCATATGCAAGTGATGAGATAGCAAACTAAGTATTGAGTCGGGGGGGGGGTGTAGTGAACTTTACACCCCTTCACCGGGTAGGCATATACTCGGTTGGTTTTGTTTTTGAAGCACTCATGTCACTGCAGGACTTTGTCATTGTAAACACAGACGGGAACGGTACGTGGCGCTGTCTAGTCTACTCACAGGAGCCAGTGAAGGACAACTCAGTACCATTATTATCGGTGCTCTTAGTCATATGTTCACCGTTGAGGGGGTACTTGTGCACGAAGACAAAGTTAGGCATGGGTTGTCCCTCATTTGCAGCTATTCAAACAGTAAATGACGAGATTATTGTTGAAAAGCTTAATACTTAGTTTAAAGGTAGAGAACGTGTCCCGGACGCTGTTTTCTTGGAATATACAACTTTAACGGAGCTAAAACTTCATCAGGTTAGTTGTTAAGCACCCTTCTTAAGATTTTGCTTCAAACGAAACAAAAATGCACAAATGACAAAATGATGTACTCTACCTTTTAATAATGTGGCAATGCATCCAGGGGTCATAATAAGTCATATGAGTGATTGAGGGCGCTATAACGACGCCGTATTGAAGAACCTTCAGTAGGTGAATTTACTTCATTAAACTAAAAAATAAAAGATTGTACAAGTGTATTTCGGTTTTTATTTAAAGCAACTGTAAACTGACGGCAATAACCCAGGATTCATGTCTGTTCTATCCCCATCATTGAATCCCACTCATCCCCACATCGCTCTTGCCAAGAGCGCAGGCGCGGCTGACCGCACCTCTTTTTGTTTGAGCTCTGCTTGGATACACTGACCCGGGGTCAGCGCTTCCGTGACCTGTGCACAAGAAATGCATATACATGTACATTGCACGTTGAAAGTAAACCTACCCATGCATTACGACGACAACGTTTCCTTGAAGGCGTTTTTGTAAATGGGATATTATATATAGAGGGAGCCAACGCCTTTGGATTGGGCAACAAATTGCTCTGCAGATGTTATTGATATAAAGCGGAGAAACATACACAAATAGAGTTAAAATCTTGTGACATTGTTGTCAACTCGGGCAACAATTCCATGTGTTCTGTTTGAATAGCATTCTTTCTACCTGATAATTGTATATATATTTTTATATAGTTCTCCGTTATGCACGCACCGAGCTATGAAGGCTCTGTGTCATTCACCCAATGCTCGCGTATATAATCCTCCCTTAAATCGGCACTCCCCCTAATTAAAGTCCTAGAATAATATCAGGAAAACATGCCATTCATGACTGTTTGAAGTATCCATTTTGTGTCTGAAAAATGGCACCACGGTTGTACTTTGGTCACAATGTCTGAATTTAGAACTGGAGATCAGGAAGGACAATGTTTCGAAACTAACGTTCACACAAACACACATCCTCCATGCAGAACATTACCAAATGAAACTTATCTTTGTGAAAGTAAAACCAGTTATAACGGCAGAAGGAAAAGGTAAACAGAAATATATTCATCATATAAGTCACCAGGGGAAAATTATTAGCCATTAGGTTGCAAGATCAGTCACAGTGCAGGTCAGTCGGCTGCAATTAGGAAATTTCTGGCCATATCTGACACACCTTTGTCACGACGTCCACCGAAATAAGCACTTTTTGAAACATTTCTTTACCTCTACAACTTGGGTGAGAATTGGACGTCGGAAATCCGAACACTGAGACTCATTCACACAAAGGTAAGAACTTCGGATCTAAATTAACCAAAAAAAACCCCGCAGGCCCGTTGCGACAGTGACTTCTTTTGGCGGGCCTATCAATTCATACAATAAAATTGACATAGGTGTACGCGAATTACATTCTGAAAGTTCAAGCTAAAAAAAAGTGCTTGATTATATTCACGAGAAAATCTAGAGCTTTTTTTTCTATCACGAATACTTAACGCACTTTAGTTGTAAACGTAACATTGAATTTGCATAGTAACAATTGCCTTTTGTTGGACGATGTCTTCTGTTTTAATGAACAACAGATGCTGCACATATAGCAACCGTGATGTCTTATTTAGGATACCAACTATAGTGAATTACCAATTTGCCATAAATGCATAATCTTATACTCGAATACTTCGATTATTACCAGATGATGTTGTCGTAATGTCGATACATTTTAATTTTACAAAAACATTTGGACCTCAGATCATTTTTTTGCTGTTGAACATCAATTTTTCAAAATACATGTATTGACTGTTGAGAATTGAGAATTTTTAGAAAAATAGGAAAAACAATCATATATTTGTTATCCTATTTTTGTTTCGTTTCGTTCATATATTTGTATATTGCCTTTGATATGTTCTTTATTGCGAGTGGGTAAAACCAAATGCTCCAATTGTATCAGTTTGTTGTCGTTCGGGACACCATAAGGGATGCACCCTTATTATAGCCTATACAAGTTGTGGACATGCTCTATCATATATCGCTACTGCTCAATAAAGTGCCACTTATTAAGAATTACTTACCAACTTTGCGAGTGATAATTTCAAAACACGTACAAGGAAATTACTATAACAATAGTCTCTTGCAGGCATTTTCCTGAGTGGTACACAATTTGGAGATGATAATTTTTCTAAATTATTAAAGATGGGGGTGGCTCTCACTTGTTGTAGTCCCGTTGTGGTAAGAATCCGCAGTTGGGCATGTCCACGCTAATGGGTTGTAATTGACTGCAAATTTGGGATTTGAGAGGGGGACGCTGGAGAGTACAGCAAAGCAAGATATGGTGTTCATTTTCCCCCTGTACATTCTTCAGGCCTTAATGATCATGTGCCCATAACATATATAGAGGACTTTTGGTGTACTTAAAAAATACAGTGGTCATCTTAAATAACTACGTAAGTAACAAGGACAGAATTGGTGCTATAAATTTGCAGGACACTGATTATCCTGCGTATGACTTTACCCAAATGTCATCTCATTTATATTCATAACCCATTTAGGATTGCTAACAGCCGAAATAGAGACGATTTTCTTGGTCTTTAAGACACATATGTATTGTACGTGGACAGACATTGTGTGCCCAGTTTCTGTTCATGATATGCAGATAATACCCTGTGACATCTCAAATATACATTGCACTTATAAATCGCCCGTGTGGCACAAGGTTATGTACATCTAAAATAAGATAATCTTGGGTTTCTATAGGTAACAATGACGTAGGGATAAGAATGAAAAGGGACAATATTTTATAAAATACATTTATTGTAATTATATATTTCCATCAATATTAACAACTTTCTGTCCATGTTACATTCTGAGCATACATATCTTGTAAACTTTGCCTGGAAATCTTAATTCCTTGATGTGCACAATCATCGACAATGGGGTGAGAATGTACAAGTGGAAAAAGATCCTAGTGGACAAACAACTTGATATTATTATCCTGCTTCATTTCCCAGTCCTATGTCAAAAACAACCGAAACCCAAATAGCAGGACCAATTGTTGAATGAAGTTTTGCCCGTAGCACTTTCAAAATCTTGGATTTGAAAGCCCAGTCATCATCAGGCTTTATTTTAGTACAAAAATCATTCAAATCACTCATGTACTTTTCAAGTTACGGAATTTTGCCGTGAACACAACACTGTTTTAAAGTTCTGTCCGCGGATCACACAAAAAAGTAAGTGTTCTTTCAGCAAAACGAAAGCAACTCTCACAGGAATGCGTGTGAATTGTTTTCGTTTTGCTAAAAGAACACTTTCTTTTTGTGATCCGTGCATGGACAGAAATTTAAAAACGGTGTTTGTTTTCAAAATTAGTGTTCAAGTACATAAGTGATTTGAATGATTCTTGTACTAAAAGAAAGCTCTTTGATTGGGCTTTCATATTCAAGATTTTGAAATTGTTACAGGCAAAACTTCATTCAAAATTGGTCCTGCCATTTGGGTTTCCTTTTTTTTCCTCACCCTGTATAACTGCATGTCGAGTCGGAGCCCAAGTAATGAAGACGTGGCCATTGAGACGAAACCAGAACGACACCGAGGTTGGACAAAATTGACTCTTAGTCTCAAAATAACTGACCATCTTTTTTTGTGCGTGACCTATATTATGAAAATGGAAGTAAAACTGTTACCTTTACATCCTCAATAGTGATTATTTGATCAGTTCCTCCTGAATCAACAATGGTTTGTTTGCAAATGAGTGTATGGGTTTGCTTTCATTTTCATAATATGTCACGCAAAGAAAAAGATGGTTAGTAACCTTCTTCCAATCTCGGCTACGTTCTGGATCCAAGGGCCACGTCCTCATTATTTGGCCTCCGACTCAACTTGCAGTTACATTTGCGACTAAGCGACTAAAGAAACTCACATAGATGGGTGAGTTACTAACAACCATAGCCACGTAATGCGGACACAGCCCTGGTTATTTGTAGACTCATAGGCCATAGTTATAGCATTACCTGGATCTTTTTGGTTTATTATCAAGGGAAATGGAGGGAAGCTGTTTCTTTCAAGCGACTGCTACAAGTCTCATTGTGCTTCTTGTTCTACAAGGATCTCCAAGTCTGTGCCAGGCGCAATGTAAGACACTGGATTGTCATTTATTGAGTACAACTCTCAACCCCGGGCTTATAGGAAATAACAACTCATCATTCAAAGTTTTGTTGTCAAACATCAATCGCTTTTGCCAGATTCATCAAAGAGAAATGAAATAAAATAACTGGCGAAATGGAAAGGCGAACTGAAACACATTCTTTTGTTTACGTTTTTTTTTTTTCCTGTCATATGCACCGTGGGAAAATTACGACAAGCAGTGGATTGTTCTCTTATGTCAAGAAGTGAAAGTGCGCTCAGATTAAAGGGAATATACATCATTTGCTTTTGCTGTAATTTTCAGAAATGGATGGAATTGGGGGGTTGGAAATATATAGTAAATATAGTTACACTGACTTTTTTTGAGATTTTGGGTTCGAAAGTGCTATAAAAACCAAGAAAAACAATCTTTTTCCTGCAGTCTGGTTCCCTGACTCTATATAAGAAGAAACAGAGCAGTTTACATACATTGGGGAATTGTAAGGTCAGGAAACCAGTCTACCCGTTCATAGGTGTGTAATCGATTGCAAACAAGTGCGATGGTCAATTGGGGCCAGCATTTGAAAAAAAGCCAGTTTTTTTCCAACGCTGGTCAGCGTTGGAAATTGATACAAAAATACCACTTTTCTTGAAAATGACAGTATATACCAGGTGCCATTATATTACAGGATGCTTTACACTGTCATTCACTGACAGTCCAGCAAGGTATTTCAAAATGATTTGGTAGTTTTATTTTTTGATGTTTGCAAATGTTGTATTTTCCCTTTAACAACACTTTATATTAAAGAGGGGTACTGCAGTCTGCGGATCAGGATCTAAGGTTACCCGTTATGAATACAAGTCATTACCTTTTTGGTCTGTGTGGTTTAACCGTCAGAGATGGAGTAGTCTGAGTATCACCCATTATCCACGGAGCCAAGTCTCCGATATAACGTCGGATATATCTAACCATGCGTGACGTCATTTCATTCCGAAATCAGGACTAAGACTGTGATTGGTCAATTTCGATGCCGCCTTTTTATAACACAACAACCTGGACAAAAAAGCTACTCATCGCGGGCGTCATGTTTACGCACGCGGGGAGCTCGAATTACGCGCGTATAGAAGGCGCCTGCTGATTGGTCAGTTTCTCGAGGTCATACGCAGTTTAGTTGCATAATTAATCGTCGAATCTGTTTACGTATCATAGACCATGGTCGGCTTCACCAGGGCCAGGGTCTATTGCATAGAGTAGAGATGGAGGTGGTGGGTGTGGTATTGGATCAGCTTGTTTAAAACCACAAAACGTGTTTCTCTACGTATGGAAACCTAACTGCTTTCAATTTAATAAAATTATACATTTCATTTTGCCTCTATTCCAACAGCGCCACCTAGACTGACTCAGCAGCCGAGCAAGTCGATCTATTATTTCGGTGACTATTCACGGGCGTCTACGTTCACTCTTCCTTGCCAAGCGGATGGCACCCAACCAATAAGGTCAGTAATGCTTGTGATTTGGCTGGTCCCAGAGGGCCAGTCTAGTGCCCCCTTTGTACCTATCTCACTGACTCATGGACTTAACGACTGACTGGTGACTGTAACTTATGACCTGGGCGGTGCTCTCGTATAGGATTACATTGTAACGCCAATGTAGAGTCTAAATCCGCCCCGCCCAAGTGTAGGTCACATGAAAAGACATTCAGTATCCATCGCCATTGCGAATAAATTGACTATAATTCTGTGCACACTGGGACTAGCTCTACTAGGCTTGCGTTGTCTTGTAATAATGAATAGAGAATGGGTCCTTTTTAATACTGGATTTCTTTCGTGATTTCGTTTCGCCAAAAAGTGGGGAGAACTGTTTTTGCCAGTGAGAACAATTATTTGTTCAAAACAGTGTTAGGGGCTCAGTACGTACCGTGATAAAATATAACATTAATAAATCACTACAACTCTAAAATAATACATCTTCCATAAGCTTTATTTTTCAGATTTTAGTGAACTTTACCAAGAAAATGGCATTGTATAACAGCGCCCTCACTCGTTTAAAAACGGCCAATTGAAGCCTCACATTGGGTTTTTGCCAATGCTGTGATACACATTTGTCAAGCAGTCCCCCCTTTTCACTTCTCGTCCATGCAGTTACCGATGGGAGCATAACGGTGAGACAGTAACCCCCGGCTCCGATATCATGGTCACCGCCGGTGAACTGATGGTACAGAGGGCAACTCAGACAGATGTCGGTAACTACACTTGCTTGGCTTCCAATGAGTTTGGCACGGCAGTCTCTAACCCCGCCCAAGTGCAGTTCAGTTGTAAGTTTCAAGATGACACTTTCTTTCCAGAGCCATATAAAGAGAGAGTTCGGAAACTACATGTATCTCCGATCGCAAAATGTATGCACAATGACACTATCACGCACTGTCACCAGTTTCTCTACAGGGTGAGTAAAAAAAACCCACGAAACCCAAATGTCGGGACTATTGTTTTAGTGAACTTCTGCATGTAGCACTTTTATAATCTAGGATATGAAAGCCCAATTCACAAGCTCTCATTTAGTACAAGAATCATTCAAATCACTCATGTAATTTTCAAGTTACGGAATTTTAAACACAACCACCGTTTAAGTTCTTTCCAAGGACCACACAAAGGTGTGCGTTTTGTGTGCGTTCACATACATCCCCATGTGATTTGTTTTCGGTTTTCTGAAAGAACACTTACATTTTTTGTGTGATCCGTGGACAAAACTTTAAAACTGTGGTTGTGTTCAAAATTCCGTAACTCAAAAATTACATAAGTGGTTTGAATAACTCTTGTACTAAAACAAAGCTTATCAATTGGGCTTTCATATCCTAGATTTTGAAAGTGCTACATGAAGAACTTCACTAAAACAATGGTCCCGACATTTGGATTTTGTTTGTTTTGACTCACCCTGTATTTGGATTTGGACCCCAGAATTCCATAACAGAATATTTTGCCATATTTGAACCGAAAATGGCATCCCAAACTGGTACCTCTCGTGTCGCAACTCTCTCTCTTTATCTCTTTCTTTTTCTCTAAGGGCTCTGTACCTCTCTCTCTCTCTCTTTCTCTTCCCCACCGCTCAAGGATGCGTTTGACCTCTGCTATCTTTTAGCTCAATACTGAACTTGATTTACCTTCACTGCTCTCTATTATGTGCAAGAGTATCATCGTTTACAATCATGTAAACGGCTTCTAGAAACGTCAATCCTTTCAGATTTAAGCATCTTCCAAGATGATGCCAAGCGCTACCCAGTCAATGAAAGCAGCTCGCTAGTGCTGCCCTGCGAGGCGCCTTCGGGTCATCCTACGCCAATAATCTCCTGGACCGATGGAGATGACCAGCCAATCTTCGCTGACGGCTCTTCCTGGAATGCCGATCACAACTTGGTTCAGGATGGCGAGGGTAACCTGGTCTTCCTGCAAGCTTCGTTGAGCAACAACGGCACCTATAAGTGTACTGCTAGCGTATCAGCTAGACCCGACTATAAAACATTTTCTGCAATACAGACGATTTCCGTCATAAGTGGTAAGGTTGTACGGTGTGATTATTGCAGCTATAAATTAAATGACAGAATATGATCCTTCATTCACACATTCTGACTGATACTGATCTCTGCAACTCAACTCACGCATTTCAAAACATGAGCTGTTTCTGAATTGCAATCATTCATTATTCAATAATAGACGCAATCATGAACAAACCAAGAAGTTTGGAATGCCGCTTTTGCACTAACTTTGCACTTTGTAGTAGGTCAAACTTTGTACTTCACCAATTCTGGCGCTATTGTTTTTATAGGGAACGTTTCTTTATTAAAGACAAAAACGCCAAAATGTGTGTGTTTGAAAAATGCCACCTGGATTTTAGAACTGGTAAGCCAATTGACCTCGAATAATTCTTGAAACTTTAACTGTCTGGCACATAATTGAAATGGGTGCGGACATCCGGGAGTACATCTGGTTCCCTGACCTACTTTCTTTAATCAGAATGGGTCAGGCGTCTAAAGAGTACTAACAGAGAGCTACTGTTGTGCAAATTAATACATATTTACATCAGCAGATTTATTATTGCAATTGTATTACAACTACTACGTATGCTCTACAGCTGCACCGGAGCAATCTCCGAGCAACCACCAATGATCCTAGAGGGCTCTCGAGTCGTCAATGCAATGCGTGGAGATGACGTGAAGATGCACTGTCTGGCAACTGGAAAGTATGAATGCTACACGCTACAAAACTGGTATCGATACTTGACCTACCGTCGCTTCAGTGTCGATACCGCATAGTGTTCAATAACATTGCACTGTGCAGTTTAAAATAAACCCATATAGTTTTTCAGTGAAAGAGGCATCAATGTGTACCGTTAACATTAAGAAGAGTCCTTGGTAAATCAAATCTTATCGCATAATCATAAACACTTTACCTATCACAGTTTGACCGATCACGTTTATTGGCTATAGTTTTTATAGACAAAAAATGAAACGCAATGTCAGATGTCTGAACTATTTTACAATTTTTACAAAGAGGCGCAAACGGTTTAAGATGTCCCTCATTTACTGCAATTCATCGGGCTATCCTTTCATTTGGTTGTAGCCCAAACCAACTGTCACTTGGACCAGACTACAGGACCAATCCTTTAGCGATCATGGCCCCATTCTGAGTCTGCGCAATGTGCAGCAGGAACAAGAGGATGTCTACACGTGCACGGCTTCGTCATCAAGTGGTCAGGATACAGCAACTACATCCTTACACGTTGAAGGTAGTATATTTGAAACAGGATGGCACAAAATGTTAGACTTACCAGTGGCGGTTTTACGGGGGGGGGGGGAGCCCCCCCTCCAAAAAAATTCTTTAAAAGATTGCACCTGGCAAAATGTAAGAATGTGACGTACATGCGAACGGTCTCCCCTAAATAAATAGTCGTGAGAAGGGTGCAGTACACTTTTAGTTAATATAGTATGCCTGATTGTAGGATTTTATCAGCGCTCTCCATTGAAAATATGGCACGAGCCCCCCCTCCCCCCCCCCCCCCTCCGAATTGATTTTCAGAGGCCTAAGTGTCTGGAGAAAATAACCGGTCTACATTTCAGCACGCCTCCCTGAAAAAAATTCTGGATCCACCCTGCTAGCCCCCCTCCCCCTCCCCCAAGAAAAAAAGAAGAAAAAATTGGCTCTAGAACCGCGCCTGCGACTTAGATTAACGCATAAGCGCATGCGGACAAGCAGGCAGGAAGGCGACGCTGACAGTGATGTATTAACGCAAGCGTGCATCAACTTTTAAAATGGAAATTTCGGCCATCGTAGAACGAAATTTCTGGAAACATAATGGTCATAATGCAGTCACGCATCTCTCTTGAAAGTTACCATCAAAGGACACTAAAGAAAAGGCATCGTTGAAAAGGGAGTGTAATTACACCTTGTGGTTTGTCAATGGTATGGATACCGCATGGTGTAGATCTAACACCACAATGATTGCAGCACTGCCAATGGTATGGATACCACATGGTGTAGATCTAACACCACAATGATTGCAGCACTGCCAATGGTATGGATACCACATGGTGTAGATCTAACACCACAATGATTGCAGCACTGCCAATGGTATGGATACCGCATGGTGTAGATCTAACACCACAATGATTGCAGCACTGCCAATGGTATGGATACCACATGGTGTAGATCTAACACCACAATGATTGCATCACTGCCAATGTACAGCTCGTCTACGTTCCTTTTTGGTTTTCAGTCGCGCCATTTTGGATCATCGAGCCCAGTGATACCACGATCTACGAAGGCAAGAGCACCAGCATGACATGCGAGGCAGGTGGCGAGCCGGCCCCGGTCCTTACATGGATGCAGAACGGTGAACACATACCAGAATATGGTAAGGTACAAACTCCCATAGAATCAGGAAAGCGGATAGAGTTATAGTTGGGGGGATCAAGGGGCAAGCGGGCACAAAATGTTATAGGCTTTTGTAGCACATTTTAATGAATTGAGATTTACAGTAGAAGAAAAAGAGTTGAAAAGGGCGAAATGAAGTGGAAAAGATTATTATGTGGGCCCGATCAACCAAACCTTTTTGTTTCGCTGCGTTTGAAAGAATTTTGGCTAAGAACAATCTAATAAATGCAACTGCACCAGCATTGAGGCATTTCCATACATACAACAATTATAAAAAATCATCTGCATTTAATAATAGTTATATATTTCTTAAACCATGAGATGCATTTATGTCGTATTAATTTAACCTTGAAAACCATAATCATGGACATGTCCAGATGTATATCCGAAACCTGAACCACGACCATAACGGTTACCATAATGATGACTGTCCTCTCTACAGATGGCAGATCATCAGTCCAGGTGATGGATCTGAAGGTTTACCAATGCGTGGCATCGAACACCCACGGAGAGATCATCACCAACGCCTTCTTGAACGTGACTGCAGGTAAAGCAACCTTTATTGAATACAGAATGCATCAGTTATGTCTAGGTCGGCAGAGGTTTTAACTCATACAATCAAACAGAATGCCTTCGACTGAAATATCAACTTTTTAAATTGGGGAGGCATTATTTCTTTTTGAATGATGTTCATCATTCTCTGACATCTAATTGTCCTGGGAGAAAACCCTTCACAAAAAACCCACACAAGCAGGGGCGTAGCACGGTCATTTTTATTGGGGGGGGGTAAAAAAATTTGAAAAAATGTAGACAGGTTTTTTTCTCCGGACACTTGGCCTCCGTAAAATAAAAATAACAGGGGGGGGGGGGGCTGGTACCATCTGTCTATGGGGGCACTGTTCAAAACCGACAATTATGCACACAAAGGGCCAATATATGGTGCTTTTCAGGGCGATACATGTGCGAAATTTGAAAAAGGCACCCAAAACGGCAGATGCCACAAAAAAGGCACCACTTCTTTTTTGAAAAGGTCACTTGTTCAGAAAAAGGGCACTTAGTAAAAAAGGGCACTCTTTACAAATTATTTTTTTTGGGGGGGGGGGTTAAGCCCGTTGAAAAAAAGGCATTTGAATGGGAAAAGGCAGTCTTTACAAAATATTGGCGGGGGGGGGAGTAAATCCACCCCCCCCTCCTCTGGCTACGCCTATGTCAAGTGTCGTCAATTTGGTATAGATACCCTTTCCCTTAATACATATGTTGTCCCCAAAAGGCATCAGCAATCACTAAAAATGAATTTCCTTATTACAAATGATTCGTCAAACCTACGAGAGGCTAAACAACGGAGTCTTCTTATTTGACAACATAACATAACGCCTTTACAATTATCATATTATTATTTAACCGTGCGAGTAAGTTGTACGGTGTTGTCTGTATTTTGTGAACAGCACTACTTCTGGCACCATCTAATGTAGTTGGTACACGTGAAGGCACCGATATGGAAGTCCAATGGAGTTTACTCACCTCTGCAGATGTCATTGGATATAAGGTATAGTCTAGATTATGAATAACATGTATATGCATCCTGTGTGTAGTGGTTTGTAATTGCAAGTTGCTTGATTTGGCTGTTTATTGGTTGCTATATTTTGCAAGTCTAACTGTCCACATTTCTACTTGATATTTTAGGCTTTTGTTTAATATAGAGAGTTTATATCCGGTAAAAAACATCTTTTGCCAAAATATCCTTTTCAGGTTCTGTACTGGCCCGAGGGAGGATCAGAAAACGATGCACCAGTCAAAACAGTGGACAAAAACACTGACCGCATCACCATCAACGACCTGAAGAAGGACACGACTTACTACGTCAGGGTCAAAGGTTATAGTTCAAAGGGCGACGGGATGGCCAGTCGTGAGCTGACAGTTGCAAAGCCAGGTATAGACCTATATCATGCTTCCACCATTTTAGTCAAGTTCCCTGTATCCAATAACAGTACTGAATGAAAATGTTTTTGTGCAAAAAGGAACCAGACTATTTGTCCTTCCAGCCTCGCTTTGGTTATATTGATTTGAATGGGAAAATCAAATGGCTGCAACATGATAATGGTATATTACGTCCAATGCTAACAACATGGGCGCCAATCGGTGGGGGACGGGGGGGGGGACAAATCCCCCCCCCCCACTTTTAAAAGCGGGGGGGGGGGATATCCTATCGTTTGTTCCCCCCCCCCCCACTTTTTCGTCCCCGAAAAAAATGTAGCCTACATTATGATTCTATAGCTCAGAATAGCTGTTTCAATTACTCCAAATTCGAAATGATGTTTAAATGACAATCTTTTGCTCAAACAATAGGTTAAAGTGGTCAGAAATTGCCTCAGATCGCACCACAGAGCATCTAGAATCCAAAACTTTTAGGGGCCCTTACGCGGGCCCCGAATCCCACGCCGTTAGGACTTCGCGCTTCGCGCTCGCATTAGTTCTGATCAAGGAATGTGCCCCCCCCCCCCCCTTTTGAAAAGCAATTGACTCATAGGAGAAGAAAATTTAAAAAAGATAGGATCGTATTATTGTTTTCAATACATACATCAATGAGGGTAGTTACAATTAAGTTCGCCGGCGCATATGTTGGGATTGAAATGAACGAGTCGAAAATCAACGTTTCAAATTGTATGATCATCTTTGATAATCGATACATCTCGTTTCCCGGCAACGAACAGACTTCTTTCACCTTATGTGTTTCAGGATCCGATACATGTATCTCAAAAGAGATATAATACCCGAGGGTACCACTTTAATTGTACTACTGGTAGATGCTTTTTCAATAAACAGGTTCACTTTGTGTCATAACGAGAGTGTTGAGGGAAATATGGGCTTCCTTTAATACTTATAACCAAGTTGTGTTTCCTTTTTCTTGAGCTTAGGCACATCCGTCTTTTTGTAATTACATGTTTTCTATTTTAAAGTACTCTACCCTTATTTCATTTTTCTTTTGTGTAGATCAAGGACAGAATTTGCCTCGAGGCGTGGCATCCACCATCACACAATCTGTTCTCCTTGTGCATCTCACCCTCCTCGTTACCTTTCACCTGCTTTGAGATGGTCCCGCCCAGTATCTTTGAGACCACACTGATAAGCACACCCAGTCAGACCAAAGATCTTCACATCAAAAATAAGTTGGAATGTGTGGTCATAACTGTCGTTTGTTCAATAATAGGGATGCTCCTTCGCTTGCGCTCCAACACGAACCCGAAAAGCGTGTTTAGAAATAAACTCATGATTGATAAGTATAATGTCATCAAATGTTAGTCGATTGCATTGAGTATATCACAATGAGCTTAACTTTAATTGACGTAATCAAGAAAATTGGTAAATTTGCAAAGATAATTATAATTCAGTATGTATGTATTAAGGTTTTCCCACAAAGCATGACTTTATTATGTCTTAGGTCTATTGTCAGTTTATCAAGCACCACATTAGTCTTTGCTAAGTAAAGTAAGCAATTTCGCCAGGTAGCAAAAACTGCATAATTATTGTAACAATGAGCATTTTTATTTTATCCGGTAAAAAACTTCCATTGTTTGTCATTTGCATTATGTAACATTATTTTTCTCAGGTATCTGTCACGTTCAGTATCTGATCAACGGGAGTGGCCAAGAAGCAGTATTGCACAGTTTTAATGTTTAACTGTTTTTGTAAGCCAAGTATTGGCCAATCCGGGCACGCTATTAATTCTATCAGGAAAGCCCCCTTCAATGGCGAAAGCATTGTGCTAGCTATTGTTCAGACAATCCGTCACGGGGTGATTACTTTGCACAATAGCGTGCACAATGGCTTCTCCATTGGAGGGGGCCCCATGAGTGTCCAACGATTACGTGTTCGGAGTCGTCTATATATGCAGGCGTGTATATCTGATAGTTTGGAATCAACGGACTTTCTAATGTAACTGAATAGTTTTTATCATGCTTTGGTACATTATACTCAACTTATTCACATATTGAATTCTGCAAGTATGTATCCGAGATGCATTATATTTTGGCGTCAGAAAAAAAAGTTTTATCTTGCGTAACCGAAGACCTCTTTTTAATTTTGAGGTAAATGTCTTTTCACTTGACACAGCATGAACAGATGATGAGGTTTACAGTTTGCAGCAGACTTCTTTCCTTTTCAGGGCTTCGTAGAAGTGCTGGAAGAATAAGCTTCCAGATCCAGAGCCTTCTGAACACTATCGTTGTTTTAAAGGGTTCGTGAAGTTTCTTAAAAACATAATTATTGCATGTGTGTGGAACATTATACATGTACTCCTCTTAAATGTATGAAAACTGTTTGACATCTGCTTTTTTTTATTGAAACGTACACTTCTTTAAACGTTTAAACTGTTCCCTATACAACTGAGGGCGCTGTTGCTGTGATGTCATTTCAGGAAGACACTGTTCAGTTAAGGGATTTTCTGTTCAAATTGTGAACCCCAAGAAAATTGCTTAGTGAAAATATTTGTGAGAAAAGTTTGCTCATTGGCTTACTGCCATGTACTGACACAACAACGAATCACCAAAGAAAAGAAAATGTAAGACAGCGAAATACCCAAAATTCTGGCAACTGGCTGCTGAAATAGCTGTAACATTGAGGTTTCTGCCAAAATGACATTTTTGCTCATGAATATGGAAATTTGCATTAGCATAAAACCAAAAAGGCACCAATATACCCTTAAAAATTCACCCAAAAATTTGAAAATTAGGTGAAATGGGGCACAAAAGTGCATTTCCCAGAATTGCTTTAAGACAATTACATTGTATGAGCCCTAATAATGAAAATGGATTTTGCATGGAGTGCATGATCTAACAGTAATGCACAAGGTAAATTGTTAAACAGAATGAATGTGGAACATCTGCACAATCCATGCCACACCTACTAATATGCCCACTTCTTGGTGAACAGTGCTGCCTGGAAGATCTAGCGGTGGCAAACGAGAAGGCTGTTCACTGCGCAAGAGCCTGGCCGAACATTTGAAACATAGATGACGGACACGAAAGAAGAATTGTCAAACAGAATATTTAAAGGATCAATAGCAACAGATACCGACAACCAGCATGCATGTGATTATTAAAAAGTCATTATAATCGAGGAGAAAGCTTGTAGAATATGCATTTAACTAAATTTTATGCAAGAACATGCTGTACTTAGTTAAAAGAAACAGCAAAACGGGCATGAGATTTCAAATGATAGAATTAGCATTTCTGGATCCAATTTGTCAAAGTACACAATATCAACCCCATTATATTATAGGTAATTTCATTTCGTAGTTTTATAATGACTAATTTCTCAAAAAAAATGTTTTGGTTAAAGGTGGACCCATTCCTCCTCTATAATGTACACCTCTCTATTATTGTCAACTTTTCAATGGTGAACGAATGGAACACGACGTAAAATAATTAATATTATCTTCTTGCTGTATGGGCAAGCAAACATGCATAGACCAGACGATGGCTGCTTGCCATCACAATAACCAGCCTGTTTGTTCAATTGTTCATTTTTTTTATTGGAATTTGTTTGTTTCGTTTCTGTTGCCCAGCTTTTTCTTGTACCATCTGGTTTGTTTGATCTTGTGCCTCATTCCAAGCTTGAAATAATGGCTGGAACATTGATAGGTGACTGTTCTGTTTGTCTACAACACATGTAATTAAAATATTGTTTACATGATCCAGTTTTGTCAATGAGAAAAATGAAAATGAAAGAAAAACCTGGGCTAAGCCAAGCCTTTAATTTTAATGGCCTCTAAAACGTAGAAATTAATTGTGCAAATTAGCGCGAAATGAAATATAATGGCTCAATAAGTTTGAAAAATAATTATGGTTGTCACCTTTTCTTTGACCTTATTTAGTTTTTTTATCGTTAATAATAAGTTTGTTTGTTTTGTTTTGATAGTTGTTGTCTATACACACACGAACTAGTGCACAACACAAAACACTTTTTTTTTCTTTTCCTTTTTACTTTCCGTATTACATGTATATCGTTGCTTTATAGAACAGCTGTACTGCTAAAATCCAACCTAGTACTGGAACCCGTGTCAAATTTGCTAGCATCTTCAATGTGCATTTTTATGGCAATCTTGAGATTTTTTCCATCTTTTTTTCATGAACAAGATAGTGACACGGCAAGGGTTTTAACAACCGCTGGTTGATTTTTTTTGGGGGGAGGGGGACTGTCATGCAACGACAGTGTTAAGGATGCAAACAGCTTCGTATTCTTTTTAAATTCTTTAACGACGTTTCATTGGAGATAGCTTTCGCAGCTCAATGACAAACTCTCCGCGGAATCTTTTATTCGCAAGACTGTAGATCAAGGGATTGACTGCATTGTTGATAAAGATAACACGCCTTCCCAACATGGCCATACTTCGACGAAAATGTTGTCGTCTGCGTCAGTGGAGAATCGCAGTGCCTCGCAGATCCACAATGGTATCCACGTCAGAACAAACACGATACTGGTAAGGAACAGCATTCGCGTGGTCTTCCTCTGTAGCAGAATTGCTGGCCTATCAGCCGGTGTTTGGCGGCGAACAGCGGTGGTCACTTTGTACGTTCACTGGTTACTGGTACCAGTGTACCGACATCTCGAGGGGAAGGTCGCGCCGTCTCGCCATCGGCATTCTGGCTCACTTTGGTGTTCTTCGTCATGATTTCTGGAGACGCATTTTGCAGATTTCGTGGATTAGGATCTGGGCAACACTCTGAATGTCCACTTGGAGCGCCTGGTGGGTTCAAGGAGTTGTTGTTCCCGTAGGTCATGGTGGCCAGAGGGAATTCCTGATTCACTGCGGTCTTTTTGCCAGCGCGGACGGGACAGGGCCTCGGTGCGTGTCCAGCTGAATGAATCCCAACTTTTACGTTTCGTCGGATGGTCGCGTAGATCCTACTGTAGCAGATTCCGATCGTTAAGACCGCGAGGATAAATCCAATGACTTGCATGATCAGTGTGGGCTGGTCTGTTATTCCACAGAAACAGATTGTGTTGATAATGTTTGGAGTTTCTGCAACGATACACGGCACGAGCCACGAGGGCTATCGCGATCGCTGTCTTATCGCGGCAGGGCTTGAACAACTCCCGGGCCGGACGGCACACGCACTCGTAACGATCCATGCACCGCGATTAATGCCGTGAGACACACAGAGAGCCCCGTCCAAATATGACCAAAGTGGTCTGAAAATAACAAACCAATGTGGCTCCCAATGCCCGATGAGAACGTAAAGATTCCTGATCACATCTCCTAGCAGAGATATACACACCATGAAGTCCGCTAAGGCTAGCCCAAAGATCAATATGTGAGTGGTGGTCTTGTGGTGCTTGGTCCAATACACACGCATGATTAGGGCGTTCAAGCGCACCAAACATAAACAGTAGAGAACACACACTCAAATCCACATCCTGTAAGCATGCGATACCTGGCCTGCTTCCAAGTCGTTTCCAATTGTTAAATTTTCCATTTTCATAATAATATCATTTTTAGCTGGCAGCATGAATATTGTTGTATACTCTGTAAATGTAACACTGTGGACAGCTCAGGAACGAGCACCCGGACGATTTCAAGCACCTACAAAAAGTCTCGACATGAATGCATGGCTCCATGTACCATGCATTATGTTCGATGTGCGTGGAAGCCGAAAACATGTAGGCCTACTTCACTGTAGCCGTCCAATAAAATGGATATCCTTAATTGCCCTACATTCTGTCCACGAACAAGACGAATCGTCGGAGACGTGAAGAGGAAGTTTGCAGCTTTCGTCCTCTACTCCAGACAATCACGAAATGTTAATAGACCGCAACAAATGAAATCGTCAATCAAAATTGCCCGGGGAGCCGAGTGGGGCGCCCTCAGCAAACTAATCCCGAATTCTACCAAATTACAAAACAATACTAATTGGAACCAAAGAAAGCCATTGTTTCAATTTCGCAAACAAGAGGTTTTTTTTGCCTTAATTGTACACATTTATTAAAGTGAAAACACATTAATTGAAGCGGCACACGCATTAACAAAAGAGGTGCCCACATAGTACATCAATTGAAGAGGCACATGCACTGTGAAAGCGACACATACATTAATCAAAGAGGCACAAACAAAGAACAGTTCCATTACACGAGCTAGTACATTAGGAATTGAACGAACTTACAATTTTATTACTATAGTTATCATACAATTTATCTTTACTATCACAAATCCAGTACAAACGCTTAGATGCATACAATGAATGTTCGGAAAATTAACAAATAAACAACGATTTAACTTTGGTGAAATTACTAGCAAGGAGACCATGATGACGTTATATGACCACCAGTTCAGATGGTAGTTTGCTTCAAGGGCCCATGCAATGTATTCTCAAATGCTCTCCTTGTAGAAGCACCTTGTGTCCCATTAAAGGCCAAAAAAATCTCCGGTTTCTGGTATGCGCGCGCGTTGCCGTAGCCGTGCGCGTCGGCAAAATGAAAACAAAAAAAACTTTTTTTTTCAATGAAAGATGATGTCTCAAAACCGCCAAATTCACTGGTTTGACTGAAATCCTGCTGCTGCACAATTTTAACGTTTCAAGTTTTAGATGGGGTTACGATCGAGAATAAGCTTTATGTGGCCTCTCAGGACTCCCATTATATTTGCACTAAGTTTAGTCTGGCAACATTTGCAGTCATCAGCCGACATTTGAAGAAAAAAAAACGTTAAAAAATCCAAACAAACAAAAGCAGCGTCGCTGCACCACTTTTTGGGCAAGCTCCATACCAGAAACCGGAGACCTTTTTTTTTTTGGCCTAACCTTATTTCCAAGTTTCGTTTTGACATTTTAAAGGGTATTTTGGTGCCTTTTTGATTTGTATGCTGATACAAATTTCCATATTCATGCGCAAAACAATGAAGTCATTCCGGGCAGAATTCTCAATGTTACAGCTATTTCAGCACAAAAACGTTGCGAGTTTGGGATATTTTTGCTGTCGTAATGTTCTTTTCTTTGGTCACTTTGTTGTGCGAGTACATAGCTTTAAACCAATGAGCTACCTTCTCTTACATATATTTTCAATAAGCAAATTTTTTGATCACAATTTGACAAGAAAATCCCTGAACTTATCAGTGTCTTCCTGAAATGACATCACAGCAACTTCGCCCTCAGTTGTCAGGTAAATCATATTTTCAGGTTTTTTTAAGTTTAAAGAAGTGCACTTTTAATCAACCAAAAGGGATGTCAAGTAGTTTCATATAAGAGGAGTAGAATGTCACAAAATGTGTTCCAAAGAAAATTTCACTGCATGACCCTTTAGTAACGACACCAAAGAATCGTAATGATTATTAATAATGCGTATTAGCCGTATGGGTGGCGTGTGAACAGCTTACAATAGGAACCCTGAAAACAATATCGGTGAAACGTATTCAAGCGTCCCACCAACATAGACCTCTGGTATGTCTAGCTGTCCGCCTCTTTTCTCAAGTCTAACCCTGTCTCCTACCACCAGGTCAAGTACGACCGTGGTACCGGCGTACTCCACGATAGCAGCGGCTGAGCTAACCGATGTCACGCTGCTTTTGACGGCATCGTTGACGGTCAAGCTCACGGTGACTGAGCCCGGTCTGCCCACTCCTTGGTTTGGGAAGGAGTACATGAAGACGTAAATGCCTGGAAGGCTGGCCGTGAAGATGCCATTTGCGGTGTCGAACTCGTCCTCGCGGCCAAGATCCATTTCAAAGTAGTCAATGAAAAGTGTGCCGGGGCCGAGTCCCGTGCTCTTTCGTGATGCGGAAAAGGCCGACTGACGGAGCACGAGTGGCGAACACAGACACCGATCTGAGGTGGGGAAAAAAAACATACAAACGTAAACGTTTTAAAGCATTCAAACGTGCAACTTCGTCTACACATCGCCATTTGGAAAGTTCTTATTCGTTAACGGTGACACGTTTGAATATCATAGACATTGGCAAGGGTGGAACGCAGGCCCGATGTGCAATGGCAACACTAAAATCACGCCTGTCCACACAACTTGAAGAGCGCCCCCGCAGGTGTCCAATTATGTCGAATGATGTCCGAACGATTTTATTGTCATCTTGAAATTCCAATTTTTTTTTGTTCTTGACAAAATAGCAAACAGGCCGGCATAATGTTAAAATTTCCCCTTGTAAAAGTAAACTTGTAGTTTTAATAACTTTGGTTACTTGCTCGGAAACAAGTCGCAGCATTAAAAAACCAAACAGATTTTTTTTCAAAGATATGAAACAACTTCGGAAAACTTACGGTACAGCAGGAAGCCATTAAATATCACAGGGGTTGTGGTATTTACAATGGGCGTGGCAGATCCGCTCAGTATCTCAATCATAACGCGATCATCGGACTCTAAGTCCAGCAGAGCGTGACCGGCTACAGGGCCATCTCCAGTCAGTCGCAAGACGGACTGGGGGTTAACACCACCAGGAGACCAGCTGAATTGGTAGTTGATGCGGGATGGTGGACCCGAGAAGTTTTTCCCGGTACCCGGTGCGTGGAAGGAGAAGACATAAGTTCCAGGGAACGGAGCAACAAAGACAGGTCCGGTGCCAAGTCGATCTAGTAGAGGGGGCTCGTCATACGTGTTTCGGGGGAACTGAGTGATGTCCTCTGTGTCGATGTACGAGAAGGCGACATCTTGATGGAAGGTAGACAGAGCCAGAGTTCCGGTTGTCGAGAGAAGCAGGAGGAGGGGTAAACCCAAGAAGAGCCTACTCGTCAGATTCGTCATCTTGTTGGTTTTCCACTGGTTATCCAAATAAAGTATGGGTATTTTTTAGAATTTAAATATAGGACAATTGTATGAAAGACTGCATTAACCTGACGACACTTCTTATGGTTGTAAACAGTTTTTCGAGAATTGGTTTCTATTTTCTTGCTAAAAATTGGAAGTGTTTTTTCAGTGCCAAATTCATGTTTTTCCCCAATATTGCAAATCTGACTATTCGGTTGTATAGAGAGATTGCGCTAAGTGCTCTCTCTATCTCTCTGTAAACAAGCAACAACTAAAAGCTCTCCGCAGTGAAGGGCTGATGCGAGGGCGCTCTGTGCCCTTTGATGAAACAGTGACGTCAGGATGATTTTGATATACATTTTCCAGAGGAGGGTCCCTCATAATCGACATTCAACTTTAATTAAATTTTCCGGGCCTTTTTATAGTCCTATTTACCATTTTAAACGCTTCTTCAACATTTAACTCTAAAGGGGCCGGGTTATTTCGACCATCTCTCAGCCGGGGGGGGGGGGGGGCACTAAGATCTCGGCCATCGAGTGATGAAAAATTTGAAACTCGGTACATGCATAGAGCAACTCTTCATAAACATACCAAAGAAATTTCATGACCAAAGGTCAAAGGGGTTTGGAATTATGGCTAATTAATTATGGCAATTCTGGTCTGTGTACACGACGTATATGGGAAAATTAAGTTTTTCACGGCGTATAGCGCCGGAAAAATTTTCGCTGCGCGACAACCCCATGTCCGATTTTTATGTTTTTGGTGTCAAAAGATGCGCAAGGCTCGAGGCTAAAAAGTCATAAAAGCTCGGGTCGCGAAAAAAAAGTTTAAAGGCTATCGCGGAAAAAGTCGAGGGGGGGGGGGGGCGGAATCCGCCCCGGCCCCTTTAGGGTTAAAATTAATGAGCAGTTTGTATGTTGTAATCCAAAGCACTGAGAGTCTTTCCTTGTTCACAATGCACTTCCATAAAGTGGACATGAGTGTTAGTGTTATTTATACCTTTTAAGTATTTTGTGTGAGGTCCCAAATTCAACAGTGGATGGTAACCACAATGTAGTCTTATAATTAATTCAATCCTTATTAAAATGAAACAAGATGTTGAATGAAACTCAATAATTCTTACCCGGTCTTTTGCTTGTCTCTTAGGGGTCTCTACTCTCAGCCGGCACAGCTAAACACGATACCCTTAAGCCCAATGCAAACCTCGATGCAGTACTCGTCTGCACCACGCCCATTCAGTGACTTCAACCCCAACAAAAACAGCTCATCTGGAAAAATTATAGTATTCTTAGTACCAGATAGGATTACGCAATAACTTGCCTGGCAGTACAGGTTTGTTAAGGACTCGATTACATTCTTCAGGTTTTTAGAATTTGTATGCAAATTAGTAGGAACCATTAGAAACGGTACGCAAACGGGATACGCATGCGGCTCGTAATAGTTACTTAGGCCTAAATCATGCTTAAAATTTAATCAGCATGGTTTTTTTCATCTGGCACACTATGGGCAATTTGCACTTCACATAAAATGTGAAGATTTGTTTAAGTTGGCTTTCTGAAACCACTAGTGGGATATCCAGCATTTACGGAAAGGGGGTGCCGAAAATGGAGGCGAAAGTAGCGAATCCAGCTTTTGTTGGTGTGGGGGGGGGGGGGGGGGGGGGGGGGGGGGGCAACCGCACATTTGCGCCGAAATGTAGGCAATTTTGTTTGAACCTATCTTCCAAATGGGGGCGCTCTTCAAAACTGCATACTGGAAAATCTAATAGTGCCGATTTTTTTTTTGGGGGGGGGGGGCCTGATGTCAGAACTCTCTAACCATTGATGGAAAAACTTACTGAAAAAATTCTTTAAAAAAAAATCCGTCAGGGGAGACAAGTTGCCCCCTTTGCCTCCCCCCCCCCCCCTGCGGCCACTGGGCGAAACCCATTTTAAGCGGGGCATATATTTTCTAATGAATTGTGGGTAAAATTGCCTGTCTTTGAAGTGAATAAATAGCCACTGAGCTGACAGCCTCGGCCAGAAAGGTTAGATAGACAAGACGAACCTGGTTGGAGCGGGGCGCAGGAAGTGGCGTAGCGTGGGTGGCGCGCACCCCCCCTCCCGATCCAAAATGTCGCCCCTCCCCCTAGAAAATTGGCAACCGGAGAGTCCTATGCGTAAACATGATTAGCTGGTTGAAAAGTACATAAGGCCAAAAAAAGTCTTCGGTTTCTGGTATGGAGCTTGTCCCAAAAGTGGTCAGGCGACGCGGCTTTTGCTCTTTTTAAATTATTTTTTTAACTTTTGTATTCTTCAAATGTCGGCTGATGACTGCAAAATAATGGTGCCCGACTTATTTTAGTGCAAAATATATGGGAGCCGAGAGAGGCCACATAAAGCTTATAATTACTCGATCGTAACCCCATCTAAAAACACGTTAAAATTGTGCAGCAGCAGGATTCCAGTCAAACCAGTGAGTTTAGCGGTTTTGAGACATCATATACATTGAAAAAAAAATGTTAAATTTGCCGACGCGCATGGCTACGGCGACGCGCGCGCAGACCAGAAACCGGACCCCCTTTTGGTGGGGAGGGGGGGGGGCTAAAGTGCATTTTTTGCCTAGGCTAAGTTGTGTTTTTTTTTTCCAAAACCCTGTTTTTCGCGAGTGGCCAGCTGTTGATTGAATGTCCTGTGGAAATTACATGGCGCTAGCTATTGTCTAACATTGATAGTGACCAGCGCCCCCCCCCCCCCCTTCACACTCTCAAAACGCTGGTTAAAATTATGTTGGTTAAAAAAGTTGGTTAACATTCTAACCAACGTAACGTTGTGTGTAAAATTGTCCAATTTTGCCCAACGTTGGCCCAACGTTGGGCATATTTTGCCCAACGTTGGTTAATTTTTTTTTAACCAACCGTTGGGCTGTTCACCTGTTAAGCAGCAGTTGGTTAAAAATAGTCGATTTACCCAACGATGGTTAAGATCGGGTACATTTAACCAGTATTGGGTAAATTAAGGGACTACTTTTAACCAACTGTCGCGCGAACCGATACCATCGAATTCGTGTTCATCGCATGAGTCACGTGATTATGCCATGTTATTTCTGAAATTAGTGTTTAGAGTTAAAAAAAAAAACAGGTTTTTGACCCCAGTGACCACATGATGACCTTTGACCCCAATTTGGTCATGTGGTATGTTGGGGCTGGGCTACTGATACTTTTGACAAAGTTTGGTTGAAATCGGTCAAAGTATGTATGCAGCAATAGACAATGTCAACGTTCGTTACTAACTAACTCTAACGGACTAACGGAGAGATATGATGATTTATTGAGCTGCTATCCCGCAGCTAGATAGATATGGAACATCACATGACTGAACACAACGAGTTCAAGAAGGAAATGAAAGCCTACACAAACATTCACATCCCAATTGCACAATTTATATTTCACTCGGAGCTTTCCATGTGCTGCGCACACAAAATAACCAGGAAGTCTACACATTTTTATTGGTATATCAGCTCACCATTGAACCACAGACGAAAACACGGAACAACATTTAGTACAAGTGTCTTCCTGAGCTGCAAGCATCATGGCGTTTGGTCTGACCAGGTTGCTTATTTTCGTCGCATTTGTCGTGATATCTCACGAAGAAATCATCAAAGTAGGACCGAATATTGAATACGAGAATTGTGGTAAGTTGGGCAAACCACACTCTGTGGGATAGAACTTACATTAAATGAGTAATGGGAAAGAATTCACAACTTGTTATAGTCGGAACATCGATCGCCAAATTTATCGTGAGAAATCATCTCAACTTTGGATCAATCACTTAAAACATGTTCAGGGTAACCGCTTTTACTACTCTTTGACTTTTACTAATCTGTAGTTAGTTATTGGACAGAAATAAACCTGTAAATAAGACGGTAACTGACTTGGACATCACAGACGATATAACTTATTGAGCGCATTGTAGCAAGTGGGACTGTACAAAATGAAAAATACAGGAAAAGGAAAGACGAGAAATGTTGAGTTTCCGTCTAATTTGCGAACAGAAAGGTAGAGTCTGCGGCAGCTGTAGCAACACTTTGAATTACAATGTTTAGACACTCAGCCATGATGATTAACACTCTAGAAAATAGCAACTGTTCGATTTATACGTCTGTACTGTCTCAGGATATGATCTTGATGTATAGGCCAATCCGGTAGTGTCTCCTAACCCATCTGATTGATAAATGGATTAAAAATAGGTCTATAGATCGATTGATCTATCCACTGATTGATTGAAAGGATAAATTGACTGATCTATCCACAGAGCGACCAACCGATTGATTGATTGATTTAATGGACAACTGATTGATCTATCGATATTGAATGGATAACTGATTGATCTATCGATTGATTGAATGGATAACTGATTTCTCTACTGATTAATTGAATGGGTTATTGATCTATCGACTAATTGATAGATCTACTGATTGATTGAATGGATAATTGACTGATCGACCGACCGGCCAACCGACTGACTGATTAAATAGATATTTTATTGATCGATATTAATCGATCTTTTTCTTGATTTGATTGATAGGTCCGCCATTCAATCTGACCCTGTCTCCTAACCCACCCAAACTCAGACAGGCACTCAACATCACTGTCGAATTTGTGGCTGGTAAGGGCTTTTGTTGCTTGTTTTAGGGTATTTTTTGAGGGGGGGTGATTTGTGTGTTTGTTCTTTTATCATAATGGTTATTCAAGTTTAGTATATTACTTATCATACGAACCACGTTTGTCAGACAATCAATATAAGGCCAGTTGCAAAATCGTCGGATTGAGAAGATTGTAATTTACTATCCACATCACAACCATAACAAAGACTCAAATGAATGAGAGAAAATATAGCACGGTATATAATATTAATAAACCAAAATAACACGCAGCCGAATTCAATTTCCTGAAATTAATCAGATTTAGTGAATTGTCTTATTTGTTTATGTTTAGCTTATGACTTAATCGTTGGGGTTATTGAAGCTTACTTCAACGTTTGGCCTTATTACTACAAAGATGCTTACTGCGCTAACGGCGAGACCATTGATCCTAAAGGCTGCTATATCAGCAAGGGAGGTAAGTTCACTTGACTGGGACTCGAACCTCGGACCACTGAACTTTATGATTCGTTGACGTAACTGCTTTGTTTTATCTGATGTCATTTTTATTTAAACTTCGTTTTTATAGAAACGAGAGTCATTTCCGGGACAGTATGGGTGGACGACAACTTCAAGGAGGTAAGGCCTTTTTACACACAATCCTCGGATCAATTTATGTCTGTTTATTTTTGATAGTTTTCTTCTTCAAATTCTGAGTGGGGAGGGGCTGTGCACAAAAAAAGATTAGGCTTCGAGCTGGAGAGGGGCGTGCGAACTCTATCAACTGACACTCTTGAACTTGAGACATTACTTGAGACATGAATTGAGCATTATATGCACTGCTTCTGAAGTGTGAAATTTATGCAAGGTTTTTTTTTCTTATTTATTTTCAGACTTACTACGTGGCGAATGCAACCCTGCGTAACCAGGATGGCAAACTGTTGCTCTGTGCTAGGGGGAGGGGGAAGTTGTAGTAAGCTTCATGACGTCATGACTTTGTCATGTGACCATAATGGGTTCACATTTACTGCAGCCTTGTCGATATGACACTGAAATGTCATTATTTCGAAGACAATTAAACGTAATCATTATCAATGGAAATGTCATCTTAGGGAGACATTCCCATAGGGTTGTAATTACCCCTAAAGCCATTTTCCTTATCCTTCCCCACGAATTTTGGTATATTTATGTTTTGGACCACGAGCAATCAATCTAGCCTATTTGCGACGTAACTTTGCCTCTAAATAGGAGTTGTGACATTAAGGAGACATTGAAATGTCCGATGTCTGGTGTCTCCCTAAGGTATAATTCATGACGACATGTTTTCTTAAGTATACATTACAGGAGTTGTACTCAGAATATTGCCATTATGTTGATTATCAACAGTGTAAACAGAAAACTAATCCACATGATTATTAGCAAATTTTTGTTTCTAATTTCTTTTAAAAAAAACACTGTTGAAACTATTGTGAAATTTACAAAGCACATGCAAAATTTACAAATTTATGTAAAAAAAAAAAAAAAAACATTTCATGACTTAAGATGAAATGAGTTGACAGTCGAAGAAAGCCGTGAATATGACTAGTTAGGATCTTTCAGCATTTTGAGTTACTACCATATTTTGCTAGGGTCTATACACCAAAACAAAAAGAAAGCACTATAATTTCGTGAATATGTTTGGAAGTATAACTTTGTATACAAGAAACACATCCTTGAATTAAATCTTGTCATCTTTAAAAAAAAAAAGTCAGAAATGTGTATGGATTGGTCAGTGTTTGAGTGTTAGCCACCAAGACTGGGTGACGTCACAATCAGCCCCGCTAGCCCGGCTGTTTACACCTTCAATAATGACATTCAAATATCAGTGTCAGAAAAAATTGCAATTCTTGCAACGGGCGATATTACACGACTGCGATAATATTTGCGACATCGCAAACATTTTCGCCAATATTTGCAAAGATACTTGCGATGTGTGATGTCCCTTCAGGGCCACGATACTATTGTGCTTGGAGTGCATCAGTGAGCAGTCACGCTGTTGTATATGGCACCAAAAGTCAAAGTCATCGGCACGGAAGACATATTAATATTTTTATACGACGCGGTCCGTGGTCATGGGCCCTGGTTTAGGAAGGGCGCCCTCTGCGTACAAAACCCGCTTTACAAAGGGGAAACATCTTAAATATATAGAGGAACCAAAAAAAAAGAGTTTCTAGAGCAGATTAAAAATGCTTCAATTATGGACAAAACATCTTTATCGTCGAAAAAGTCGACAAAAGTAGTCAAACAAGCAAACAATATGCTAAAACCAACAAGCTCGATCGGAAAGATCTCGGAAGCTGCGGGCCAACGATATTTTGAACAGCTTTGAACAACGCCCACATAGCTATGAACCCCCTCCCTTTTTATTTTACGGAGACCAGTAAAAGAAACCTGTTTAGTTATCAGTACGGATGAAGAGACGATTGCCCTCATGTCCCACCAAATAAAAATGACACTACGGCAAAAACTGCTAAACCTGCTGTTGCTGTCGAATCCACATCATAAATTAAATTAAGGATTGACAAACGAGGAGTAGAGGGCCACGGCTGAATGAAAATTCCTGGTTAATTCGCTTCAAACCGATCCCTTTTGTTGTAGTTTCAAGTAGGCTTATCATATAGTTCGAAATAGCAGTGGCGCAAGTCGCATCGGTCCCCCAAAATATATATATATATATAGCTCTACAGAGATGTATCGAGCACTGTGAATTGTGATAGAAGACGATTTCATTGGATATATATATATATATATATATATATATATATATATATATATATATATATATATATATATATATATATATATATATATATATATATATATATATATATATATATATATATATATTCACGAGGGCTCAATTTTTATCGTCACGCGCGTCTTGTGACCCGAGTGTCGGCAAAAGTCGTCTGCAAAATAATGTGCCCAGTGATGACGAGCGTCACCTATGTTCCGAGTACAAGTACTTTTACGGAGGAAGGGTGACGGGGGGAGAAACCTTGCCTACCTTTTTAGAGCGGATGGTCCGTGGGCGAATGTTTTGTCAACCCCTGTGACCCAGCCTCCCCCCCCCCCCCCCCCCCCCCCCATAAAGTTTACCGACGCGGCTCCTGCCAATGTGACAAGTGCCGCAAGTTGCCGCACTGCAAAAATTAAATAGCGCCCTCGCGCGTCTTTATGATGACTGGTACCCGCCGCGCTGTCATTTCATTGAAGTGATCTTGCATGTAAACCAGCGGCAGAGGGTTTGGGTTATTTACATGACATAGAAATAGCGTGCGTCCATGGAGATAACAACATGGGGATTTGCTGACGGCGAAAACACAGGCGTACGTGCGGATTCGTGCATTGCTTTTTTGTCAGAAATCGCTCATCAAAATTTAACGATGACACTATTCAACTCAAACTCCAGTAAAGCAACATGATGTAAAACGATCATTCACTAAGTCGTTCTTTTGGTGATATTTTCCGGCCAGGGAAAATACCCTGAAGGTGGTAGAAGAGGAATGCTGCAGGTGGAATCTCCGCCGGGGATCAGCCACAGTCTGGTGAAACTTGTTCCCATGCCCGGTGAAGTTGACGTCTCACCAGCCACCACCAACGCGGCACCGAAGGATGAAGGCCACAGCAGCAATGGGGTGCCGTCCTCCTCCAGCGATCTGGCCATCCCACACCGATTCTCTATCGAATCGGATTTGACCTATGCTCCGAAACTGAACACCACAAGCTTGCGGTTGGCCCAGGGGTCGGGAAGACAGTCCCGGTCCGGCCTGCTGCAGCGGGCTCGGGCCACGCGCCTTGCCGCCGTCCAGCAACATTGCCAGGATGAGTTCACGTTTAAGCCTCAAATGAGCTCGGCAAGTCTTAAGATTGCCGAGACATTAGGAACGACATTTATGGTTCGACAGGAGCAACATCTGGAGAAACAAAGGAAGAAGGTGATGATCTATTTCTCATTTATTGCAACTGATGTTGCGTTTTGTTTGAACTTTCTGTTGGTTCATTAAAATTGGTAATGTTATGTCTCAGTTCACTCACCTTTTTTCTTTAAATGAGTCTTAACTTTAGCTTGAGTAACTCCAACCCCAAATGCTCATGACATAAATTGGGAAATGAGCATTCGGCTGCAGAGTTATTCAAGCGAAAGCTATCCTAAATATCAGATTTAGTGTCATAAATTCAGAATTGTCCACACATTTGATACTTGTCTCCGTCCGTCTTTTATTTAGCAGTGCTTTGTTGGTTCATTTTGTTTGTTTTTAATTTGAGTGAGTCAGTTGTTGGAGATCTGAATATTTTCTACCGAAAAAAAAAGCTTTGTTTATTTCAGTTCAGGTGAAATAACATTCACTAGTATGATTTATTTATTTATTTTTTTACAAAGAACTGCATTTTGGCTTGGCCTTGGGGCATTCCAATTATTTGGTTGAATTATTTCCCACAGACCCTATTTTGGGCTCCCGAGAAAAAACTCTTTTTTATTAACGCCGACCCTGTCTGGAACCCCATTCCCTCAAAAAATCAGGCAATCTGGTTCGGAGTTATTTGAAAAGCTATTGAAAATGAATCAATTTTTCTACCAAGTACAATCCCATAAGGTGCAAGGATGTTGCCTCTCATTGTTTTAGGTGTCTATAGTATACCTTTGCTGAGAGAATAAATGTTTGCATGACCAGTTATTCAATTTCACAAAAATTCACCATTTTCGTACACATTTCCTATACAAAATAACGTCGTTTGATCGACATTTATTTGGCCATAACTTTGGATTGCATGGGTCAATTTTTGCAATTTTACCATCATTTGTTTTCTTTTTGGGTGAGCTTTACAATGAAAGCAATCTCTTAAACAAATACAACCATTTAAAAAAAAGTTCACTAGCCCTACTTAAAACGAATACAGGTCAACTCGTACGCGAACCAACTCGTACGCGACCAACTCGTAGGCGGGACAATTCGTACGCGAACCGACTCGTACGCGGACCGACTCGTACGCGGACCGACTCGTACGCGGACTAACTCGTACGCGGACCAACTCGTACGCGTGAGTTTAGACGATTGGTTTAGCTCACATGGACAGATGAAATTAGGTTCGGTACGGTAGGCGGCATAATTTTACCTTTTCTGAAAGGTTGAGATTTTCAAATTAAATGTAGTTGATTTTTGAATCCGCCAGTGCTACTTACATTTGCGATTTTTTAGAGAAGAATTCTGCGGTTTTTTTTTTTTTACAAGTTCGCTTGATTGATTGGGAAGTTGTCTTCGCGATAACCAGTATGATTGGTTCCCGCCGCACCGCGCACTGTATAAAGAATGCATGATTGAATCGCTGTAACCTTCTTTTGTTCACTAGCCAGCCGGGCTACTGGCCTACGGGCATTTCTACTAGCCCGCATTTTTTTCTTATCTCAGATACAAAATGGCGTATTTTCAAGCGCAATTCTGAGGGAATTTTGTTGGTATTTTTGATTAACAGATCAGATAATTTAATCCTTTAAAACAGTTGATAATTAGACACAAATTAAAGGGGTTTCCTTTTTGAATTTTATGATTTTTTTTTCTTTCTGTACGTTGATCTTTGCCGTATCCCAATAATTTTTCACTCGCACGCCGGCCTGGTTAAGGAATAGTTTGTCTAGCCCCGGCCGCCGCTGTTTTGACAAGCATTTGGTTAGCGGGCTATACCGCTAATTTCGAACCCTGATGTGTTATGTGTTATACCTCCATGGTTATACCAAGCATTTCAGTTGTAAATAGAAATTGCTAGGCCTACGGATGTCCCCGCGTGTCTGCTTTTTTATTGATCAATGGTTGTGAACCACAATGAAAGTTGAGTGACAGGCAGTTGACAAGTCTGATCGATCTCTTTTGATCTTCTAAACCCGCCGGTTCTTTTAGGACACCGAACCGCGAGAACAGATCCATGGTAGTCCAGAGCGTTGCAATTGGGTCAGTCTGACAATGGTGACAATTAATTGACTGACAGGTACATTGATTAAAAAAACACGAAACGATACAACACAAAACGATACAACACTCGTTTAACTACAAAAATCAGTTACTTTATTATCATCATTCACGGTTCACAGGGGGGGGGGGGGGGCTGTAAGAAGAAATAGCCGTGACAAGGGTGCATTAGTTAATATAGTGTGAATGATTTTAGGATTTTATTGGCGCTCCCCATTGAAAATATGGCATGAGCCGCCGCCCCCCCCCCCCCGCCCCCCCCCCCCCCCCCCCCCCCCCCCCATTGATTTTCGGAGGCCTAAGTGTCTGGTAAAAATAACCAGTCAACATTTCAGCACGCCTCCCTGAGAAAATTCTGGATCCACCGTGCTAGCCCCCCCCCCAATATTGGTTGAGAACCGCGCCTGATTGAACTACGGACTACCCGTCACACTATTCCCAAATTCTTCCCAACCATGCCAACCCAATCCTCGAAACCACTCCTAAAACGGCCCGCGTACGAGTTGGTTCGCGTACGAGTTGGTTCGCGTACGAGTTGGCTCGCGTACGAGTTGGCACGCGTACGAGTTGGCTCGCGTACGAGTTGGCTCGCGTACGAGTTGACCAATCCGCGTACGAGTTGACTCGCGTACGAGTTGGTTCGCGTACGAGTTGACCTGTTTCCCTTAAAACTGTACAAAATAGATGTTTAAGACCGGTTTAGAGTCTAGACGCTAATTTCGGTGAGGGTCATTATCAGCGTCCAGACTCCAAACCAGTCTGAAACATAATTGTAATACCGGCCAAGCACATTCCCATTCATAAATACCTTTTTGGTCAAACAGTCAAAGCAAGTCAGAAACTAGAAATTTCCAATGATTTGGTTTGAACCAACTTGTTGAACAACAAGTTTACTTCATGTTTTTTTTAAACACCCCTCTAGCTATGTTATGGTACATGTGTGTGCCTTTTACATTTGGACTCACTGGTAGTATTGTGCATGCCTAACCAAGGATTGTGAATGTTCAACCAATAAAAGGATAAAAGTGACCTGATTTCCTGAGTCCAAATTTCATGTGACACTGGAAACATGTTTTAAGACCAGCCAGCCGGTATTTTAGCAACTGTTTAAGAGGCCACTTGACGGGCTCTGGACCAATATGATTGGGTAAACTGTCTTGAATGGTATGTCATGATGGCTGCCACTACAGCCAAAATATTAGTGAGTTGCAGAGTGCAGACATAATGTAAGTCAACTATCTTGCGAAATTTGTTTTATTATTTTATTAAGTGCTATCAACTAATGTTAAACACATCTATGCCTGTAGAGACAATGCACTTGGCATTGTTTAATTTAGACACCGAAGAAACAGGTGACACTGTAATTTTGTTTTCTGATTTTAATTTTGTTTTGGACCAACTGATCAACTGACCCTTCTTGAGAGGCAAAAATATGAGAACCATATTGCTTGTGGGGAACAGTGTTTTGAATAATGCATGTCGCTGTGGACATGCTGGGTGAACATAATGACAATTGGTCATGAATAATCGATCACTGGTTTCATGCATGGTTGCTCAAGGACTCCAGTGAGTGGCTGTTAATTTGACAAGTGGTTAGCTCTATTCTGCTGACATCGACTGTCATGATTAAGTTATGATCCATGACTATATCATGCGGCTGTCTCATTCTTTGGCTAATGTGCTTTGAAATTCTTCCCTGAGGCTGAAAACTGAATACTCCCCCCCCCCCCCAAAAAAAAAAAAACACCAAACAAACAACCCCCCCCCCCCGAAAAAAAACAACCAAAAAACAAAAACAACAACTCCAAGCAAACCCATCAAGATATAAATAACATAAAGACACAAATTAAACTGTAAAACCATAACAAACAACAAACTTTTAGTTCAGTTTTGAAATGGTCAAATTTTGAACCAATGTATTAGTTGGATAGCTTCATTGTGTTTCAAATTATCTAAAGTAAAGAATTAGCGAACATAACTTACAATGAAGAGGAACGTAAGTCCAAAAAAAGTCTCCGGTTTCTGGTTTGGTGTCTGCCCCAAGCAAAAATGGTGCGGCCACGCGGCTTATTTTTTTTGTACCTGTTTTTTTTCCTTCAAATGTCAGCTGATGACTGCAAATGGTGCCCAACTAAACTTAGTGCAAATATATGGGAGTCCATAGAGGCCACATAAAGTTTATACTCGATTGTAACCCCTTCTAAAAACACGTTCAAATTGTGCTGCAGCAGGATTCCAGTCAAACCAGTGAGTTTGCTGTTTTGAGACATCATCTTTCTTTGAAATTGTTTTTTTCATTTTGCCGACGTGCATGGCTACGGCGACGCGTGCGCATACCAGAAACCGGAGACTTTTTTTTTGGCCTAAGGTCATGAAGATGAAAATTTGACTTGGTTTGGTCATGGGGTAGATTAACCTGCATGACCAATGGGTATTGTGAACCCTGCTTTATACTGGCAAGAGGGTCTATTGCTGCTGTGCTGTCAGTAAGCAATTTGTAGAACGTTTAAACTTCAAGGCAACGTTGTTTTGCAACTGATAGCTCAGTTGGAGGTCGTGAGTAAATTCAGGGTAGATTGAATTCAGATTAAGCTTTGTGCTCCTGGAGGGTCTTTGCCCTTTTATTCAGTAATATTTATGCTGAGGTGACTTTGACCTCATGGAATTCAGTAGAATGGACTGTCTGTTGTAAATTGTAATAGATAACAGAGCTTAGTTATTTTAAAGAGATTGAAGTGGTGTGTAAATGTGATTTCTGGATTCACTCAAAATAAGAATACAATTTCAAAAGTGAAATGCTTATTAGCACTTGATGAATTATAAACTTTTGCTTTAGAACTTTTCAACAAAAAATGTTAGGCAACATTAAGCGACTATGAAAATATAGATATGTAGATAAATCTTGAGCAAAAAAAAAACCAAAAAAATTCTTTGCTTGAAGAAAAACTGTCTGATATTTATGTATCTTTTTATTCTCTGTCCTTAATTGTCCTTAATCGCAGGAACATCTGTGTGAAATGTTTTCCTGCAACAGGCTGATTACCGTTCCTCTAATTACTTACACAAAATTGTACAACCTTGGTGAATTCATCATAAATTGCGGCTTGAATGATGCTACAAAGCATCTTAATTGATCCCTGACCAATCAAATTAAGGAATTGATTTTTACATTTACCTTGGACTGATGGTTGCTAGGATACCATGGAAGCCTAGGCATATGAGTTAATTTCCCTTAACTCATTTTTTTTGGCCAGTTGATCTGTTACAAAGGACAGTAGTACAATGTCAAACTATTATTAAGTTGCAATGAATCAATTTTCACACTAAAAGAGGGTTTGTGCAAATGAGCTAATTTAAAAGTTGCTTTGTTTTGATGCCAGTAGACAAGTTGTCTCTGTAAATTATTGTTTGGAAGTATGACTTGATGCATAATTCTAGCAAAATGATTGTGGGGGAAAGGTAATAAAAAACTCAGACTTGTCATGCTTGTTGGCTTGACATACTGTAGGTTTGGGCGAAAATTACCTGGTTTGTTTGCCATCCATACCCAGAACACGATGTGAATGGCAAAAAATGTTGATTCATCTCCCCACACCCCGTCCCTCCCCCACAAACAAAAATACAGATGGGGGGGGGGGGATTCTTGCAAGGTTGGGCTGAATCAGCTGTGACACTGGGGCACAAAGGTGAATGCAAATTGAATTGAGTAAAAAGTATTTTTACATGGACTTCATTGCACTGTAATTTGTCTGGATTTTTGTCCCAGCTGGAGCAGAGACACCAGATACCCTACAAGGGACGCTTGAGCCCAGTGGCTGCCCTCAAGAACAAGAAGAGTAGTGTTGCAACACTCAAAGACAAGGAGGTAGGTTGGTGCTGAGAAAGTTTCTGAGTTCCTGATTGTTGAAGGAGTCACTCCAAATTGTCAGTCTTGAAATTGAGATACTAATCCATTGTTGCTTTCATGTTTGTGGCATTGTTGTCTCCGTTACATAAAATGATTTTTAGTGCTTTTTATTTAGAAGCAAAAGAAAAGGAAAACCATGTTTTGTTTGTACAGCTAATGGTACTATTACAATCTCCAATCCACAGAATGCAGAAAGTTGCCAGACGGCGTGGGGCTCACCGACTTCCACCCCCAATCTGAATGAGAACGGGCCTGCAGCCGATATAGCCAACAGTAACAACAGGCTAGGGGTAGGGGGCTCAATATCACTACATCTGACCACCCCTCTGAGTCCAGTCAGGGCAGGCAGGGGGCTACCCCAGTCCTCTATGAACATACAGAGGCTGCAAGACGGTAAGAAGGCCTGTCCTTAAAAAAGAGACAAATGTTTGGAGCTTGTGGTTGAAATCCAGAAATGTTCCTATATTCTGACTTTAATCTAAAAAAATCAATTCTGCCATAGAAGACATTGATTACATTATCCACTGCTAGCAGATTGCAACCAGCCAGACATAGCTAGCAGTCAGGGGAGTGATTAAGATGTCTGCAGTAGTAAGTAGGAGGTCATGGGTTCGAGTCCCTCCTGGGTGTTTCCTCACAAGCTCTAATGACACAGCACTTGGTGCAACAAAGCTCAGAAATCCATCTGGATTTTTGCCAATATAATATTTATAGCTAAACTTAACATTTTTATTGGTTTTTTTTTTCATTCTATCTGTAGGACCTTACTCCACGAGTGGGGCGAACTTGGTTTTGAAACGACAAAAGGCTCTCCCTAAGCCCAAAAGTTTTGGCATGCACAAACGGAGCTCAACGCATCCTATAGATGGTAAGTTCTCCGATGATAACCATAATAAACATACAAAACAAACACTGCTATACTGAACATTCCCTTTATAATGAGCATGGGTTTTGCTCCCAATTTTATGAGTAATTAAAGGCTTCACGCACAATTACCCCCTCACTCGGTTTAAATAAAAGGGTGTTGGCAGCATTGCTATCGTATGCCGTATCACTTTCAGTCTGTGGACTTCCTTTCATATGCACATGAACCAATGTGCATTAGCGATGTGTCCTTAATTCCTACGGAACTCTCACTAGAAGTCAGAAAAAGTGCAATCTATTGCTGTTGTACCGAGCATTGGTGACTGAAAACCAATATAATGAATGAATACTGTGCTGAAGAATCTTATGTAGACCCAATTGTGTCTATAGTGTCCTGCTGCTGTAATATGTCAGTACTGCGTTCTGGAGGTGGCAGGTGCTAATCCTGCCCTAGTGAAGTTCACTGTAAAGCCTTAAATTGATTATAATTGATTGATTGATTGGATCAGGTGCCAGTATTGACCCCCTGGAGACCACCACCACCTCCCAACCCACCAACCATCAGAGAAGTAAGACAGTGACTTCCCCTGAGCCTGGCTCTTCCCCTCGCAATAAAGTCAAGAGTCTGGTGACTAGGACGGCAGCACAGAGTGGAGAGAGACTCAGGCTAGCCAAGCTGACAGCAGAACGGGCAATGAAGGTTGGGCATCAGACTAGTAATACTGTTTTTACATTTAACCCAATACAACAAAATGGGTCACAATGTCCCAAGAGCTTCGTTTGAAAGTTAAGACTCCTTTTGTGACATTTGGTCACATTTAATGACAGTTAAGCATCCATGAGCAATGTCAGGCAATGGTTATCAGTCTACTGGTGGTTTATTTATATGCCTGCTCTCTAATAGCATCTTGTGAACATCTCTCTTAAAAAGTGTCTTCACAAAACTTCTTGATCTGACGTGTACATTGTAGCTCCCTGTTGTACATGAGGATGCACACAGCTATTGATCACTGATACCCAGGCTCTGGTTGCACGTACCGGTAGTTGACTTGAGGGCAGTTCAACCATCCTATGCTCGATTGCAGTTTTAATAGTCAAACTATAGTAAACCACACTCCTTGCTAGAATTTGCTTTATGATTTTAAAAATGTTGATCTGATACAGAACACTTGCATTGTGCAAATGAAGTCACTTTTTGACATGCTACACAACTTTTGTAACTGTTGCAGCTGCCAAACAGTTGTAAAGATCGATGAAACTAAACAATTTTTTTTTAAATGGTTTTCTTTGGCAGTTAAAGAGGGTCTTCACCATTCAGGGTCCCTATCCTGTGGTGAGAGAATGTCTGCGATCTCGAGACTGGGTGGAGAAGCAGTACCGATCCATGGCCCCCCACAAAGTCAAGAGGAAACAAGGCAGTGATGACAATGACACAGATGACAGTGACAATGACGATGATGACGGTAAGACCATATTAGTGATGGGAGAAATCAGAGATTTCTAAATCCGTTTATCCTGCTTTTTTTCAAACCGAATAACGATTATCTAGTTTCACCGGAAGTTACCATTCAGTTGTCATGGGTTGTACTGCTGAGAATGGGTGGGAACTCTCTGATGAGTCGAATGGGCGAGTGAGTGCAGTTATAATCACAGACCATGGAGCAAATTGTGGGATATTCTAGTTGTTTTTTCTTTAGCTTGTGTCACAAGAAAATGGAAGGTTGATTTGTTTTTAGGTTGGTTTTGAATATTCAGTTTTCCAGACACAAATCAAATAGTGCAATTCAAAAAGTAAATTAAAAAAAAGCAGATTTTAATCGCACCTCCAGTCCATATTTCCCATGTTGGTGTTATTTTGGAGCCTGTGGTTCAAAATCTATTTTGCACCTGATTTTCATTTCCCAAAAGAAAGTCACGTTGAGGTTTGAAATTAGAAAATCTGTCGTAGTGGCAATATGGGTTTCCTGGGTCGGCTTTTGGAAGCAAGTTGTAATGCCATTTGTAGGATGTTTACAGTGACATTTCAGTGACATTTCAATGTGATTTTGTTTGTCTGCCACTCAGATGACAATAATGATTCTCCTGACACGGGTGTCACTGCAGACAGTGATGACGATGACAACGGATTAGGAGATTCAGATGACATGTATGGAATGATGGTCAGTATTTACATTGAGAAAAAGCTTGCCTATAAAGAGCATGTGACGAGACTTATTCTATTGAAAAGGGTTGCGGTAATATTCAGAACCAGAGATGTAAACTTGATGTTCCATTCAAGTCATAGACATCTTAAACGTAGACCTGACTTGTATGCTTTCATGTTACTTCTGGCAACAAAATGCTGCTTCCTTTAATGCCATGGTACACGAACCCTCATTGTGATTGTTAATAACGCACTTTATGTGACCGTCCTCTTGCATGTTTAATGAGCCCACAATATTGTTTGCGTCTCGTGGCAGTTATTGGCTGCAGCGTTTTGTGGTCAGAAAATTCAGGCAAATGTCAGGTCTATGTCTTTTTAAGATGTCTGTGATTCAAGTACATGTATGCCGTGTTTTCCATCAGGAGAATGCCTTAAACTTTAGACATGTTACAGACTTTATTATACATAGACGGGGTCCATTGTCTTTGAGAAATGCCCTCTTGAGTTTATGCATTCTCCTGGTAATGATTATTGAAAACACGTCTGGTTGTCCTCTCAACCACTTCTAATTTTGGAGTTAGTCCAGTGACATGTTCATTCACAGACTTCTACTCTCCACCATGCAATACTGAACATTTCTTCATTGTCTGCTCTCATCATTTGCTCGACTTTCACATTAAAGTGCCTGTTCACATTTGAAGCGTCGTTTGTGACATAACCAGAAAGAATTAAAATAAATATATATGAAATAAAGAGAGGACCGTAAGGTGTTGTGTTCTGTGCCACCAATTAAAAAACCAAGCATGAGCCCTTCCATTATAGTTGCACATTATTATATTTTTTATTTTACAGTCAAGAATGGTCCGAAACAACGATCCATTTTTCATTTGGACGTGTCGCAGAGACACCATCAACTTTAGGTTCTTGAGGAAAGAGACAATTGTCAACCATTTTGCCAAGAATGGAGCGTTTACAACCAAGGTGAGATGGGATAAAGAAAAAGAGGTTTTCTAATGTTGCAGAATTTCAGACTGCAAAAATCCAACTTGATTCAGCAAACCAGTGGCATATTATTTGAACTTAAAACATGCTAATAAAAGTTACGGCTTGCGTGTTTAACAAGTACATGTACGCAAATGTTGCAGCTTTAAATCTTTGTGTGCGATTATTTGATACATTGACTCAAAAAAGTGACTGCTTTAGACAAGCCGTTTTATCGACTTGAATGTAAAAGGATGTTATTTAAATTCCTTCTAAATAAAACAACTTATTCTGTACCAAAGTTATTAAGTGAAAAAGTTAAATGCATGACTAGAGAATGACGAACTGGTGTTCTTTTTATTGTTACAGACCGGCCTGTGTACCCATCTACGGAACCTGAAGTGGTATGAGAACATGGACGCTGATACCTTCTATCCACGCAGCTACAAGATCTGCATAGAGGAAGAGAAAAATGCATTTCTTGGTGAGATGACAGATTATTTACATCATACAGTTGACTCTCATTAGTACAAACACTGTTAATACAAATTCTGGTTATAGCAAACACAAGGCCTTGGTCCCGACTGTGCATTTATGTGCACAATGAATGGGACTAATGTTCCTCTTAATACAAACATATTGGCTAGGTTTGAATGAGTTTGTATTAACGAGAGGCAACTGTATATGGAACCTGTTAAAAACTAATTAAACTAAAACAGTTGTATCAGAATAGTTTAAAACTTTGCTATCAGACATTGACAGACCAATTTCCATTGTTTTTCCAAACAAATTTTTTCCTGTTTTTATATTGAATGCGTCAGCTAAACAATGATTATATCTAATTTTGCCTCTAAAGCTGAGTGCTTCTTTTTACATTTTTTTTCTCCATTCTTATTTTTTCTTTTGCTTCTGACTGCAAATGGGGACCTAATAATGATACTTGTTTACACTTTTGTAATAATTGTTAAAATTATTATGTGTCCTTCTTAACCCCAGATGACTACAGACTGACTGCTGCATGTAGCATCTTGAAATGGGTGGTACAACGACACAATGGCGAGCTGGACGTGCCAATGGACGACAATGAAGACATTCCAGACGAAGACAATACCACCAAGTCTGACGCTGAGGACGTGACCACCTCGCCACGGTCCCAATCCAAGCTGGCCGGTCAGTCCAAGGCAAAAAGGAAAACAAACCCTGTCCTTCCAGCCTCCCTGATTCGGACTGCCTCGGATATCGTGGATAACTATCTGAATGATGTAACACATGAATTTCTGGACAATAATGTGGACGTCAGTGACCTCATGACGGACAAACAGTGGGATGAGTTTATTCGACAGTATTGCCAACTAATTTTGTAAGTTATGAGCTGTTTACTCTCTTATTGGTTATATTTTTATCAAGTTCATGTTGAAAATATCTTATGTCTAGTTCTCTAAACACGTTCACTCTTTGAAAGTCCGCAAAAAAATTATCAATCCCTGGAAAAAAATTTCAATTGTGAATTTTTGCTGTAAGAACTTGTGTAAAAAATGATAATAATTAAAAAAATTGTGTTCATCATTAAGTAAAAAAAATAATCTGCTGACTGCTTTTTGATGAACACCATTTGGCACAGAATCTCTGTATATTACTACAATTGATAGATTTAATTTCTTCTCTCATAAACAGTGAGGGTGGTGTCATAGCCGAGTCTAGCAATCACAGTGCAATGTGCGAGAGTCTACTGAACAGGGTACGGGCCGTCCTACCCCAGCTGGATATGGACGGACTGCGCAATATCTGGATCATTAAGCCTGGAGCCAAGTCTAGAGGCAGAGGTGAGTTCAAAGGGCAAAGGTCAATGACTTCATGAAGACATATGCCTGTTTGCATTTCTTGTCTAGAGCAACTGTCTAGATCTCCCATTACATGTATGGTGGAAAGTGCTGATACTAGATGTTGGCATACTTCTGGACACCAGTTTCGGACACGACCAGAGTGTGCAATAAGCCAGTTCGGTATTTCAATGACCCGATGTCATTCAGGGTAGCATCGCTGACGTGATGTTGCGCGATGTTACACGCACGCCCATTCTGCTAGTAATTTACACGCAAGCATCGTGTGCCCGCATTCGTGCGCCTTCGAAACGTTTGATTATCCTGAATGACCTGTGACCCATATCATTGTGCACATGCGCAGTTGCAATACCAAACTGGCTTATTGTCATTGTTCTGGCCGTGAATTTTACAATATCCCCATTCGTACGTCATTCTAATGGAAACCACATATAGAGATTTGACAGTTTACATGGTAATGGCAACAATAAGACAAAGTTTGCGGTGCCACCGCAAACCTCCTCTTCCATTAAGAGAATTTACAGACATTTTCAAGAAAAAGAAAATGCACTCTGTAAACTTTGTACATTTGTATGCGCCTTCCAAATCCATTTTGTTAAATTGCAAGCTTGCCTTAAAAGGAAGCAGAAGTTGGCATTGAAAAGAGAACTATATATAAATTCCAAAGATTCTGAAATTTAATGACCTTATCTTGTACTAAATTTGTCATGCTGAAATAGGCAGCTAGGTGACTCTTTGAGATGTGACTTTGTTCTGTCTCAGGTATTATCTGCATGAACAAACTAGAGGAGATCCTGAAACTAGTGGGCAACCCAACCATCGTCAAGGAGGGCAAATGGGTCGTCCAGAAGTACATAGAGCGCCCTCTCTTGATCTACAACACCAAGTTTGATATTCGGCAGTGGTTCTTAGTGACTGATTGGAACCCGTTGACTATCTGGTGGTATCAGAATAGTTACCTCAGGTTCTGCACTCAGCCCTTCTCACTGGACAATCTGGAATCGTGAGTAGTCTTCATGTTTAACATCTTGTCTGGGGAAATAGAAATATTCTCAGTTGCTTCATGCCAAGAAATTGAGATACAAATCAGTTTGATGAGTCTAATTGACTCTCTCAAGACCATGTTTGAATGTTTGAATGATCTTGGAAAAGAAAACAATTAAAACAGCTTTAACATGATGAAATAAAACCATCGTTATGAAGTATCTGCTGACCATGTATATATGAGATTCCTTAAGTTATTTGGAAATACGTTAAATATACTTTATCAGAGGACAAGTACGTATTTTATTTAATAACAGTTGTGTACATGTACAATGTACTGAGTACTTCCGTAGAGTGCAATATTGTGTTGCTACTCAGATTTAATGTTTAAAAGCTGACAAATTTTAGTCTTAAACCTTTATGAATTCAAACAGAGTCACAGCCTTGGTGTACAAATAGCATATACCATGTCATTATTCACTTCTTGAAATATGGTTGGTGTCATGAAACAATGATCTAAAACAATATCTGCATGTTTTAGTCAGTGTACTCTGATTCTCTTCAGAAAAAAACCATTCATTGTCTTGATGAAATTTATTACTCTTTTCTCAACAGGGCCATCCACCTTTCCAACTTCTCGGTCCAGAAGAACTTTGAGAATTCTGCAGCCCGCTCGGTGATGCTACCAGATGAGAATATGTGGACCAGTGAGGAGTTCCAGCAGTATCTCAAGAACCGAGGCTGTGGCAACATCTGGCAGGATAGTATCTACCCAGGCATGAAGAAGGCCGTCATTGCCGCACTCCAGTGCACGCAGGACGTTGTGGAAATGCGCAAGGTGCGTTAAGCCACGTCTGAATTATTTGACTACGGCCGGCAGTATTTAACACACTTTCCCATAGATCTCTCCATTAGGACGTCATCTTCATAGGAAAATTACAACTGCACACCAACGCCATCATGTGCGTATGTGCGCAGTGTTCAAAATGTTCTAAACACGCGCGCATGCAGCTTGACGTTTCTTCAAAATGCGGCACAGCCGATGCGTGTCACGAAAATTTGATGGCCAAAATGCTGATGCACGTGGCAGTCTGTGTGAGAGAGACCTATTGGATGTGGCTTTTAGTCTCATCCACAGGCGCATTGTGAGCTCTAGCCATAAGAGCTACAGTCATGGTCTGTGGTGACATGTCATGTTTAGCTTTGTGCTTGAAAACATGCGCCAGTTTACTGCTGTCTGACTGACTGAGTCACTGACTGACTGACCGACTGACGGAGTCACAGAGTGTTAATTATGTCCTAAAATAAGATTTTTAGATCCAGCTTGGCCAGGTAAGCCTAGTGTTTTTTTGTTCAAGGCACCCTGTCTTCCTTTCTTTCTGTGCCAACAGAACTCCTTTGAGCTATACGGTGCAGACTTCATGTTAACTGAAGACTTCCAGCCGTGGTTGATAGAGATCAACTCCTCCCCAGCCATGGGTGCTACGACTGAGATCACGGAGCAACTATGCCATGACGTCATTGAAGACACCATGAAGGTAGTGCTGGACCGACGACATGACAAGAACTGCGACACGGGAAAGTTTGAACTGGCCTTCAAGCAGGTAAGGCTGTGTTCAAAATGGGCCTGCAGAGCTACAGCTTCATCTGTTGTCATCATTCCCACGTTGATTTAATTGTCAGAAACAGTAACTGTAGACAAAAGATTCAGACAGGGCCTTAGTTTGAAGAAGCAGGTGAATTGCCTTTAACCCAGCTTCTCAAATTGTTGAATTGTGGCATCATTTTGAAGGTGTTTTGACCTCTTGCCTCTCTCTCTTCACTGTCCAGCACCAAGTGACCGTTCCTCCTTATGTTGGTGCTCAGCTGTGCATCGAGGGCACCGGTCTACGTAACCCATCTCTCCGTATACACCGGCAGCGAAGCCAGCCTAACATCATCAGCCCGCGACAACCTGACACAACAGTGGTCCTGCGGAAGACCACTAATAACGGCAGCAACCTGCAGACCAGTCCCAGGAGACTCAGTCAGGGTAAAGTTGAAGCAACCCCCATGGGGCTCGACCCGGAGCTGATTAAAGCGACTAATCTGGAGGAAATGACACGCAAACTAGCAGGTATTAGCAAGGATGACTTAGATCTGATTAGGAAGACCAGCCGCAAGGGTAAAAAGGGGCGGCGGAAACGCACCTTTCGCTTGCCAAATGTCAGTCAAGAGAGCGAGGCAGTAAGGGAGGAGCTCAAACTCCGCTCTGTTACCGTCAAGGGGACTGGGGTTGAAGGCAGCCCCCCAGTCCCCGAGCAGCGTTATGGCATACAGCCAACCAAGTCCCTCAAAGCTTACACAATTTACAATCACAAAACAAAAATTAACGGCCACTCAACAGCCGAGCCCACAACTCAAACAGGAGAAATTCCAAACATCGGAAGCTTCCACCTCGGCCATCCTAAAAGGCCTAAAAACCCACTGGTCAAGCACGGCCAGTTGACCAATCCTAAACTGAAACTACAGCACCATAACCCTGACAGCTCCGAGAAGCATTTTGTCATTGGGCCTAGCGGGGTGTCAGTCTACTCCAGTGCCTAAATAACAAAATTAAAATACCTGTTTCAGATGGGCATTCCAGAGCCACACTGAAGCAAGTTATTCTGCAAATTTGAATGAATTACATGAAGAGTTTGTTTGAATAAGGAGTGACTGGGTTGAAAGATCAGCTAAGTTGTCCTGTCTAGTCAATGGAGAATTAAAAAAAAAAGTTTGCCTCTCTGAAACCAAAATCTATTGGCGTCGGCCCGAGTTACTCCTAATAGTAATACCCGTTTGGTCTCGCGTGACTTTAGAATGCCAATCTGGATGTAACCTACCACTCCATACACCATGCAGTTATGACTAGGCTGCAAACTCACAGCAGCAAGTCAACTCATTGGTGATTAGGATCATTGATAACCATTCAGAGATATTTGTAGACTACTGCCAGCCAGTGTGCAATACTCAAAGAAGCTGCAGTGATGGTGCCAACTTTAGTCTTGATTGAGTGGACTCATTGTACATAGCATTGCAGAAACTCCTCAGTACAGAGGAACAAGTACATTCACATGCCAGTCTGCACAAGCAACGTTTGTCTTCCATCAAAAGCAACTCTCCATTTTGCAAGGAATCAAATTAAGACTATTTTACAATGTTGCCAAAAAGCTTGGAGAATGATAACCGGGCTGTTTCCTACGCATTAGAATGCTCACTAGGTTTGGAGAATACTTGAAATGTTTTGATGAGCTTAGTGTTCACCCTTTAAGGGTGGAGAGTTAGTCAGGAGAGATATTTGTTCAGTCTGGGTCACTGAATTGGTCAGATGACTCATGAAACAAAAACTACCTCAGATGTGATGTTTTGTGATCTCAGACCATGAACTTCAACTGCTTAAAGCAGAAGCATCAACAGAAGTTTAAGATGTGTCCATAGAAAAAAAAGTTAAACATTTCTTAAGATACTGGATGTGTCACAATCATTACATATTTTGCTGATGTTTGGGAAATGTAAATGTGTAGGCAGCAGTAGTAGGTCTACTTTGATTCAGTAAGTTGTAGTGTACATGAAGATTTACAATTGGATTGTCCAAGTAACTTTGTACATGTACATAATTAAGAGTATATACATTTATATTACATTGTTCTCAAGAATTGTTCTTGAAATTTCAAGTATTATATCATGACATCTGAAATAACTACAGCAGTAATTTGGGTGCAGTGCATCAAGGATACTTTTAGGGCTTTTAGATTTTTTTTTAGAAAGAAATCCCTTTTCTTACTTGAGTTTTGATCTAAATCAAATTTACAAATCAGTCTATTTTCTGACATGGTCTGGACTTGGGGCAGAGTTTTTGGGCTTTAGAACTATGCAAAAAGCTGCATTGTAGACCGACAGATGTGGAAATGTCACATTCACTGTTTGACTCAACCATCAATCATTGTTTGAAATGTCTGTTTGTTAACACATTGCCTTTTTTTATCTTCCATGTTCATTAATTCCTTGCATGCACCAGGCCCGATGGGTACTGTTCAGGTAATTGGAAACTCATCTGGGCTTATTACGTGTAGTCATTCTTTACATGTCGCGTTCTTTCAGCTACACCTGGCATAATGATGCAAAGTACTTGTGAGAACTTGGAGAATATTTTGCTCCTATTTCAACATTTTTCTGACTTCAACCTGATGGAATTGTAATCTAAACACAACTACGCCAAGTATTTGCATAGTTGTACTCAGAATGCATTTGGTACAGACACCCGGTAAAACTGCATTCCTTTGTGTAACATTTTTCAACTTTTAGAGAAACACAAGAAAAAACATTGAAGACAGGCATGCAACTTTTCCTTGGATCCACCGATATCCTTGTTTTTTTACTTCTCGTGAATGCCATTGCAAATTGAAAAACACTTGTTTGTGTGGTTTGGAATTTCCTCGTTTTTTTTCTAAATTCCCAGTTGCATGCCTGAAAAAACGAAGATTATTTAATTTTGGCAACCAACAGCTTCTCACTGTTGCCAGGCCTGTCTGTGTTTCTACTGCTGTTTCATGTGTACCTTTGTTCACTTGTGTTTTCTTCATTCAGTTTGATTAGATTCAAGCTTTGGTAAACTAAGTTGCGTCTGCTACTAATCTCTCTTCATGCATCTGTGCTCTTTGTAGCTCTTTCACTTTTGCTCTCAAATTGACTGAATGACTAATTTAATTCCATGCAAAAACTAATATTTCTCATCATAACCACAATTTGATCCCAGTTTTTCCTCATTCTTCCCATGATTCTATACTAACCCCCATCCATCCCAGGATTCCATTGTCACCCCCTCCCTTCCCATGATTCCATATTAACCCCCATCCATCCCATAATTCAATGCTCACCCCTTCCCATGATTCCATATTAACCCCCATCCATCCCATAATTCCATGCTCACCTCATTCCCATCTGTTTGTTTCCATTGCAGCATCGTCTGCGCTTACGCAAGCTCAATCATCACATGATGACATTACGCAGCGAGATAGCCAGCATGACACAAGTTGTACGTCAAAATATCCATTTTGTTTGCTTCTTTCCTAAAATGTTTCAGAAAAAAAATGAAGACAGTTTAAATTTAAAGTGAATGTTCAATACAACACACATTTTTCCGATCTTAATTTCAAGGTTTTTTTTAGTTTAATGCAGATTGAAACTCGCTAGTCCTAAAAAAAATTGTTCTTCCTGTTTTAATGACTATTTTCATCTGAAATGGACAAGGGAAAAAAATACTTTGTGTTTTCATTTGTTCATTGAGATGTTCAAGTCTAAATGACTGTGAGTTAGATTTTGGACTTGCCATTTGATTGTATAACCACAATTTTTAAGAAAAGTTGTTTTGGTTCTAAACATTGCGAAACAAAGTCATCTATCTTGAAAACCCACAAAGAACCTAAAATATGATTATTTCAGTGTTCAGTCCTTAAAGAATTCATCTCCTATTTCACAACAATGTACAATGTACACACACTTTCTTCACAAGTACATTTTGGAGAATTACGTCACATACATGTTATTGTTTAATTTTGACTAGCATGACAATAACCATTCATATGGGAATGCAGGCATCACTCATTCATATTTATTTTGTTTTCCCTTCCCTCCCCCTTCATCTTTCCTCAACCTATCCTCCATCACCTCTGCCTCCTTGCTTCTCCTGGGAACTCATCTCTGTCTCATCATCTTTTGTAACCATGGTTACCTCCCTGCATCCATATCCATCGTTGCTATGGTAATCCTGCATCCGTTTCATCTCATTTTTTGCTCCTATCTCACCGCCCATTGTTGCATCTTCGCAATCTCGTCCATCTTGTCCTTGTATTTCAATCTTGACATGAAACAGCAGCAGGGATTCTAGACGGAGCTTGGGGCAGCTCATGCCCCCATTGCAATACCGGCATCCCAGGGGTAAAACTAGAAGCCGATAAAGCAGCAACAGACTGCACCTGCAGACGAGACAGTGTGGTTAATACCCCGGTCAATGACAGAACTAGCCAGCCCAACTCCGGTTACCAGTCACCGGTGGCAGGGTACCGATCACCGGAGCTGATCCCTCGTAGTGGGACCTTCGTCAGCAACAGGCAGGGTAACTTGGTAACACTAAGCGGGCCGGACCCGATCCAAGGGGTGCACAAAGTGGGTAGAGCGGCCTTCCTAGCAGGCCGAACCCGTCCCAATGTCAATAGGCAACGTAGAGAGTCTAAGATACATGTACAGATAAGAGGTGGAGAAGTCAAGGTACCATGCGGGACTTACCCTTTTACAGTCTCCAGTAGTTACATCATGTAAACAAACAAAAAATACATTAAAAGAAATAGAATTATGCAGATATCATGGCTGAGTTTGGGAGGCTGAAAAACAAATTTGGTTTGAAAATGTCGGATTTACTGAATGGTGTGCAGTGAATTTAAGGCATTTAATAATACGTTTGTGTTTAAAAATACCTTTTACCAAATGCAAGAACTATTACAAAAAACTGTAAAGTCTTAGAGTGTGTGCTCATTCATTATTTTTTATTACAGTTTTTTATTACAATCTACCAGCAAAGCTTTGTTTTGTTATATTTTATCAATTGATTTGAGTACATGTATACACCAAGAGTATGTAATCAAATAAACATTGTAACTATCAGAATTATAGTACCATTGAAATATTGAATTCTTAAAGATTTGTACATTGTTAAATGTATTTATTACATTAAAATACGGTTCAACGATTCATTTTTAGACAAAACCAAAGTTAGGATGTGATTAATTGGTTGCCATTTCAGGTAGAACAAACTAAAGTACATTCGGGCCCCATTTTTTAGTCAGAAAATATTGTTTTTATAATGCAGCATAATTTTATTGCTGGATTAAGAGTAACAAGGGTATTATAATACAAACAGTAGAATTCAAATTAGTTGCTTTTAGAGGAACTTGAAAAATAGAATTAGCTGTTGCAAACTGCTTACCAACTAAAAGGACCTATGGTATAAATGCAAAAAAATAGTTAGTGGCCTGACGTTTCGACCCTAGCAGAGTCTTTCTCGAAGGCTAAAATTTTAGCCTTCGAGAAAGACTCTGCTAGGGTCGAAACGTCAGGCCACTAACTATTTTTAGAGGAACTTCCGAGAAGCAGACATTCATCTGGTAATAAATTGATACTTTTCCTTAGCAGTGAAGTTTTCTTAAAAATATATTTAAAAAAAGGCTTTGGCATTGCGGGCCAGGCATGAATCATGTTTTGTTCTCAAAAAAGAAAACATTTTCCAGCCAATTTGCTGCCTACTTACAATGTAGTCTGCTAGTTTGTTTTGTAGATGCAGGCTACAATTGTCTTCTAAATAACCAGGTTTATATATTTCTGAGTTGTGCCTTTTTAAATGAAACTTTTATAAGTGAACTTTTCAGTGGTAAGCAGCCCATCATCGCACGTATCGCTCTGAAAACAAAATTCTGCAATAACAAAATCATCAATTGCCCACTTGCGATGGTCCCAATGAATATAGAAACTAGGAAGTTTCTTTTGTGAATAACGTTTGACTTGTATTTTATTATGTATAAATCTCTTTGCTGAAAGCAATAAAGGCCATCTTGAAGATGTTTTTAATTTCTTTTCATGTTATTTTGATAATAAATCATGTTACGTTGAATACTTAAATATGTCGTCCACAGTGGGTCTTGATGTTTGTACATGCTTCTTCATTTACAATTACTTGTTTTAGTCATTCTTATTTATTTTTATATTGATATTTGTATTAATCACGATTTTATATCTCGTGCGATGAAGCAGTAGCTGACATGGCCCTATCCAATTTTCCCTTTCTGTTCGGGAACAATATATTCGCCTTTGAGCCTTGTAATGATTTTGTTTTCCGTAATGAAAGCATGCATCTCACAACATGAGTCTGCGCCCTCCCCCTATTGTTTCCATTCGTTTACGAACGATAAAAAAAGCACGGAGAAGACTAAAACATTTTTGTTAATGTATATAATACCATGGAGGGAGGAATAGACCGATCCCCGGGCCCGGCCTCCTCAAAACCTTTCAATCTACCAAATACCACGTCTTCGGTGAAATGTTGTTTTGTATTAATTTTGTTGAAGACGCGGCCCTGAACTGATCCACAAAATCCCCCCCCCCCCCCCCCCCCCCCCCCCCCCCCCCCCCCCCCCCCCCCCCCCCCCCCCCCCCCCTGTTTGCAGGGCGGGGGTACGAGCGAAATCCACAAATCGGCACTGAACAAAACGCACTTTGGACAGTTGAGGGCGCACTTGATTTGTATGGAAACTTTTGCAGACCAAGCCCTTTTCATGCTTTTTGCGTACGTGAATATGCAATACATGCAATAAGGCCTAGCCTAGGCCTATTGTTTTTCGTTACGGAAAAACTTAGTCATATCTCTACAATATTTGACGCATAAAGGTTTAGCAGTTCCAGTTCCAGATTGTTGACTAGTTAAGCCGTTTTTAGCAGACGATGGCCATGAATTCAGCGGCGATGTCTTTCCAGCCTGGCACGGGGAGTGTTCCAGCGACCAGAGTGGAAATCACTGTGTCCTGCAGGTAGGCGGATAGGCCCCACTAGTGTGGCCGTCGGTATGCTGCGCTGAACGGCCACACTAGTGGGGCTAGTAGGCGGACAGAATTCCGGTAATCCTTATCGTAAGGACACCTCTATTTTTTACGACTATACGAATTCTGTTTAAAACTAACTTTTACCAAAGATGACTGTCCAGTAACAAAATGACTTTTGCAGGCTAATGCAGTCTTTTTTCTTCATATAAACTCATGTTAGTTGTAATTTTGAAAGCACTTTCAAAGAAAATGTGACTTTCCTACCTTTTTTTGCAGTCAGACGTACTCCTAGAACTATGAAATCACGCGGAGCTTCATAGTACTAGTTCTAGGAGTAGGCCTAAGTCAGATGTGCATGTTGTAGTTCTCACAACACGAGTGAAAGCGCTACTCTTTCCACAAAATTAAACCATTTTTGGCATTAAACCTACTGATATTCAAGGTGTCATTGCCAATTGTTCAGATGTGTCAAGAAATATCAGAATGTCAGTTTTGAGTGTCATTTAGTCAACTGTTTTGGTGAGTCTTTCCCTTCCTATATAGGAATGGGGTCCTAAAAGTAAGGATTACCAGAATTCCATACACATGGACATCACTCATTTCCCCCTATATTACTTTGGTATTTGAAGATGCGTCAGATAGTCCCTAACAGTCCTGAATCCTCCAATTTCAATACGAATTTGCACACCCCCTAGGGAGTTAGGGTTAGCCTGGCATATATTATTGGAAGTCATTCCATCTGACCATAGAGAAAGGACATGATCTGACTGAGTTGATTTGATTTTGAACTTTGAGGGATCAACAAAAGTTTATTACATTTTCATGTAAAACAAAAGGAACAACTGGACGCTCAACCGTTTTATTAGGCCTTTTAACTTTTTGAAAAGGGGACAGTGAAATATCCAGATGGCCTTTTCATGATAAATAACCTCAACAGGCTCAGTGACAGTCTTATGTCGAATATTAAACCATGGGAAAAAAAATAGCTTGAGTAACTCCAGCTCTACATGCTCTAACGCCTATCGCCTTAGAGCTGAAGTTTATACTCAAGCTAGGAAAAAAATGTTGCAACCTGACGCCACTTTTTTCTTCATACATGTATATCATCTCAATGAACATGATGAGAGTCATTCATTGCAAAAGTGATGATAAGACATGAATCTGGGACTGAGAAACATTTCCAATTTTGTTTGGAAATACAATGTACTTAACTTAAAACATGTAAACAATTGTCTTGACTCTCCATAGACTTTGTACACAGTCGCGGATGTGGCGTCATGTTACAATATTTTTTCCAAACCGTGAATTGGAAACATTTCCAATTTGTTCACCAGTTTTCTCAATTGCCATGTTGTGCCCATTCTTGAAAATCACGCATTCTCGAGAATGGGCATGCACATTCTTGAGAATGTGCAACTGGATCCTTGCTCAATCTTGGCAAAAAATAACTCTTCCAGATTGAGCGCACATTCTTGAGAATGCGCGACAAGATAACGGTCTTGTCGATGCCGAGCACCGGCTGCGCTTGGCAAGTCTAGCTGAATCCTCGTTCACTGATTCTCAATAATTATACTGTTGCAACGCAAGGCGCTGAAAAGTAGAGTGGATATGATAAGTAAAGGCGTATTGATATGGGGGGGGGGGGGGGACACCGGGAAAATATAAGAGACATACTAATACTAGTGCAAAGAATTCTGATTTTTGGGATAATAAAAGCGGGGGGGGGGGGGGGGGGACGTAAGAATGAAGAATGTGAAGAATGAGAATGAATACTGCGACATCCCATAGTGCTAATGCTATTTCCCATTTAAATTGCCACCAATTTATTGTTCCCATCCCACCATAACGTCGCAGAGCTGGATTCTATCTAGTCAAAAGAGCAATTTTGGCAGCTTCTGGACATCGTTTTTTTTTTCGTGGCACGCATATGATACATGCAGGGACTTGTAACTTGTCTAGCCTAAACAAAGCACTTCCCAGACTAGTTCCCAGTTCTCCGTTATTACAAAACTTCCCATAGTGGGCAGAAAAAAGCAATAATAACAGGTTTAATTTGATTCAAATTATCGTAGTTATACGAGTACAGAAGCATAGCACATTTTCTTTCCTCTTTATATGAATTGTTTCCCTTTTAACCGCTATACAATTCATTTAACATAATTATGTCGTGCAATGTTTGTTAAGATTGGGCAAAATTCATAAATTGTGCACGTGATATTCCCACCCAATCTTAAGAATGAGCGCTCATTCTTAAGAACGCGTGCTCGTTCTTAAGAATGGGCGCTCATTCTTAAGAATGCGCGCCCATTCTCGAGAATGTGCATGCCCATTCTCGAGAATGCGTGATTTTCAAGAATGGGCACAACAGCCACATAGACTTTGTACACAACGATCAAACTGATGTCACGACACAACACGCTGCCCTTTTCCTCAGCTTTCACATGATCATGCAACTTCATTTTGAGTGCTAGTGCATATAGTACTATATTTGTTTTGGCCATTCATATAAACATGTTTATTTTAAAACATTCTGTCATTGTTGGCATTTTTCTGATTTCTTTAATACAGGGATCTGAAGGACAAAGATGTTATGTCCAAGTCTGATCCAAGTAAGTAAAGTGCATCTCGATGTTTTTCAGCACTTAAGGTCCCAGTCTGGTACAGTGCATGCATGTTTTTCCTCTTAATATGCATCAAAAGTTTCATTTTCCAAAGTAAAAGTGAAAGTCGTTCAATTTGGCTTGTTGTGTATTAACTAAGGCGAAGTCAAAAAAATAAAACATGTTTCTCATCCCCTCCCACTCCCTTTTTGGAGGCCGCCTGGATTTTTTTATTATTTGTAATTTTTTGAAAAATGCAGTAAAAAAACACTGAAATGAATCACGACTTTTGGCGGTTAAAGCAAATGCATCTAGAACTATTTACTGTAGACCAATACAACTCTAAATGACGCTGTAAATATGTTCAGTTCTCTTGTCGAACTTGTCTTTCATTTATGATTTTAAAAGTGTCTTTAAACAGTGGAAACACAAACGGTTGCAGGAATTTTAAAATGGCGGCCATCTTGAAAAAATAAAAATAAAAAATAAAAAGCCCCTCTTCCTCCTTTTTTCAAAAACCCGAACGAGAAACATGTTTTTTTTTTATTCGGCCTAATATGGACCCAGATTGTACATGTCCATTCCTTTGTAGCAAGCTGTAATTGGCTAAGAAGAAGTACATGTACATGTGATTAGCCATTAAAGAAAATGACGACATCACATATCTCAACCTTATTACACTGTAGTATATTGTGTGCTTTATTTTTGCAGTGTGTGTATTGTATACAACTCAGCTTGGATCGAAGGAATTTGCAGAGGTAGGCAACATGCATTTTGTTCTTATAATTTATTAAAAACAAACAAACAAACAAACAAACACCCCAAACAGTCCCGTAGCTGGCCTGGAGGAAAGGGGTCCGCTCATAAGTCCGACAAAATCGTATCCCCTAACCAAATAAAGGCCCATAAGTCCGACGCCTCATAGGTCCGACGCCTCATAGGTCCGACGCCTCGTAAGTCCGACAAATTAAACGCCTGGTTTTTCCGTTGTCGGACTTATGAGGCGTCGGACTTATGAGGCTTTGAACCTTTGAGGCAGAATAAATAAATGTTATGCCTCATAAGTCCGATGCCTCATTAGTCTGAAATTTCGGACTTATGAGGCGTCGGACCTATGAGGCGTCGGACTTATGATACGGCCCCGGAGAAAAGGGGGGGGGGGGGAGGGACCCTAAAGTTTACCTTTTAAAATTTGTTATTGAAAATTACCCTATTAAGCAAGGCTATAAAAGCAACACTTGGCAAACTTAAAGGGCTGGAAAGAAAATATGATGAAAAAAAATAATAATCAGGAAAAGTGGACCTTTACAGCACTATCACTACGTCACCTTCCTGATCTTTCGGACAGATCGTGTGGAGACTACACCAGGCCGCACGCCACATAGAACTATCCCTGGTATCCAGAGAATTCATTTTTTTTCCAAAGATAGCACGCACATATATTTTGAGTAAAACTTCAATATCAATTTGGGGAAAAAGTGGACCTACTGCTGATTTAAGGGGGGGGGGGGTGTTTGTTGACACCCCCCCCCCCTTCTGGCTACGGTCCTGTAAACATGATTTTCTACTGTGAGGCATCCTGCTGAACACAAGTTTCTCTCATTCTGTGATTCCAAAAGATTTCAACAACACTATTATTGGTGTTCATTAGGTTAAGATGGCTTGAGTAGGGCTTTGCTTAGCTAAATTAAAATGTACTCAGTTTCAGAATGATAATGGAGGAAATATATTGAGTTTGGATAATTTTCTGTAACCTTTTACACTTTTTCTGTTGTTGCCACAGTATGAGAGGACGGAACATATCAAGAACACTCTGAATCCAGACTTTGTCAAGAAATTCAACTTGACTTACTTCTTTGAAGAGTGCCAGAGGCTGAAATTTGAAATGTGAGTCTGGTCACAACGTGAGAGGACTAGATAAGAGAAAACAGAAGTTTCAAAGAGATTGATATGAATGATTAGTACTGTATTTGATCGGGGTGGGGAAGTTGGGTGTATAGGGGAGGATAGTCTAGTGGTTAGAGTTGTGACTAATGATCAGAGGGTCTGGGTTCGAATCCTGCTGCTGGCCATATGTTGTGTCCTTGGGCTAGCCACCTCACCCCACTTGCCTCACTCTCCCAAGGAAACAGTATTATCTCTTGTTACATGATTGGTTAAATTATGTGAGTAACTTCTGCTTTCTCTTCCGAATTTGCAAACTTTCCAGATTCGATGTTGACTCCCCGAAGCAGAAACTCACAGCTCACGTAAGTTTGCTACATCTGATTTTGTTTGAGATTAGAACATGTTTCTGTTGTGCTTGACATATTTGGATAACAAATGATTTTTGATTAATATTTGTTTTGGATGCGGTTTTAATTCAGGACTTTCTTGGGAAGATAGAAACGACACTCGGTGAAGTCTTAGGTTCTTCTAATAATCGACTGGAGAAACCCTTAGAGTGAGTATAGAACAAATCGGCAGTGTGGTTCTTTGAAAACAGTTCAAGTTAACTGAGCTGTTTTCTATGTTGACCCTTAAAAATACCCTGTGGCACGTGATCACAGTTGGAATTGAGCCTTACCCATTAGTCTTACCCCAACTACCCTGCCTGTTACTCCCTGTACCACCCAAAACCACCAAACTACGTACATACCCTGCATGTTACTCCCTCTACCACCCAAAAACACCCAACTATCCTGTTACTCCCTGTACCACCCAAAACCACCAAACTACGTACCCTGCATGTTACTCCCTCTACCACCCAAAAGCACCCAACTACCCTGCCTGTTACTCCCTGTACCACCCAAAAACCACCCAACTACCCTGCCTGTTACTCCCTGTACCACCAAAATGATCTACCCTGCCTGTACCATCCAAAACCACCCAACTACCCTGCCTATTACTCCCTGTACCTGCTGATTGGGTTATCTGCTTATAACTGCGAATTTATTCTGCCACTTTTGTTTTCAGTGGGGCCGGCAAGAAAGCTGGTAAAATCATCATCTCAGCTGAGGAAGTCAGCGATTGCAAGGTAAGATGACAGTTGTTTGACTTGTTCTTTACCTCTGAAAGATTTGATTTGTCTTCGTCAGCTCAATGTATTCCAGATGTAATTGTCAATTTTCTACGATACATTTATATTTGTCCATCTAGACACGTGCAACGTTAAGCTTCCGTGGTCACAAGTTGGACAAGAAAGACTTTCTGGGCAAGTCGGATCCCTTCATGATCTTCTATCGGTGCAATGAAGACAACTCGTAAGTTGGAGCCAGCTTTTCTGGAAAACTACTGAATCAGGAAAATTTGTTTGACTAACCTAGGCACCTCTTGGCCTAGTCTATGTTCAAGACTAAAGTTGCATTTCATTCATCCAGCTTTGATCCTTGGCAATTGCAGTCAAATGCTGCATTGGTAGAAGGCGCTATATCAACAATATGAGTCATATCCAATCGTGTGACCCTTGGCACCAAACCTAAGAAGTAGAAGTAAGTAGAAGTCAATAGCTCTGAGAAAAACATCTTGAACTGTAAGTTTGAGACGGGTCTGTAACTTTGAAGTTGCCGTCTGTCGAGGGATGGCCTAGTCTTCCGTGCTTGGTGTATCTGTGAAATTGGCCGCTGATTTTGCCATGGAACCATATATTTTGCTGCTTTATTTGGTGACATTTTTCTACAGTGGAGAAATTGTTTAAATCATATCCCACAGATACAAAAAATGAAACCTTCACATAAGCGTTGTTGGATTTTTTATTTAAAGGTACACAATATGCCACAAGACCGAGGTCATCAAGAACACGTTGAATCCAACATGGCGGCCGTTTCCGATTCTTGTGAGGGCGCTGTGTAACGGAGACCACGATCGCACCATCAAAGTGGAATGCTTTGACTGGGACAGCGATGGAGGGTAAAGAGAATTGGAAATCAAATCTTCAGTTTCTATTGGTTTGAAAGTATGGAATACTCAGTGCAGGAAACGTTCATGGTCTGCATGTATGATTGGTATGGCCAGTATAGTTGGTGTGACTAATTTCCAACAAAATGTGTTCTATTCTGTGGCAACTTTGAAGGAAAGGAAAACCAAACCATATTGAAGACTAAAGGCATAGCTACATATACAGGGTCAAAAAAACCGTCCTCTTTTGTGTCATGTGAGTGCTTTTGCTTTTGTAAGAATTAACATGATTAAGGTGACTTGCCACAGAATGAGCCTTTTGTGCACATGTGTGTTCTCTTTGTTGCATAAATAATTTCTTTTGTTTGCTTGCTTGCCCTTTTATTTTTCACAAAGGAGATTTTCAAACCTTGGCATTGTCTCCGGTTTTGGCTCATTACTGTTTTCAGAGTCATTTTGACACCCCATAAAAATACCGTAAATTTTTTTTTAAAAACTTCAAAAACATTGTGTAAATCCTCATTTTCTAGTTCCTTCAGCAGAACATGGACCCATATTTAGCCCGAGTCCCCCAAGTTCAGGGGCCTAAAATCTCTTCAAGCCAAATCCAGAGACAGCTGATAATTTGAATAACCCCTTAAATGTCTTCATGTAGATTGTAATCCGTCAGCCTTTTCCTTTTAAAAGCTGTCAATTAATTTTATGATTTGTAGTTGTGCAAACATCTTCCTGTGTCTTGAGCCTGAAGAATTCTCCTTAACCAATCAGCTGGAGCTTTACATCAGGTTATGGTGTTGGTTTCACTGAACTTCACTCTAATTGGTGGAAAGTTGACAGTTGATGTCACCAGCTACCAATTGAAATGCGTGTTGTAAAGATGGACCTTTACATCAGGCTGAGGTGTTGGGTAAACTGAACTTTACTATTATTCGTGGAACCTTGACAACCTTGACAAATGTTAAATATGAGACGTCTGCATGAAGATATAACCCGGGCAGCAAGCGCTGTTTGTTTTACATTTCATTTACCCGTGCCTTCTTTGTTCCAGTAGCCATGATCTTATCGGCATATTCACCACAAACATGAGGCAACTTTCAACTGGAAAACAGAGCTTTGAGGTAATACCAGTGTATATCAGATTCAAGGAAGTTGACAAGATGATCATGTTTTTAGCAAAGATCAGCCAAGAGCAGTTTAGGTGGAGGAGGCAGGCTATTACATCGGTGGGAGGTTCTTTTTAAACCCATGTATTTATCTATTCCTATCAATTGATATCCCTACTTGAGTTTTCTCTGGACCTGAAGGGCCAGCCAAATGTCGTTTGACTGAGTCACTGACTGACTGACTGAGTCACTGACTGAGTATTTGACTGAGTCACGGAGTACAAATATTGTCCTCAACTGAGACATTTTGGTTCAGCTAGCTAGGCAAGCCTCGTTTTGTGTTCCTCCATTCCGCCTCAACCCTACATCAAAGTCCAGCCACTGTACTATGTGACTTTACAGAGGACTTGAGACTGTGCCATTGATTCAGTTGAATATTGGCAGATAAACTTTTTTTTATCCAATGTTATCTATTTTGCTATCTAAAGAGGAGGGAGCTTGTTTTCATTCTCGTTTCTGTCTATAATATTCAGTCATAAATATTCCAGAATGCACTGATTTTCCCCTCAGTTGATAAACCCTAAGAAGAAAGCCAAGAAGAAAGGCTACAAACATTCAGGCACCATCGAGCTAACCAACTGTGTTGTAGAAGAGCAACCTAGCTTCCTAGACTACATCAAAGGAGGAATGCAGATCAACTTCACTGTAGCGATAGACTTCACTGCTTCCAATGGTAAGACTATAGTCAACCTTTTCTCAACTTCAATCCGTTTCAGACTGGTGTGCCAGTGTCGCTTTGAACCAGAAGATTTGAATTAAGTACATGAAAACTGTGAGGTTTGAAAAAGTTAGAAACGACCACATCCACTGATTGACTGTTGCAGTTCAGAACAGCACCAGAGTCTCATGGATGGAAGCTACTACATAAGGGGCCATTCAGCTTAACCAATGGTTTTTTGTTTTAATTGTTTTGACCCACCCAACCCCAAATTTCTATTTTTAAATGTTGAATAACTATTCAATATACCCTATACACTGAAGAACAAGTAATGCTTCAAATGAAGCAGATATTTTAGGTCAATGTTCTCCCAGCTCAGGAGTTTTCAATGGCTTTTCCAGGCTTCCAGCATGCAACTTTGTACAGGGTGGTTAAAAAAAAAGGACACCCACATTTGACAGCAATTTTCACCTATTTTTAAAAGTTATTTTTAACTGTCGATTAGTAGCTATTAAAGTACTGACCTTTAAGCAAATGTGACGAAACAAATCGTTGCATTTGCACATTTTGTCGTTGAGCTATGCTAATTTGAGCATTTCATGTGCGAAACCTGTTTGTCCACGGAGGTATACATTCGCTTGACTGAGCTCAGCTATCAGAGCTTTATTTAAAGGAGCATGACATTTGATTGTTATGTTATGTTATGTTATGCAACAATGAACTTAACGCACAGCTCATTGAGTAGATGATCTTTACAGTGACATGAATAATTGGACAGCTTCAGTAAAAGTTACCAGGGCAAACTATATTTTGGTGGGAAGGTTTTTAATTTTTATGAACTACGAAAACGTCCAATTTACAAAGAATAACCCGTGGACAGGACTGATTTTGGTGACCTGTATTCAAATTAGCATAATATCTCTATTTTTGCGACTTTTACTAAGCTTTTTTCACCATGCATGGTTAAAGGCCTATACTTTACTACTATGTGAAAAAATATTTAAAATAATTTCATTAAGTTGGTGAAAATTGCTGTCAAAAGTGGGTGTCCTTTTTTTTTAACCACCCTGTAGTTGAAACAGAAGAGGAAATTGCCAAGCACACAAAACTTTGTACACTGTTTTTCAGTTTCTATAAGGAAACAATTCTCCTGAATAGCAGGCAATTCTTTTCTGAAATTGTTCCATTGGTTACTGAGACCTGGAAGAGGCAGTTTCTTTTGGACTTTGGAGAGTAGACATGTTGTACAAACTAAACGATCATATCAGCCATTCCATGTAAGGGTCATCACCAAACTCAAAAATTGAAGTGAAAGGAATAAATTTTTGTCAGTTATATTTGATAAGAGGAATATTGAAACCATCTAAATCTCAAAAGATTTTTTAAAATAAATCATTTGAATTAAAATTTCAGCCTCCTGAACATGGATGAATTTTGTGGTCAAAATGGAGGGTCAGGGGTATAAATCACAAACTGAGGAAGTAATTGAAGCTCATTCATAAGATTGTGCTTTATCTGCATACATTTGGTAGCTATTCCAGTCTATTTGATAAAACATTGAGAATTTTTCGAAATGTCTTCAGTATTTTCCCACTATTTCATCGTGAAAACACCCTCAAAAATATGTCACGCGAGTCACAAAAAAAGACTTTTTTTCAGATTACTTAATAACTAGAGAGGGATTCAGCTAGTGTTTGATATTTGTAAATGAAATAGTGGTGGTATATCAATAAAAGTATGAATATTCTTATTTGCTCTACATTCCTTGTAGAAAAAACTATCTCAAGAATGTCACGCGAGTCACACATGATGTATGTCACGCAAGTCACCAGGGGTGGATCCAGGAATTTTCGCAGGGGGGGGGGGGTTTCATCAGCCAAAAAAATTGAAAATGTACACACGTTTTTTTCTCTGGACACTCGCTTCCGTAAAATAAAAAACTGGGGGGGGGGGGGGGGGGGGGGGCGGGGGACGGGGGGTGGGGGGGGGCTGGTACCAATTTCAATCGGGGGCGCTGTTCAAATTCGACGATTATTAACACATTACAGAATGGTGTACCGTATTTTGAACAGGCGGACATTAGACCAGTATAATGTTTTTGGGGGTGTCACAGGGGGGGGGGGGGGCTTATTCTTCAGGAATTTGTATGAGAATTTTTTTTTTTGACAGCTGGGGGGGGGGGGGGGGGTTGACACCCCCAAAAAAACCTCTGGATCCGCGCCTGGTCACAAGCCAGGAATGTTTCATTTACATGTAATACAAAGAAACAATGCCATAGGCCCTATTAAATTATAGAATTCGAATTAAGTCTTTAAAAGCATTAGTTATGTAACAAGAAATTGAATCAGTTTTTTACAAATGTATATACAGTCGAGTCTCGTTAATACAAACTCGTTCGGACCTAGCCAAATTGTTTGTTATATCAGAATTTTGTACTAAGAGGAACATCAGTCCCATTCATTGTGCACATAAATGCACAGTCGGGACTAAGGCTTTATGTTTGTTATAACCAGAATTTTGTATTAACAGAGTTTGTACAAACGAGATTCGACTGTACTGTATACATTCCGATACAACTGCATCATTAATTGCAGCTCGATCTTACCATTTAAGGAAACTGTGACTCTACATGACCAAGAATTACAACTGTTTTCCTGAAATAATCACCCGTGGATTGATGACATCACTTTGTAACTAAAATTCCAAAACATTTTTTTCTCTCTATGTCATTGTTAAGGATATTGTGTTTAAACCAGATTTCCACCCCAACATTTGCCAAAGTAAAGGGATAAATAGCAGTTTTCACACTCTTTCATAAGGTATTCACAGGTAAATCATTTTTATTAATATAATATTATGATTTGATTCGTTATACTAAAATTACAGTTATAATGTGAAAGTGAAAAGCTACTGTGTCACGCGAGTCACGCATTTGTGTCACGCGAGTCACATTTTCTTCAGGCCATTTCTTACAACAAGGGATATTTGGCACAATACAACTTATGCATGTATTGGGTGAGGGTATTAAGTTCTAAGTTCTGTAAGAATAATTTTTAGAACACTGGTAGATCCATAGGAAAAGCTATTTGAATCAAGGGATGTCAAAAATCCCTTTTTCTATCCTGTCATGCGAGTCACATCAAAGAAACTGTGATACATGAAAAAATAGCGATTTTAAAGTAATCATATAAAGACTAAACCATAAATTCACAATGCCCTGACTCAAATACATGCTAATTTGAGTTGAATAAATGCCAGGTTAACAACAGTAATGCATTAAAACTTTACATTTTGTTCAAATGTCACGCGAGTCACCATGGAATGGCTGATATGGTGATTGCTTCGATATTATTTGTTTTTGCTTTGTACAAAAGTGTTGTAGATCTGGCGGCTAGTTTTTTTTTTGTGGACCGAAATTGCCATTGGTTAAGCCTTGTTGCCATTATAAAATGATTGTAGATTATTCTGAATGGCCCTTAAATTCCCTTGTTTGAAACCAAAATCTTGTTGCATTGATGTGTCTTGCTCCTGATATCATGATACAACTCTAGAATGCCAGTCTGAAAAGGATGTGAGGGATTGACTGCTTCACGTTTAACTTTCTTGTGGTTCAGGGTTCTTTAGCCCTTGGTTGTTCCGTTTCCCTCTTGTTTCATAAATCCACAGTTTTTCTAAACAATTGGTCAGAAATACCTCCAAAAATATATATTTTTTTTTATTTGTACTATACTGCTAAAAATTATTAATTAGGCTTAAATTTTGTTGTTTTGATTTCAGTCTTCAATGGAATAAATAGTTGTTTGAAATCTGTAAAATAATTATCTTGTTGATTTGTTGCTTGTTTTGGTGGTTATCGAAAGATAACTTAAAGATCAGTTTTTGACTGAGAAGTAAACCTTCCTCCAATAAATGGATTATTGATTAATTGATTTATTGATAAATCAGTGAAGGATTTGATTGATCGTGACGTTATTTCTTTTCCTTCAAGGTAATCCAACCCACAGCAATTCCCTGCATTACATCAACCCATACCAGCCCAACCATTACGAGTTGGCCATCACGTCAGTAGGTGAAGTCATACAGGACTATGATAGTGACAAGTTATTCCCGGTGCTGGGCTTTGGAGCTAAGATCCCACCTGATGGCTCAGTGTCACATGAGTTTTCTGTGGTATGTGCTCTGTTTTCTTGCTGTTCCCAGAGGGCCAGCCTAGCGCCGTCTTTGTACCTATGTCATTCAATGACTGACTGACTGACTCATCACTGCTGACTGACTGACTGTCTCTCGTTAGTCGGGCAGTGCTATCCATTAGGATTACCCCACAATGCGAGTTAGTTGGCTAAATTCAGCCCATTGTATGGGCTCCGTGCGTCAACAAAGAGGGCGCGTTTTTACCACTTTTGAGAGCTCCGTGGAAGGGACACATAGCGTGTGTGTACTGTAATGTACTGCTTCGTGCGTAAAGTACGCACGACTTCCTGAAGGTGCCATAGCTATTCGCCACAGTGTCCTTGCGTGAGCGTTAGGCGTCGTTGGCGCGTGTATACCTTCGAGTGTAACTTGCGATGGTCTCCCAGACTAATCCCCACCCCAAATAGTTTTGGATCATTCGAAATACGCAGTGGATGGACCGGGAACTAGTCTAGGTCACCCCCCAACTCTCCTTTTCTGGCTGTTGAAGGGGTACTTGTGCACGGAGCGGGAGCCCATAGACATCACCAGATGCATGAAACGACTTCTAATGAAAAGCTATTCTGTATCAATGGAATAGAATTGTGTGCACTTTGACTTATACTGTTCTGTAACCAGCTTTACTCGGCTCTCCTTGTCTTGTTAAATTTCCCTCTAATACACAGCTGCACTAAGCCCTGCCCAATCACGCTTTGACCAATCACAGCTGTAATTAATGTCCGACATATGTGCCGAAAAGTTGGACATGTGTGCATGCGTGCGCACATCTGGAGCACATGCAGTGGCATTGCAGTGGCATTGAAGACACACACATGTTGTCTCAGTGGGCGGGGCTATGGATCAGTCTATTGGGGCTGGACACCTCCCCATATGACACATGGTGACATTTGGTCTTGTTTTTATCAGGTGTTCATGTCATGTTTTCTTGCAGAATTTCAACCCCCAGACCCCGTTCTGCATGGGTATACCTGGCATCATGCAGGCCTATCAGAACTGCATCAGAAGTGTACAGCTCTATGGACCAACAAACTTTGCCCCAATCATCAACCATGTTGCAAAGTACGTTAAGCCCAAACAAGTACCCCAAATCTGTGCAGTTCAGCATACAATATCAAAGTTATTGATATGTGCTCTTAACCCATTTGCATCGTACTCAGAGTTGTAGTGACTTGAATCAGTGACTCGACTCAGTCTGACCCGAGTCACAACTTTTGAAGACTCGACTCGACTAAAGTCCCAACAAGTAACTGACTCGAGTCACTGCGAGCAAATGACTCAACTCGACTCGAATCCCTCATCAGAAGATTGGACTCGATTCAAGTTGATGGCTTATAACCCACGAGTCCCAAAACTGTTCAAATATATAATATTTGTGGTTTAATTACGATACAGAGATTTTTACGTTTGTGTACTTTGCGTTACTGTCAAGGTGTGGCCGCTTATCGCGTACAAATATACGCTGTATCACAGACTCTTGTGGTTTTATTATGTAGGGCACAAACTACTATACTGGAACCAGACTATAAAGCACATTTCCCAATTCTTGGTTTCATCATCGGCTTCGGACAATTTCTTAAGCCCTTTGATGGAACTCCGGCTAAACTTATGTCCTACTTTCAAAAATAATTAGATATATTTCTATATACTCAGAAACGGTTTCATACGTTGCAATTTGATTTGACGTTGTCAGCAAAACAATTTTAAGAATCATTATTTGACAGGTCTCAGAAGCTGAAATTATGGTTGGACAGCAAACGTTATCTGATAATTAAACCAGTATCTGTCCAAACAGTAACTGATGTGCTCATCCATATTTCATTTTTGAAGCATATTTCAAGTCTATGTGGTAGCTCAGTAGCAATTGTTTGTCCTCAGTTTCACCCTCTGAGGAAGCCCTAGTTTGCTCATTGCCAGTTTTCTTTGTCTCACCGTGCAGGTTTGCGCAAGCCTACATGGATGGTTCCAACTATTTCATCCTGCTCGTGATCACAGATGGTGTCATCTCAGACATGGAGATGACTAAGGATGCAATCATCAGTGTAAGTCACTGGTTAAGTTGTTAATCACAAGGCATCACAAGTGAATCACAAGACAGTCACAAGGCATCATAAGTCAATCACAAGAAAATTACAAGGCATCATAAGTCAAACACAAGGCATCACAAGTCAATCACAAGGCATCACAAGTCAATCACAACACATCACCAAACAATCACAAGGCATCACAAGTCAATCACAAGGCATCACAAGTCAATCATAAGGCACCACAAGTCAATTACAAGGCATCACAAGTTGTTGCAAGTCACATTGTGCATACTTGTACTTGGTCAACTGAGCTATTTAGTCATGTTAGGCCCAAAAAAAAAATATTCGGTCTCTGGTCAGACCAAAGTTCCGGAATTGATGCGGCGACGTGTTTTTTTTGTGTGTGTTTTTTTTGGCCTTTTTTTTTTTTTTTTGGAAGCTTGGATTGTACAGACAAGGTGGGTACTATTTGCTTTTGTTGTGTCCTCATATACATTGGGGACCTCCATAATTTGCCTTGGTGCCCTCCATCATTTGCCTTGGTGCCCTCCATCATTTGCCTTGGTGCAATTTCCCTATTCCTTGGTACAAAAATTTGAGGAGGTGCGGCAATAGAGGGCGCTGCTGTAGCTACCGCGGACAATTTGAAGAAAAAAAAAGGTTGACGCGCATGATTAAAACTCGACGCGCGCGCTGACCAGAGACCGACTTTTTTTGGCCTTATAGTTGAGTCCATCTCAAGTTCTCACAAGCCCTTACAAGTCCATCTCAAGACAATCACAAGTGATCCAGTCCCAAGTCAAGCCTCAAGCTTTTCACATGAATTGTAACAAAGGCATTCCTTTGATGTCTTCTATTGTAACATCCCCCGTCATTGTTAATGACGGGACTTATCATAAACTTGACTGTCACACTGCTAGTCAGTCCTTTGTTGGTCATCTCTCAATTTGTTAAATATTCCAATGGTATGATAGATAGCTCAGTTGAAAAACACATTGGTACATTATTCCAGATGATTTTTTCGGTTCAACTAAATATTGCTAAAAAAGTATTTTATCAGTTTGCCATTGCATTTATTTGATAATTCTCTCAGTTACTACAAAATGGACAAGACATGCTTTAACTATCCCTGGTTTAAGAATTCATGCAATTTGACTTATTGTTATTTTCTTCCGCCATCAGGCCAGTTCTCTTCCTATGTCTATCATCATCATTGGTGTTGGTCCTGCAGAATTTGATGGTGAGTTAAGTTAAAAAACAATAACATGTAAAGCAAAATAAGTAGAAGGGGTCTCTTTTGTGTAGGATTGGAATTTCATACCTTTTAAAAAAGGGAATAAATGTGTGTTTGGGAGTTATAAAAAACTCTGTTTAAAGGGAATATACATCATTTGCTTTTGCTGTAATTTTCAGAAATGGATGGAATTGGGGGGTTGGAAATATAAAGCAAATATAGTTACACTGACTTTTTGGAGGTTTTGGGTTCGAAAATGCTATAAAAACCAAGAAAAACGATCATTTTCCTGTAGTCTGGTTCCCTGACTCCATATAAGAAGAAACAGAGCAGTTTACATACATTGGGGAATTGTAAGGTCAGGGAACCAGTCTAGCTGGCTCGTACCCGTTCATAGGTTTGTAATCGATTGCAAACAAGTGCAATGGTCAATTGGGGCCAGTATTTGAAAAAAAGCCAGTTTCCAACGCTGATCGGCCGATCAGCGTTGGAAATTGATACAAAAATACCACTTTTCTTGAAAATGACAGTATACCAGGTGCCATAATTTTACAGGATGCTTTAGACTGTCATTTACCAACATCCTGTTAAGGTATTTCGCAAAAACTTGGTAGTTTTATTTTTCGATGTTTGCAAATGTTGTATATTCCCTTTAAGACTGGTTGTAGTCTGGATGGGTAATTATCAGCACTCCAGACTCCCACCGGTCTTAAACAGAGTGTTTAATACCGACCAAGCACATATTTATTCCCATTCATAAATACCTTTCTGGTAAAAAAAACATATGTTTTTGGTCCAAAAATCAAAACAAGTCAAAAACTAGATGTTGCCAACCATTTTGTTGAACAATTTTACTTCATGTTTTATGAAACACCACTCTGACTATAATTTGGAATGTCCCTCTACAACTCCTTACCTAATAAGGAGATTGGTATGCGCGTTGCATGTACTGCGTGATGTCGCGCAAAACACAGCTGGGCTTGTGTAGTGTGTATTTCGGACAATGAAGTACTGGTATAGTATTGCACATGCCTATTTGAGGAATGTGAACGTTCAACCAATGAAACGCTAAAAGGCACCGGATTCTAGTCCACATTTCATGTGACACTTGAAAAGTGTTTAAGACCAACCAGCCATGCATGTCTTTATCATCCGCGTGACGGGCTCTCGACCAATTGGAATGGGTAAACTGTATTAGGTATTTATGAATGGGTGTTAAAGGGAATATACATCATTGGCTTTTGCTGTATTTTTCGAAAATGAACTATTTGAGGGGTTAGTATAATAGATCAAAATATTGTTACACTGACATGTTTGAAGTTTTGTGTTCGAAAATGCTGGAAAAACCAAGAAAAACAAAACTGTTCAAGTAGTCTGGTTCCCTGACTCCACTAAATATAAAATGGATCAATTTACAGATGCCGGAAAATTGTAAGGTAAGGGTACCAGTCTAGACTAAATTAACGGTAAATTTGGAGCAGTAGTTGAAAAATAGTTAGGTTTTTCCAACGGTGGTCGGCCGACCACCGCTGGAAATTTTTACATAAATACAATTTTCTTGAAAATGACTTCACACCAGGTGCCATAATTTTACAGGATGCTTTAGACTGTCATTTACCAACATCCTATTAAGGTATTTCGTAAAAACTTGGTAGTTTTATTTTTCGATGTTTGCAAATGATGTATATTCCCTTTAAGAGTTGCTAAATTGACTGTAAAGGTGCTTCATTTGAATATTCAGTAAGGGCCAGGGGCAATAATTCTAATCTGGAATTTCTTAAAAAAAACACTGATTCTTCATTACATGGCTGATAGGATTTGTTCAACTATTTCCTTTTGTTTCCCTCATAGCCATGGAGGAGTTGGATGCCGACAAGCAGGCTCTGGCATATCGAGGCAGAGTAGCAGAAAGAGATATCGTTCAGGTATGCGCCGTTTCTAGTAAGCAGCATTTCTAGTAAGCAGTTCCTGAATCCTTGCCAGTGGACCTATGATGTATCCATCATGTTTTTTCAAATCGAAAAGGACTCCTAAGTGGGAGGAAGGGGCAACATTCGTGATTTTTAAAAGAAAAGGGGGGGGGGGCGTCCCCCCTCCACATTTAGATGCCTATTGGCTGATGGGTACAGTCATGGTTACAGTTGTCTTCTTATTGGCTAGAAATAGAAACAGTTAATTTGGACACAACATGGCTCAGTGATACATGCACAGTGAACCACACTGAGTAGGGACGATGTATTTGTGCTGGTCCCAGAGTGTCCTTTTTGTACCTTATTGATGCACTGACTGACTTTCCTTTGTGACTTACACTGGTCCAGGGGCTGATTTTACAAAATGATAAGACATGTCTTTGGAAGGGTAATTCGTCTTAACTTGCGACTCGTCCTAGGATCGATTTCACCAAACTTAAGACGCAGTCAACACGTCCAAACTTCCATAGCAATGGGGCTGAACTCGTCCGTCTGTAGAAATCGCTATAGAAACAAATTTTAAAAGATTTCTGATATGTGGGTAGGGTTAGTAAAAACATTATTTACAAACTATGATTATACGGCAACAACTAGTTGACTTTTTAAAATAGTGATGAAACGGGGAGGAAGAATGACTTTAGCACATCTTGTGTAGAACTACCTTGCGTGTGAAATTTATTGGGTAGAGTACATGTAATTTCTCTGGTGAGAAAGTTCACGTTTCCATGCGCTTTTTTTCAACAACTGTTTTGTCAAGCGGTAAAAACAAACATGAAACAGCTAACGAATTGGTAGGTTTGATGCATCTTGTTTAAGATGGGTTTAGTGAAATCGATCTTAGAACGCGTTGTAGCTAAGTTCGATCTTAGAGAGGGGCCTTGTCTTAAATCCCAAGATGAGTTGCAAGATGAGACAGGTTTTCATGAAATCGCCCCCAGGACCAGCTATACTGATCTTGCCCTGTCTTGTTTAATCCAAAATTTGATCAACTCATCTCAAAAATGACTTGCCAATCAGCCATTCTTACTTGTCGTTTGTGTCTTCAAGTTGTTTTGTTATCTTTTATATTCCAGTTTGTACCATTTAGGGAATACATCGGTGGTGTCGGGAGCGGCAATCAGCATCTCAGTCAGGCCCGCCTAGCCAAGGACGTCTTGGCTGAAGTACCGGACCAGATCATCGCCTACATGAAGAAACGTGGTATCAACCCTAACCAATCCCCCACGACGCACACATCACTGGCTCCAGCCCCAGTGCAGTGATCAGATTCAATATTGCTTCACAAGTTCAGAGTAATAACATGACTCCTGGATCACTTGCTGAATTTGTATAATAGTGTTATAAAAATGAGAAAGGCAAATGCCAAAAATGGATAAGAGCTTCCATGTACATGCACATTGTATATCTGCCATGCTGGCAACGTCATGAAATGTACGTGTTATAGATAGTATAATAAACCCATCAGTACCTGTACTGCATTGTACTACACTACATTGTGTTGATGAATCCGGTTTGGCCATTTTTGGATGGAACATGTACATGGAGTAACAGGTAGGGCAGTGAACAGACTAGTAGGTTAATTTAGCAATAGTTTAGAATTAGTGTAGGAGAGAAGTTGTTAGGAGAAAGCAGGGATAGTTTTTTAATTCATTTTGTATAGTAACATGTAGATCAAACATGATGAAGTAATCAAATGTGGCTTGAAACATAACCTTTAGACAGACTGGGCTAAGTCTAATCATTTTAGAACCCAGGAAAATCTTTCACTGAATGTAATTAAAACAAATAAATGTCTGCTTATGATTGCCTTGTAATGAAGTCATCTATTTTCTATAATTCTACATGTATAGTTTTTCTATTCTATCTTCTTAAACTAAATGTGTATCTAATCATGGCAAAAGATTAAAATTTATGTCAATATATTCTACATGTATGAGAATTTGCCTGCACTTAATTATGTGATAGATTGAATGTAGTTCCGTCTTCTAGATCTCTGTCTGACTTTATTTGCTATATAGTCTGTTTGGATGTGGATTTGTTTATTTGTAACTTTTTTAAGAGGAAATATTTTACTTCCTATTGAACTCAAAACAGCCTTGGAATACAGCCTTATTAAAAATATATCAGAACGGTTTGAATTCAATACATTTAAAAAATGGTGAAAATCAAGGGATGATAGAGCTCCAGCACAGTGTCCCACAGACTGTAGATTGGAACTTGAGCATCAGTGTTGCCTTCAATTGTTTCAATTTGGTGCTGTATGAGAGAGCGACACATCGGGTTCAGCTCAATTTGTGTGCCTACATGTGCAAAATGTACATGCATGCACATGTTCTTGTCCATACTTTTACTTTGAAATTCATTGACTACATTGTATATGTATTAAGTAAGATTTGAGGCTTTGCATGTGAAGATACTAAATAATGAAAGGTTTGCGGAAACACCATGTGCGAATAATTTCTCAACTAAGAGAATGGTTCTGAAAAGAACCAGAGGTAAATTCGTTTACCTCTGGGTCTGTTCAGAACCATTCTCTTAGTTGAGAAATTATTCGCACATGGTGTTTCCGCAAACCTTTCATTATTTAGTATATGTATTAAGAGTTTTTTACCACTTAAGTTTAATATGCAACATGTCATTTAATATATATTTGCCTTGTTACTATGGCGACTTATCCAGCCCAGAATAATTACCATGTTGTATTGTGTAGAAAAAGTACTATTAATGAAGGATTTTTTTTAATGCTCTGTAAAGTTGTATTTTTGAATCATGCTTGCTGCAAATTATGGACATTTTGAAATAAATGCCTTATTTTTTTCAGCGGGGTTGAAGAAACAATATAGAACTATGGGGTTATTCAAAGGCTGGCTAAAAGACATCAATTACATGTATGTTAAGTCTGAGAAATTTTTGTGAGTTGACCAGACTTTTCATCTTCACAGATATGTGAGTTTTACATTGTTTTGTAAAGCATGTTGTAACTAAAGAACACATTTGTATAAACGCTACATGTAGAAATCTTGAAACAGGCTGAAATGATAAACTTGTTAGCTGAATCTGAAATTATTGTAATAACTGATCAAATGTTATCAGGGGAGAACTTGGTTCATTGCAAGTTTACATGTACATTTTCTTTTCTACTTGACAAGTATTTGTAAGATAGTTGTAATTAATGTCAGACTAAAATTGCTTGTAAACTTGTTTGCCCCACTTTTATTAGAATTTAAGGTCATGTACTCACAGAGAGTGAATTTATTAATGGTTAATTATCAACACTAAAGCTTCAAATTTCAATATACATGTATAACTGACTTGTAACAAGCACGTGTTAATTGTTTCACTGTTGGTGCAGTCTATAATGTTACCAATGTTTACAATGTATAATGTATACTGACTTTGAAGTTTGAAAGTTTACTGTCACAATCACGCGTATGTTTTTCAAGGAAGGAATTGTTACAATGTTTTGATACCAAAAGCAACAGCAGTATGAAGACTGTGTTTTTGTGTAGCCATGATTGTTTTGCTGGCCATATACATCGTTACAATGTACATGTATTTGTCTTGATGTCAATTCTTCTAATCGTGTTATTTCAAATTCCAAAAGTATTTTAACAATACAATGTATATCAAATAAAAAGTATGTCATATACACTGTACTATGGGTGATAGTATAATGCACACCGTATCTCGTGTTCATTTCTTTCTGTCTATTAATATGCATCTTTAATTCAAATTTATAGCACATTGTATAAGTACATTTCAAATTCTAGATTATTCAATTCAATTTTTGTCTTTAGCACAGACAAAATGCACTGAAAGTGACAAGACTCCAGATTACTAAACCTTCTTAAATAGACAACTGGGTTTTGTCTTAACATTTTATTACATTTGGTTAACCACATACATGTACGAGACAATTTCCACTAAACCATATAACTTGATAACACTTTTAAGTGTAATTACGAGCACAATATTAATATGCATACATGTACGGCATTGTTAATCAAGTAGATACATGTACGTGTACTTAAAATCCACAACGCATCACCACATGTACCTCTGCAAACCTGGGGTACCCTCCCAGACAAAGGGTTTCTCCAGAAAGAGATACAGGGTGACGATATTCACTGCCGCACCAATGAGCAGCTCAAGGCATATCTTCCAGTAGGGCTGCAAGGGCATCTGGGCTCTGAAGAGTAGGTAGGGAACAATGAAATACCGCAGCTCTAGAAGTTTCTGCGGTACGGTGACTGCAGCTAGGCAGGTGAAGTAGACAAGGCGCCACAGGTTGCTGCAGGATGGGAGGTTGTCCTGCATGCACCAGTCAATGTAGACTGCAACGGGTACAAGGCAGTACTTGATAAGGTGGTCACGCTGGTACAGACGCCAGATGCTGAACACGTAGTGCCGGTTGTCTGACAAGACATACAGGTGAACATAAGTCAGGTAGTGGACGGCAAGCAATCCCAGGCAAGTCAGGGTTATGTAAGTCAGTGGGCGTTTCAGGCAGGCCTTGAGGAATCTGACCGCGGAGTAAGGGATGCCAGATATGGTGCAGCAAAGAAAGCTGAGAACATCAGGAAGTAGACGAGCTGGGGTAGGTTGAGGCAAGGCTCATGGTGACTTTTGTCCCCTACCACGATTCCCTTATTGAGGTACAGAAATACCAGAAAGGCCACCGCCACAAGGCCATATGGCCAGAGGAGGAGTATCAAACGCCCCAGATGGGAGATCTTGAGGAGATATAGCAACGCCTTCTTGATCGAGGTGAGGATGGCTCCAAAGTCGTTGACGGCATCCGGACTCTGCTTCCTGCCTCTCTCACCCTCCACCTCTCTCGTGAACGTCACTCCCGCAGTGAAGACCACCCAGACAATGTTGGACTGACGGAAGACAATGCAGAGTGCCCCCATCAAACCAGCCATGATATGGTTGCCATGGAGACTGAATAGGTACATAATGAGGATGAAGAAGGTGGAACCCGGATCCGTGTAGTAAAGAAAGGTGAAGAAGTACAGCACAGGCAGATGGGCCAAGGAAGCTGCAGTCAGAAGTGGCTTGAAACCATGGGATGCCTGAAAACGATTATTTAAAGAAACAAATCGTATATTTGATTAAAATATGATAATGTAGTTGAGCAAATTTGTGACTGTATCTCACTAACTCAATTCTACAAAGTTTGACTTGCAGCTCAAATTCCGAAAGGGGTAAGTTTACTTGTTTTTTGTTGTTGTCACTGTGCAAGGGTAAGGTGACCCCAAATTGTTACACCTTAAAACTTGTTGGTTACATACTCAATAAACATGTACCTTGTCATGTCTGTTGATTCTCATGATCAGTGCATACAGCAAATACAAGTTGCCCACTGCAAACAGGATGTTAGTGGATCGCAGAATGACAGTAGTACACATCTCAGACATGTCAACTTGCATCAGCTCAGTGATGGGTCTGAGCAGACCGACTGAGGCTAGGTACAGGCCAGGTAGGGTGGTTATCATAGGATCCCACTGTTGATGAAAGATGATCAATTCAGATAGGATTGAATTTCACATTAAATCTCTTTGTGATTTCTTTGAAAGTGTTGACTGAGTTGCATGAATTTCTCCTAGATGATCTTTGTCTATGGCTAGTTCAAGCTCTACATGTACATGATAACCATAACGAACACCATCACAACTGCTGTGTCAAAAGGAGCCTAATCAAGATCCCTAGAGGATGTTTCAGGAGGAAACCAACCAAGTACCAAGTATTAGTAACACTTTCTACATATAAAAAGACAAATACAATGTAGTGACATTATACATGTATAGTGTACAAATTATGTTGCAAATAGGCCCAGTATATGAAGTAAAAAAGATAAGAAAAAGAAAACAGGCGGTAGCCAGAAAAAAGGAAGCGTGCATGGTGATAAACTGGTTTATGCTTTAACTTGGCATAATCCATACAAAAACAAATGAAAAAGATTTAATACCATTTAAAGACAAACATGATCTGTCACTGTTTTTAATTTTATGCTAATGCAAAAACTAAAAATAGAACATTTCTTTTAACAAAGCCATTCTAAATTCCCGGAGAACTTAGACGCCACTTTGTTAGGCCTTAGACTAGTAGAGTAGATTCAACTTAAAAAAATTGAAAACAGATTACAATGCCTCTTAGCCTCATGACGGCCCATCGGGCGCTCCATGTGTTGCGCGCGCGACTGTTTCGCTCCAGTCAAGCGCTGAAGTGGTTGTGGTTGCGTGTGGTTGGGTTGTTGTAGCAGTAGTACTAGGGCCTATATATGGGTCCTACTAAAATGTGTCAACAATATCGTCAACAAGCATCAAGCATATATGCTTTTGAACATTAAAAGTAGCTTTATATGGTAGAAAAAGCAATAAAAAACATCTACATGATCTAAGTTCTGCATATCAATTAAAGTTAAAATTATTTAAAAACTTGTTTTTTGAACGCGAAATGTACGACGAGTTTGCGGGTGTGGGTATTTTGCGGAACTTGCAGAACGTGCAGAACTCTGCGGAACTCTGCAAAATTGTTAATAAAACACTAAATTAAGATGAAATACTGGCTTTAAAAGTACAACAAGCGACAAATCTCATTATTAAGTCCCAAAATCGTCACATTCTACCCTTAAATAAATTGAAAATAAAAGATTTCCCACCTGTTTGTGCCGTCGTATAATAATTGTGTGTAGTATTTGCAGAACAGTGCAGAACACATGCTGTACAGGGATACATGCCGTTTACAAACCAAGGGTGCAGCTTTGACTCAGTACTCTGTGAAGCACGTGTTTTAAACAGTTGATAGGGGGATAATGTACCGCTGCAGAACGAATTCTGCAGAAGTAACATTATGGTATGATCGTAATGTTTTATTTGCAATGTCAACAATTGTCTTATATCCTCCACAAGTTTATGGGAAGGCCTTCTGTATCAATAGTTCCATGTTTTACCCAGGCAACGCATCAATGGGTATGGGCCTCCGAGAGTTTCGCGTTTTACACAGGCAGAATCAAAATTAAAAATCATCACAATGTTTTAATTTTAATCTGGATAAGTGTATTATATTCTCAACAACTCCTCTGATTTTTTTCTTTCGGAAATTCACCCGGGAAGACCTTTTAAAATGAGAGTTCCGCGTTTTACCCACCTAGGTTTTTTGTGCAAATAGGCCTATGCACGGTATGTGCAGTATACGCGTACTGGCTCCGATACCGTAGGAGGGGGCATCTTTAGCGCTGCAGAACCAACATTAAAAATCGTCACAATCTTTTAATTTTAATCTGGATTAATGTATTATATTCTCAACAACTCCTGTGATTTTTTTCTTTCGCAAATTCACCCGGGAAGACCTTTTAAAATGAGAGTTCCGCGTTTTACCCACCTAGGTTTTTTGTGCTAATAGGCCTATGCACGGTATGTGCAGTATACGCATACTGGCTCCGATACCGTAGGAGGGGGCATCTTTAGCGCTGCAGAACCAACATTAAAAATCGTAACAATCTTTTAATTTTAATCTGGATTAATGTATTATATTCTCAACAACTCCTCTGATTTTTTTCTTTCCGAAATTCACCCGGGAAGACCTTTTAAAATGAGAGTTCCGCGTTTTACCCACCTAGGTTTTTTGTGCAAATAGGCCTATGCACGGTATGTGCAGTATACGCGTACTGGCTCCGATGCCGTAGGAGGGGGCATCTTTATCGCTGCAGAACCAACATTAAAAATCGTCACAATCTTTTAATTTTAATCTGGATAAATGTATTATATTCTCAACAACTCCTCTGATTTTTTTCTTTCGGAAATTCACCCGGGAAACCTTTTAAAATGAGAGTTCCGCGTTTTACCCACCTAGGTTTTTTTGTGCAAGTTGGCCTATTGCACGGTATGTGCAGTATACACGTACTGGCTCCGATGCCGTAGGAGGGGGCATCTTTAGCGCTGCAGAACCAACATTAAAAATCGTCACAATCTTTTAATTTTAATCTGGATTAATGTATTATATTCTCAACAACTCCTCTGATTTTTTTCTTTCCGAAATTCACCCGGGAAGACCTTTTAAAATGAGAGTTCCGCGTTTTACCCACCTAGGTTTTTTTGTCCAAACAGGCCTATTGCACGGTATGTGCAGTATACGCGTACTGGCTCCGATGCCGTAGGAGGGGGCATCTTTAGCGCTGCAGAACCAACATTAAAAATCGTCACAATCTTTTAATTTTAATCTGGATTAATGTATTATATTCTCAACAACTCCTCTGATTTTTTTCTTTCCGAAATTCACCCGGGAAGACCTTTTAAAATGAGAGTTCCGCGTTTTACCCACCTAGGTTTTTTGTGCAAATAGGCCTATGCACGGTATGTGCAGTATACGCGTACTGGCTCCGATACCGTAGGAGGGGGCATCATTAGCGCTGCAGAACCAACATTAAAAATCGTCACAATCTTTTAATTTTAATCTGGATTAATGTATTATATTCTCAACAACTCCTCTGATTTTTTTCTTTCCGAAATTCACCCGGGAAGACCTTTTAAAATGAGAGTTCCGCGTTTTACCCACCTAGGTTTTTTTTGTCCAAGTAGGCCTATTGCACGGTATGTACAGTATACGCGTACTGGCTCCGATACCGTAGGAGGGGGCATCTTTAGCGCTGCAGAACCAACATTAAAAATCGTCACAATGTTTTAATTTTAATCTGGATGAATGTATTATATTCTCAACAACTCCTGTGATTTTTTTCTTTCCGAAATTCACCCGGGAAGATTTTTTAAAATGAGAGTTCCGCGTTTTACCCACCTAGGTTTTTTTGTCCAAACAGGCCTATTGCACGGTATGTGCAGTATACGCGTACTGGCTCCGATGCCGTAGGAGGGGGCATCTTTATCGATGCAGAACCAACATTAAAAATCGTCACAATGTTTTAATTTTAATCTGGATAAATGTATTATATTCTCAACAACTCCTCTGATTTTTTTCTTTCCCAAATTCACCCGGGAAGACCTTTTAAAATGAGAGTTCCGCGTTTTACCCACCTAGGTTTTTTGTGCTAATAGGCCTATGCACGGTATGTGCAGTATACGCGTACTGGCTCCGATACCGTAGGAGGGGGCATCTTTAGCGCTGCAGAACCAACATTAAAAATCGTCACAATCTTTTAATTTTAATCTGGATAAATGTATTATATTCTCAACAACTCCTCTGATTTTTTTCTTTCCCAAATTCACCCGGGAAGACCTTTTAAAATGAGAGTTCCGCGTTTTACCCACTTAGGACTTTTGTGCTAATAGGCCTATGCACGGTATGTGCAGTATACGCGTACTGGCTCCGATACCGTAGGAGGGGGCATCTTTAGCGCTGCAGAACCAACATTAAAAATCGTCACAATCTTTTAATTTTAATCTGGATTAATGTATTATATTCTCAACAACTCCTCTGATTTTTTTCTTTCAGAAATTCACCCGGAAAACCTTTTAAAATAAGAGTTCCGCGTTTTACCCACCTAGGTTTTTTGTGCAAATAGGCCTATGCACGTTATGTGCAGTATACGCGTACTGGCTCCGATGCCGTAGGAGGGGGCATCTTTATCGATGCAGAACCAACATTAAAAATCGTCACAATGTTTTAATTTTAATCTGGATAAATGTATTATATTCTCAACAACTCCTGTGATTTTTTTCTTTCCCAAATTCACCCGGGAAGACCTTTTAAAATGAGAGTTCCGCGTTTTACCCACCTAGGTTTTTTGTGCTAATAGGCCTATGCACGGTATGTGCAGTATACGCATACTGGCTCCGATACCGTAGGAGGGGGCATCTTTAGCGCTGCAGAACCAACATTAAAAATCGTCACAATCTTTTAATTTTAATCTGGATTAATGTATTATATTCTCAACAACTCCTCTGATTTTTTTCTTTCCGAAATTCACCCGGGAAGACCTTTTAAAATGAGAGTTCCGCGTTTTACCCACCTAGGTTTTTTGTGCAAATAGGCCTATGCACGGTATGTGCAGTATACGCGTACTGGCTCCGATGCCGTAGGAGGGGGCATCTTTATCGCTGCAGAACCAACATTAAAAATCGTCACAATCTTTTAATTTTAATCTGGATAAATGTATTATATTCTCAACAACTCCTCTGATTTTTTTCTTTCGGAAATTCACCCGGGAAGACCTTTTAAAATGAGAGTTCCGCGTTTTACCCACCTAGGTTTTTTGTGCAAATTGGCCTATTGCACGGTATGTGCAGTATACACGTACTGGCTCCGATGCCGTAGGAGGGGGCATCTTTAGCGCTGCAGAACCAACATAAAAAATCGTCACAATCTTTTAATTTTAATCTGGATTAATGTATTATATTCTCAACAACTCCTCTGATTTTTTTCTTTCCGAAATTCACCCGGAAGACCTTTTAAAATGAGAGTTCCGCGTTTTACCCACCTAGGTTTTTTTGTCCAAACAGGCCTATTGCACGGTATGTGCAGTATACGCGTACTGGCTCCGATGCCGTAGGAGGGGGCATCTTTAGCGCTGCAGAACCAACATTAA